TGCAAGTATTTTACTCGAAAATCGGGTATTTTCATAATATTTGCGGGTGATTTGCAAATTTCTATCAAAATAATAACAAAAGAAATTTTCAGTAAATAATATTGTAGGTATATTTACTAAATATGCACAATTATTTTATTCTATCTTGTTACAATTTTATTATTATTTTAGTATTTTGTAATTTATGGTCAGGAACTTTTATGGCAACACTGTACGTAAACAGGAAGATCAACCATGATACAAAGATGAATGAAACACGAAGATCAACCATATTTGTCTTATGAGTCTATCGAAAATATCATGTCTATAGACTTGATATTAACTCCTTTTTCTATGTTGGAAACAATGAAAGCATGTTAAGCGCATCGTATGTATAAAATTATAATTGTTATAATTATTACATCTTACCTATGTTAGTATATAGGTAATTATGCAATAAACTTGGCTTATAACAACAGCAAAAATGTTAATAAATACTTGTCTATGTGTTTTATTTTACGATAACCAAATACAACCTCTATGAATTATTTCGGATATTTATTTTTATCGCCATAGGTACCTACCATTTCTCTACTAAAAGTCTTATTAAGTCTGAAAAAGTCTTATTAACTCTTCCAGAAGACTCCCAAATCTTGCTTAGTCTGACTTAATAAGACTTATTCAGACTTTTTCCGACTTAATAAGTCTTATTCTGACTTTTTCCGACTTAATAAGTATTATTCAGACTTTTTCAGAGAAAGTAAGACTTTCTCAGAGAAAAATTTCCACAAGGGAAGTTCTTTTAGTTATTGTTATTGTTAGGGGTCGTAAGTCAAATTGTCATTAGTTTTTTAAGTTGGATATGGAACTTATTCTTTTTTAAAGATCAGTTCTTTTTTTTGTTAGGGGTCGTAAATCAAAACTTTTTTAGATTCTTTTTGTTAGGGCAAATATTGTTTAAGTTGGAGATGAAACTAATTCTTTATTTAAAGTTCTTTTAGTTTGTTTTTGTTAGGGGTCGTAAGTCAAATTGTCATTAGTTTTTTTTTAAGTTAAATATGGAACTAATTCTTTTTTAAAGATCAGTTCTTTTTTTTCTTAGGGGTCAAATCAAAATTTTTTTAGATTCTTTTTGTCAGCGCAAATCTTGTTTAAGTTGGAGATGGAACTAATTCTTTATTTAAAGTTAAGTTCTTTTAGTTCGTTTTTGTTAGGGGTCGTAAGTCAAAACTTGTTTAGATTCTTTTTGTTAGGGAAAATCTTGTTTAAGTTGGAGATGAAACTAATTCTTTATTTAAATATAAGTTCTTTTAGTTCGTTTTTGTTAGGGTCGTAAGTCAAATTGTCATTAGTTTTTTTTTAAGTTAAATATGGAACATATTCTTTTTTAAAGATCAGTAATATTTTTTGTTAGGGGTCGTAAATCAAAACTTTTTTAGATTCTATGTGTTAGGGCAAATCTTGTTTAAGTTGGAGATGGAACTAATTCTTTATTTGTTCGCATAAAGAATTATTTTATATTTAAAGTTAAGTTCTTTTAGTTCGTTTTTGTTAGGGGTCGTAAGTCAAATTGTCATTAGTTTTTTAAGTTGGATATGAAACTTATTCTTTTTTAAAGATTAGTTGTTATACTTTGTTTTTGTAGGGATTGTAGATCAAAATGTTGTTTAGATTCTTTTTTTTAAGGCAAATATGGAACTAATTCTTTATTTAAAGATCAGTTCTTTTAGTTCGTTTTTGTTAGGGGTCGTAAGTAATATTATTATTAGATTCTTTAAGTTGGATATGGAACTTTTTCTTTTTTAAAGATTTGTTCTTTTAATTCGTTTTTGTTAGGGGTCGTAAGTCAAATTGTTATTAGATTCTTTAAGTTGGATATGGAACTTATTCTTTTTTTACTTCGTTTTTGTAGGGATCATAGGTCAAAATTTTGTTTAAATTCTTTTCGTCAAGTCAAATTTCAAGTTGGAGATGAAACTAATTCTTTATTTGTTCGCTTTTGGGTAGGTGAACATATTTTTTAAATTCTTTTCGTCGTAGTCTGTTTTAGATAGTGACTATCCTATGGAACCAGGCGCCCAGGAGTTTCCTATAAAACCCTCCTTTTTATTCCTTCCATTTAGACCCATTTTAGTTAAATTTTACAATCTTCAGATTGTTGAATTAAATTAAAATGGTAGATTGATCTTGAAAGTACTTTTTGGATTTTGTCTCGGAACATCGGTAATCCGTGCTAACCCGTTTTTAACGTGGAGCATGTTGTTGCGCACCGGCGCTAATCTATTTGTAACTTAATTATCTGTCGTTTGGCAACGTGTAAACACTAACAATGTTATAGGGAATTATTAGATTTCATTTTAATTGAAGTAACTAAGGAACTTATTTGAATTGTTACGTGCTTATATTGTTGTCATTACTGTCATACATAATAAAAGACAGCAATGAGACAGTTGTTGTGATTATAATACTTAAATAATAATTATTAAAACCAAAATCAAACAAAATAAAAATTTATGAAAAAAAACAACATAAAGAAGCATGAACAAACATTACAAAAATTGCTCGAATTGATGCCCCTGATTTTCCAAACACAATTCCAGTCTTCTTCTTGTACTAACTTGTACATGGGTCAACATTTCTGAATCAGCTGGATGATTAACTCATCGGCTTCGGGTACAATCTCTTAGAGGCTGACCAAGGTTAGGACCTGCCATGGGAATTAGTCTCTCTAGCTCTGACCATCATCCATCTAAAAACTCCCGGCGATGGGTGGGTTATGTCAGCGAATCTTGCTGCGTATACCCGGGCTGCTTCATTGCAATTTTCTTCACAGAATCCAAGTACCAGCATCATATTCACATATTCTTGATTGGTGTACATTTTATTAAATAGACTCGACAAAATAATAACCAAAAAAATAAAGTATAAACGTCAAACTTAATTTTCGCATTGTTGATTACAAAGACTCGACAAAATAATAACCAGAAAACACCAAAAAATATAAACGTCAATGTCAATTTTAGTATTGTTGATTACAAAGTTGCCAGATCATTTCAATTGTTAAAAAATCATTCTTAAACATTAAAATTAAAAGAAAATAAACTTTTTCGGGTAATTTTTTTGCTAGGAAATATTTAAGAACCCTAAACTCTTCAGTAAAAATCATATAAGGTGGAAAAATATTAAATAATAAAAAAGTTAAATTTAAAACTTAAGACCTGAATTCCTCGGTCACTTTTTCATTTGGAATTTTTTTAACATTTTTCCCTACCTATATTAAGGCCCCCCTACATGCACCTTTCGGGAAGTTCACCACTTATGACTCACCCTATACACTTCGATTTTAATCATACATTTTAATTTTCGATATTTTAATTTTCGAAATTTTAATTATTCGACATTTTCAAATCGACATTTTAATTTTCGATATTATCATTTTCGACATTTTAATTTTCGAAATTTTAATTATTCGACATTTTCAAATCGACATTTTAATTTTCGATATTATCATTTTCGACATTTTAATTTTCGATATTTTGATTTTCGACATTTTGTATTTTCGATATTTTGATTTTCGATAAAAAGTGTTCGATATTTTGAATTCGATATAATGAATTTCGATATTGTGAACGTCACCCGTTGCGAATATTCGCATCCGCATCCGCAAATGCGGAGCTTCCGCATAGATTTGGACATCTGCATCCGCATCCGCGAATGTGAGCCTTCAAAAATCCGCATTCACATCCGCGGATGTGAAAAAATCGGCATCCGCAACATCCCTGGTACATACCCTTTATCATAAAATGTACACACTGTATTTACACGTATAACCTATAAAAATCTTTTTCTATGATAACAGTTAAATAGGAGAATAATGCACGCGCCGCGCTAATGCGCACCACGGTATTTCATGTGGCTAGTTTTGCTTTTAAAATTTTCTTCACCTAATAAAAATAAACAAGTTTTATTAATTGTTTTTTTTTTAAGATAAGATAATTAAGTTTATATACCTAGTTTTATGTAATGTAATTAATGTTATATATTAAAATGGGTTGTTCCTTAGGGTCCATAAAGAAGCACCTGAAACTTTTTTTTTCTAAATTCCAAAGTCTAAAAATAATTTATAATAACCTTTATCCTCCTTACAAAAATGACAAAATTAACAATGCAAATTGTCAATTTGGCGTTTTTATTAATTGTTGGTTATTTCATTTTTGTACTGAAGGTAAATTCAAACAAAATCTGCCAACTTTTATGACAGAATCTAGTGCATTTCTTTTAAATTTTAGGTTATGTTTTCAAATTGTAAATATCTTAACTAAGGGAAGTGCTTTTGGATTTATTTACACAAATTAAATGTTTAAAATTTAACCTGTGAACTGGTCCCAATTTCATCTGAGTAAACAGAGAAAAAACTGATGAAAAAATTAATTTTGTGGTTATGGATTTCAAATTTCAAAGGTACTAAATTTTCTAATCATTGCTTAAGCTAATAGCTGGATCAGTAAATAAATACAGAAGGGTATTAGAGCTTTAAGGGCATAAAACTTTTGTATTTATTGAGTTTTTATTTATTTTTTGCAAGAAAAATTTTTAGTAACAATTTTTTACATCTGGCAAACCATAGCTACCTTGTTGGTTGGTATCTATGTACTCACAAAATACAGGTGTGCAGAGATAAACAAGTGTGTAACCAGTGGCGTATCACAAAAAATATAAAAAACTTCTAATGCATATTTTTTCTTTATCTTTGGAAAAATGTTTTTTTAAATATTTTTCCTTTATTCCTTATGTCAAAAGGTATTCAGTATTTTAATATGTAATATGTAATATGTAATTAATGTTATATTATAACATTAATTACATAACACCCTGTATATCAAATATTTTGTAAAATAAAATTGTATTTATATAGGCAGAAAGACTTCGGTCGATAGCCTTTTGGTTTTTCCAATAAATATATTTACTACTACTAAACAAGTTTCTCATTAAGCTACCTATTTTTAAATAACAATATTTACCTTCATAATCTCTCTAACGCCTTTATATTCCACCAAATCAATCATTTTCTTAATCATCTTAAAGCATGCCAACCAAAAATGCGGATTGTTATAGTGCAACTTTTCATATTGAATCACAATTTCGCAGACATGTCTTGACGATAACACATTTGCTTTAACCAAAGCTTCTAGAATATCCAACAACAATTGCAGTTGGCTCTGAGAACAATCAGAGGAAATAGACAAAAACTGCCTGATCGCGTTATCCACATGCTCAGGAGGTAAAGTTTTGAAAGCATTAGAAAGCTGCGATACCCAATGGGTTACTTTTTCCTGTTCTGAGTTTGGCCTGTGCACCAAAAAGCAACTGAAGGCTTCCTCTATGCCCTCAACTTTCAGAATATCGTTCAATACGTTAGTAATTGTTTCAGCCATGGTTAGTTGATTTTAAAACACTGTTATGACCAAGAAAAATACACAGCCTCACCGACAGTGAGGTTATGTTTTCGGAAGCCTCGAATTTCTTTACTAAAATGCATTTTGGAGATTTAAATAAATAAAATAATGTTTATGGCAGTAATTACATACCATGAAAGTATTTTTTTTTGTTAAATTTGTGGTTTTCAGTGATTTATCCCCCGGTAACCATGGAGACACAAATATTTACGAATTTTTTGTTGGCAGCACTTGTCAAATTATTTGTCTCAAATTGCAGACAGGACCGTATTAATTCTTTTAATTTATACAGTACTGTAATAAAATTCATCGATTTTCGGATACTTTTAAGTTATTTTTATTTAATCAGCAATAGCAATCTATTTTAATATTAATACTTTTCCCATTGCAATAATAATTAATAAAGCCGATAATTTTCTATTTATTTACCGAAACACTTGAGGGAAATGAATATTTATTTATCTCTTTATTGGAAAAATAACTATTAACTTTTTATTACATCGCCAAAATGAAACAACAGTTTATAGAACAGGTCAAACATTTTTGGAAAATATCGAGGATAAAAATTATTTTTATTGTTAAATTTTAGGTACAAGTGTTGATGGCTGTTCAACAGATTAAATATACGGAAGATTTGTTTGAAAAATCGAATTATATGTGGCTACGTAGGAAAAAGGATGAAATCGTTTGGATGTCCAATAAAGATGAATTTAAAATAAGGCAAGCTTTAAATAAAGTAAGTTTAAACAGATATAAAAAATTAATAAAGAAATTTTTTAAATCAGTTTTATTAGGTTTCTATTGTGGAACAAAATCAAGTAATAAAACAACTTTTGACTTGGGTAGACGAAAATCCCTGTATAAATCCTGGAAGAATTCCCGAAAAAACTGTACAATTTCTGGACCATGCAATCGCAAATAAAATCATTACGGAAGCAACTTTTTCGAGAATAAACAGTTTTAGAAACAGTTTGCGCAAATTTTCCATTAGGCATAACAGAGTGCAACCCAAGGAAATTTTGGATGGCGAAAAAATCGCCAGTCGGGTTACTTTTAAGGAAGAACCAACAATTTATCAAATTTGTGAATAAAAAACAAATATTACATTGGATGGCATTTATCAAAAACATTAAAGTGGGTAAACAAAAACCAGTAAAAGTTAGCCATGGACACTAGGGTGTCCCTTATTTTTATTTTTTTACGCATACCCTCTAATTATATTTATTACTTGTTTATATACTCCCAGTAAAAATTTCAGCTCATTCTATAAACGGGAACCCGTGCCGACTTGTATCTAAACCCTCCGTTAGCCAACGTTAGGCGCGCGCGGTATTTTGTAACACGAAACACTTTAAAAAGAAGATATACTTCATGACTGTATTTTTCTAATGATTTTATTAAATATGATTACTAATTAATATTATTGCTTTTGTTTCTATCATTTGTTTCACTAATTTAATTGATTTTATCCCTTAAATATATTAATATACTAATTAGTATTGCTAAAATATACTGTTATATGAAATTTCAGCGTTTTATAAGCATTTCTTTTCTTGATGTCCTCCCAAAAATATTTCAGACAATTCAATAAGTTTTCGGTAGTCATCTCTCACAATATACTATTTTAGTTATTTAGAGTAAAACCCATTAAGTTTATCAATTTCAGAGTTTACGGCCTATTCACCAGACCCTTCCGGGTAACTAGCCACTCCCTGTGAAAATATACATTTTTATCAAAGTATACACATAAATAAAACTATATTTTAACATTTGTCAATAATTTATAATATAAGGGTCACATAATAACAAACACAAAATGACTTACGATCGAAGACCTCGCGACCAACCGTGTTACAAAATACCGCGCGCCTAACGTTGGCTAACGGAGGGTTCAGATGCAAGTCGGCACGGGTTCCCGTTTATAGAATGAGCTGAAATTTTTACTGGGAGTATATAAACACGTAATAAATATAATTAGAGGGTATGCGTAAAAAAACATAAAAATAAGGGACACCCTAATGGACACATATCTGAATAAGTAGTAATGGGGTAGGAATTATGGAAATGTTACCAACACAATAAAAACAAATAGTTCTGGTTTATATTTTATTTAAGTAACTTTATTTACCCCAGAAATGAATGTGTATTTTTCTTGAAATTTGTTAATGACATGTTTGTATGGGTTTTTTAGTTCTTTATCTGTTTTTGGTATTCTACAAAATCTTTTTACTTTTGGAGACATTAAAACTAAATTCTGTATTAATCCATATGTACTTGAAGTTGTCCAATACAAAACTAGGCACTAAAATAAAAAAATATTGTGAATAAGTGTTCTTAGTAGTATAGTGGTATTAATATCTCATGGCGGGTGACCTTGAGAGACGCTGACAGACGCCATTCAATTTAATAAATAAATGGAAACTAAAAACATCCGCCACTTCCATAGACCTTTAAGTTAACTTAAATGTCTATGGATGCTTCCCAAATCTGTCATCTGCCAACTAATATAGTAAAGCGTTTTTTTCTTTATTTTATGAAATATATTGTAACATTAGATAATGACTGCAATTGAAGACCCTGCTGCAAAAAGGAGGTAACTCCATAAAAGTTATTTTTGAGTCATCTTTGCATTAAACAATGCAGAATAGTCTAGTTCACAGTTGTAAGGGTGTAAAAGTCACTTTTGTAAAAGTTACCCCCTTTTTGCAGCAAGGTCTTCAATTGCTAAGCAATGATCTGTAAAATATATAATGGATTTCAGTAAAAAAAAGAATAGAATCTGTGTATAATCCGAATTAATGACTTCTTTTTTTGCCGTTATTCATTTCGTATAACAAATATAATATACGACTTGTCTAATCGTCCGAACATACGGACGACTAATATATATTATTCGTCCGAACATACGGACGACTAATATATATTAGTCGTCCGTATGTTCGGACGAATAATATATATTAGTCGTCCGTATGTTCGGACGAATAATATATATTAGTCGTCCGGTAATAACATAACGTTAGTTACGTCATAATTATAATCCGCTTTTGTTCACCGACCGTTTAACATTTGACAACAAGCTAGATAGCTTATATGGTAGGGCGTTTGCTTGTCATGCGAGAGGTCCCGGGTTCGATACTAAGAAGCTGTCGAATTTTTTTTATTTTTTTATTTCATAAATTTGTTGTTTCTTTGTTAAATAGTGTTCGGTTGGGTTGGGTTGGTTGGTTTGTTTAAGTTTTATCGTAACATAAAATCTACTAGAAGTTCATAAATTTGTTGTTGCTTTGTTAAAAAGTGTTTTATTTTTATCGTAACATAAATTTGCCCATTTTAGTTGGGTTTTTTGTTCAATGGGTCGGGGGGGGGGGGGCCAATGGGGCGGGGTCGGTTGGGTTGTGTTGTTGAGTTTGAGTCCGATAATCTTTTTATTATTTATTAAAATTTTGTAATGGAACTCGTATAGATTTATTATTTATTTATGTTATTACTGGACGATTAATATATTTTATTCATCCGATGATTGGACGATTAATATATATTATTCATCCGATGATCGGACGATTAAAATATTTTATTCGTCCGATTATACGGACGACTAGCAACGGCCTTTCGACTTGTCTAATCGTCCGATCATCGGATGAATAAAATATATTAATCGTCCGAATATACGGACGATTAATATATATTAGTCGTCCGTATGTTCGGACGATTAGACAAGTCGAAAGGCCGTTGCTAGTCGTCCGAACATACGGACGACTAATATATATTATTCGTCCGAATATACGGACGACTAGCAACGGCCTATAATATAAGAAATATAATATTATATCAAATATAATAATAAAACAAATATAATATTATAACAAAATTTAATATAATATAACTAATATAATATTAGTTATAACAAATATGAAATAACAAATATAATAGAATTTCTAGCCTATAAATATGTTTAAATATGTCAATAAATATCAGCTGATGCTAGCATTGCCAACCCTGGGGTAGTATGTTTTTAGGACGGTGAGTAATAGCGCGATTTGACGGATTTGTGACGTTTGCGCGCCCAAGGTCACCCGCCATAAGATATTAATACCACTATACCAATGTTTTTAGAAAGCAATGGTAGGACCAAGTTAGTACTTACAGAAGGGACAGAGGCACCAATAGGAATCATTATAATACTGAAACCACGAAATAGGTTTGTAATAAAATTTTGAAATTTACTTGGAGGATTAACCCTGGATAAACTTTGAATCTAAAAAAAATACTATATATTTTTTAAAAATTGTATTATTTTTATTACCTCTATAATAGCTAAATTGATGATTCCAAGAGCAACAGGGAAAATCCATGAAGCATCAACTTCAATTAAGTTTGGAATCCATCCAAAACCCCCTAAAGTTAGTTCGGTAAACGTCATTTGAGCTTGAAATGTTCTTTCAGGTAAAACATACACCAAATTTCTCAGGCTGACTGAAAATGATATCCACATGGGTATTTGAAACCAAAACAAAAGACTGGCTTTGAATGGGTGACAGTTATCTCTGATAATCAAATTATTCCACTGCTTTTTAATCTGAAAAAAAATTAATTATTTAACATGTTAAGCTTGTTTGGTGAAAATATTACCTACAGATCTATTGTAAGTTATTTTGGCCATTTTTTCATCCCACTTGTACATTTTAATAGCCATTGCAGTCTCTCTTTTCAACTCTTCAACAATCAATGGCATTTCCAGCTTCAAATTCTCCAATTTTGCCATAATATAGTTTTGATAAATTGCCAGCGGTAAAGTAACGCTAGTTCTAAATAAAATCGTCGTACAAACTATAGTGGCCCACCATGGTAAACCTGAGGTGTCATGTATTGTAACTAAAGATTTTTGTATACATTCTACTGGAGCACTCTCCGATATTGCTTTAAAAATACCAGACTGAGTCCTAACCACGGATTCTACAGTGGATTGCAATGAAAAATGTCTTTTATTATGATAGCATTGTCTTTTTTCACTTAATAAAGAACTGTGTATTGAAAAACTGTAACATACTAAATTTTTTGAACTGTACAACCTAGTGTTGCAAGTTTTTAGCAATTTCACGGCGAACATGTTCAAAAATTTCCCAATTCCATTGTAATTATGCAAGAAACAGGAATCCTTTAAGTACCCACTATTTTGTATTTTTGGAGGTGACGTAAGTTAGGTTAGTTTCATAACTGACAGTTGATTTATTGCACACAGCGTTGCGAGATATAATTTATTACCAAAATTAATTTTCTTAATTTATCCTTTATTTTAATGTATAAGCAATACAAATATATAATATTATATTTTATAACAGTAAAATGTAATAAAAAATGGTGGAATTGTAATATATTAAAGAAAAAAAGGTAAAGAAATTCAATATATTTTCTTAAATCGTGATAGATTTCGTCGATTTGGCAACGTTGCGTTAAATTTCTCACCGGTAATAAAGAAATTTTGCTAATCCAAATCAGTGGCGTCGTTTTGTTGTTTCAAATCACGCCGATTTTAAATAAAGAACAACGTAAATCTGCAAAATTTGTAAATTATTTTGATAAGTAACTGTTTTTTAGGTGTTGTTTCATAAATTTATGTATTAATTGTGCCAATAGTTTTTAATTATAAATTTGATTTTGTTGCTTGACGAGTCGAACTGTATAAACACAAGTAGAAAGTTTATATTTCAGTCAGATGTTGAAAAAATATGCTTCTTAAGTGTAGTTTAACATCGTAATGCGGTTTATTTACGCTTTTATTACTATTTTAACGAATCTCGAGGATAATTTAGCACAAACTAAATTACTAAATATATAGGTTAAAAATATAGGTGAAATTAACGTGACCTATATTTGCATCCCTTGTTGCCAAAATGGGGTTGAGTTTTTCAGCGGAAAATCTAGTGAAAAACGTGGCCAGTTATGTGACCGGCAAAAAAAGGAAACATTGTGACTCTGAAGACGACGAGGTTAATAAAATAATTGATATTGCACTTCACACCCCCAAAAGGTAATTTTTTAGAGATAATTGCTAAATAAGGTGGTTTAACACTGTTAAATTAACAGAAAGCAAGTTGTATGATTTCAATCCCTTTTATTAAAGTTTTATTAAAACTGCCTAAGACACTTTAAAAAACTGTATATTGAAATAAATATATGTATAGGTAGGTATATAGTATATAGTTTCATGAATTTATATATAACATATAAGTATATGTTTTAACAATATGGGCAATTTTTTATTAATTGTTGTGTCCTGTTCTTTGACCTAATTATGAATGTTTGTGTTGTAACTTGGGCCCACACTGTTTATTTATTTCCTGATTTGGGCAAAGATTAATTTAATGGGAGAAATTTCTTACTACATAACAAAGTCTAAAAATAATTTAGATAAATAAATACCTATGCACTATGCATATAAATCAAGTGTTTTACCTATATGGTTCTACTATTTTCTTATATGATATTAATACAAAGTTATTTATAATTTATGATAAATATAATTGAACCAGGAAGTGAACATTAAAATGTTACTCAATGTTTTATTATAAAACTTTAATAGCTTTTTATTGTAAAATAATTTAATTTGTTTATATAACAGCTACTGTTATACCATTGAGTGAATCAATGGTTATACATAGGTACCTACCTACCTGTATATAACAACAGCATATTTTATTTTTATCACCCAGAGCCAGAGTACCTACCTACTACATGATAAAAAAAATTGTTAATGTATATATGTTTAAATTTTATTACCATAAAAGTGTTGGTACTTTTTGTCCTAATGTCTGAACATTAGGTGATGCACTATAGAGACCAATATTAAAAACTCTAACAACACTTACAGCTCATTTAAATTAACAACGTTTAAGCATTGATTTAAGGGTACTTTTCAAACAATGGTTTAAGTTTATGAATCGAGATATTCAGTTTAAAATTAAAATTTAATTAAATAATTTTTTTTTACATTATAAACTGCAATTTCTTAAAAATTACAATAACTTTTTTAAATTTGGTTTTGAGCAAGCAAGCAAGCAAAAGAGTTATATTCTGTTTGTGTAAAGATGTTCATCATAATTGAAGGGGCAAGTAAATGAGTAACAATTTTAATAATTAAGGATAAAAAATATTGTTATTGTAATTAAAAATTAACTTTGTATTGAAATTGCAATGTCTTTGTTTAAAGGAGTTATGCTACATTTAAGTTAAAAACAAACAAAACAATATTGTGATTGTAAATTTGGTTTTGCAATTAAAATACAATACTTGTTGACATTATTTGGGTCACTGCTATTTGAACCTAAGGGTTTTAAATTGGGAAAAAGTAAGGTTAACAGATGTCAGATTTGTTTATATATACGAGGGGCGACTATAATGATCTTTAAAATCGGGAAAAAGTGAGGTTATATTAAATTTTGTTATCAATGAAAATTACTTAATTGGAGCAGAAAAGGCACTTGAAATAATGCGCATTCTTTACTCGGATGATTTACGTCATCCTTGTGAATAATAGCCCCTTCAATTGTGAATCATATAAATGCGCTGTTGCCAGTCCCAACCAAGTTTAGCTCATCTTTTGTTATTTTTTTAGAAAAAAATTAACTACCACAGCAAATTACATCTACCAAGCACTGTTTGAGGAAGGAAAAAATTCAGATGTTACAGTTTGCGCTCTCGGTGAAGAATTTCATTTACACAGAATCTATTTATGTCAAAGTCCCTACTTTGCCAGCATGTTTGGAGGATCGTGGCTGGAAACCACGCAAAAATACATACACATAGATGTGGTAGATCAACTTATAACAATTGACTGTAAGACATTTTTAGAGTTAATTTATTATTTATGAATTTATAAATATTTTATTTTTTAGCTTTGAAAGTGGTTTTAGGCAGCTTATATAATTGTGAAATTACGTTAAATCCTTTAGAAATTGTACCAATTTTGGCTACAGCAACTATGTTCCAATTGGATGGATTAATTGAAAAATGTACTGAAGTTATGTTGGAAACTATTAATCCTAAGGTATTTTGTCCTACAAAACTTCAAAATACTTTAATTTTACAGATACCTATGTAGATACACTGCCCGTCAAAATTAACGCATAATAAGTAAACAAATTATAACTCTAAAACGCCTTTAACAATCTTTATGAAATTTTGTATAAAAACACTTCAACTTATATCTCAGTTTCCGTGTTCGAGGGTTTTTTCAAAAAAAATATTTTTAAAGCCCTGTAATTAAATAATAAAAAAAACTTTCTAAAAATAACTTTTAGAGATTTTTTTTAAGTAAATTAAAAATATGGTGTTAAAGACCGTATTTTTGTTAGTATACCCTAAAAATTTTGTACAAATCAAACGAACAGTAACAAAGATACAGCGCTTCAAAGTATAAAAATTACCCCTTTTTGGTTATTTTGCTGAAAAATGGTCATTTTTGACGACTTTGAAGCGCTGTATTTTCGTTACTGTTCGTTTGATTTGTACAACATTTTCAGGGTTTACTAACAAAAATACGGTCCTTCACAGGATATTTTTTATTTACTTAAAAAAAAATTTCCCTATAAAAGTTTTTTTTCGAGCGTTCTTTATTATTAAATATGGATATTTTCTCGAAAAACCCTTGAACACGTAAACTGAGATATAAGTTAAAGTATTTTTATCCAAAATTTTATAAAGATTGGTAAAGGCGTCTTAGAGTTGGATTTTTTTTACTTGTTATGCGTTAATTTTGACGCGCAGTGTATATCTTATAAACTATTTAATCTTATCTTTTAAAATTTTAACAAAATATTACTTTTATATGTCCTAAACTTCATAGCAAATTTGAACCTTCTTTTTTCCCAACATTTTCACTTAATAAACAGACTACATCTTTATTTTTATTTTAGACGTCTCTGGACTATTACAACGCCGCCTGCCAATATGGAGACAAAAAGTTGCAGCAAGTCTGTTTCCAATGGTTTTTGGTTAACCTAATGCCATACTACTTTAGCCACCCTTTATCGGAACTAAAAACAATTCCGATATCTCTGATGACGAAATTGGTGAGCGACCCTGATTTATTCGTCATACAAACGGAATATTCCATTTATGTTATGCTAAAATATTGGGTTTACATGTTGGAGCACTCTTCCGATCAAGAACCTTCCATCACGAACGTCAATGAGTTTTTTTGCGCTAGAAAAGGTATTTATAGGGGGGTTTTGGGATGTCTATAAATTTATGTTTTGAGTTGGGGTTTTAAAATTGTAACTTAATAATATTGGTGATATAATTCATAATTACACAAAATTTTATTATTGTAGGTTTTTAATTAAAATTAATTAAAACTTGTAATTTTTTATTTTCTGAATACACTATAACATTTTAGTATTTTTTTCACAGATAAAATTCCTTTTGTCCTAAGCAAAGAGGGCAGAAAGTACATACCGGTTTTCGAAGGTTTAAGATTACAAAATCTGATATCGCATCAACTTGACGTTTTACTCGTTTTACGCGACAACATAATACCGCGCACCTGGCTGGACCCGGTCATCTTGCAACAGTGGAAAAACGTCCTCAGGGTCAACCAGAACGACGACAAGGGGTGAGTAATCGCGAAGCGCGGCAACACCGCATCGTACATTTCAACTACCCAAAGTGTATAGTGTATTTGCGGCTGTTGGAAAAATTATGGTCACAAGAGTATAATCAACTTAATTTTTCTTTTTAAGAATTTGAAAATTGAAAGAGACAGAATTTTTTATTAACTTTTACACCCTGAAATATTTGCTGCTGTTGGAAAAATTATGGTCACAAGAGTATAATCAACTTAATTTTTCTTTTTAAGAATTTGAAAATTGAAAGAGACAGAATTTTTTATTAACTTTTACACCCTGAAATAAAGCTTTAAAGCATACAAGTTCATATAAAATTCCTTTCTTATTTTTGCGTTCTATCGACTATTAAATTTTCCCGATTAAAATCTGAGATATTGTGTATATCTTTCTATGGGTATTTTTTTATTTGAAGAGCTACAAGGTAGGTTAAAATCTCAAAATATTTAAAAAAACTAAAAACCTTTCAAAACTAAAAAAAACCATAACTTCATTATTCCTGTAAATTTAAAAAAAGTAAGTTTTACATGTAAAAATACACATTAATCTAAATTAATCTACCTTTTTATCAAATTTCACTACCATATTATATTTTGATGTACATTAATACACAATAATCTACATTTTCATCTAATTTTTGTAATGCTATATTTTTAGCTACCATTGCCATATTTTGTTTCTAAAATGGCCGCCATAACTTATGTAAAATTCCAATATGTAAGCCATTGGAAAAACAAAAGATGGTGGTGGTAATCTAGTAGGTGAAAAAATATCACAAATTTGAAGAAAATGTAGATGAACGTGCATGTTTACATACAAAATAATTTACATTTTCATCTATTTTTTGTACTGCTATATTTTTAGCCACCATCACCATCTTTTGTTTCTAAAATGGCCGCCATAACTTATCTAAAATTCCAATATGTCAGCCATGGAAAAAACAAAAGATGGTGGTGTTAATCTAGTAGGTGAAAAAAAAACACAAATTTGAAGAAAATGTAGATGAATGTGCATGTTTACATACAAAATAATTTACATTTTTATCTATTTTTTGTACTGATATATTTTTAGCCACCATCACATCTTTTGTTTCTAAAATGGCCGCCATAACTTATCTAAAATTCCAATATGTCAGCCATGGAAAAAACAAAAGATGGTGGAGGTAACTCAAAATCTAGTAGGGGAAAAACATCACAAATATAATGAAAATGTAGATAAATGCGCATGTTTACGTGTAAAACTCATTTTTTTCAAAATTCTTATGTTTAACGAAGTTATAACGATTTTTTGTTTTACCAGGTTTTTGTTTTTTTAATTATTTGAGAATCGCAGATTTTTTTCAAAATTTCAAATGCTATTTTAAAAGACTTGTAATTATGCAACTTTATACCAAAGATTAAATACTCTTTTAATATATTTAATCTTTGCCAATACATAAAAAGATACTTGGTGCACCCTGTATAACCTCAATTGCAATTTTTTCTTCACCTCAAAATTTTGACATTTGTTACTAACAAGGCAAGTGGTATTTTTTAGGCCTACTAACGTCCCAAATGAAGTTTTCTTGTCGAATAGCTTGAGATGTGGTAGAATATTGCAAGTAAACGAAAGGCACGTGTGGAGGTGGACTGGTTTCCATTTTGGAATAGATTTATTGATGATTACCGATGGAATGACTCTGTCTATCAAAAGAAATCACCGGTCCGAGTTCGAACAACTTTTGAGCTTCCAAACGTCACGGCAGGTGACGATAAGGTGCTACCAACTGCATAAAAGTTAACACGTGGCTAATCAGATTATTTTAGGGTGACTGTGGTGAATTTGAACGAACAAAGACAAATCGTTTACTCGAAAAAATCAGAAATAATGGAGTTGTCCCTTTCGAAAGGCGAGGAGGTGCAACTGATGACTTTCGATGATAACTTAAAACATCCCATAATAATTTCTGCGAATATCATGTACACCTCTCCGGAAAACCAGGAAATAATAGATCAAGAAGAAAATCAAACTATATCATAGCAATTGGTCAAAATTTTAGGCATAAGATAAACATAAGCTAAAAATTTGTGGTTACGAAATATGTAGTAAATTAAAATTTTTACCTTACAATCGCTGTTATAACCATAATTTTCTATGTATTTTATATTGTGAACAGAGTTTATATAAGCAACCTCATATAGGCGACGTTGTCAGATGTAAGGTGCGTCGCCATTGGTTGATTTTCTTCTAGTCTTCTTGACGTAACTTTAGAAATATTACCACAACATATACAACTTGATGTATTTTTCTGTGATTTGTCTGTATAAGCACATTTATACTTAATTCTCTTGTATTAATTATTACGAAAGATGTGCTAATTATTTTGTAAGGTTAAAAATTGTTTCCATTTTTTAGAGATGTGCATTTTAATGTACTGTGATAAGAAGTTGGTGCCTAATTTTGCAGTTTCAAGATAATTTAAAATTTAAATTTAAGTGCAATATGAGGGAAATTGGAGTATTTTTTACAGTATATTTTGTGCCATTTAAGGGTTACCAAAGTAATATTAAGGATTTATTTATATAATCCATTCTTTATTTTAAATAATAGTTATTTTATTTATAATAATGATTTATTCATTATAATATTAAGATATGAATGGATTATATGGTAAAACATTTTTTATATGATTAATTTTGGGTTTAATTTATGTAAAATGTCCGTTTTTTGACTATCTTTTTTTTTCTAATTTTTGACGGCAGCATGCATAAGCGGGTATTACTTATTAACAATTAACTACATATTATTTTTTACTTTGCGCTATACATTAATTTTGCTAGTCAAGTTTGCTTATAACATATTTTCAAATATACATATACATTATAAAAAGCATTTTATTGAAACAATACTTCCTGTGATTTTTTAAGGTAGGTACATAAAAAGCAGCTAACAAAAAATCATTTATTTTATAAACAAAACTAAATAATCATATAAATTTGAGGTATCAATTTTGAACTTAAATATAAATGTTATATAAATATACAGTAGAGTGGGTCAAACATTCGATTTTTTCGAAATTAATTTGGTAATTTCAAAAATATTAATCTTTGAGGTAAAAAATTAAATGTTAAAATCACATTTAAACGGTAGCTTTAGGAGCAAAACCGGCCAAATCCACGTTTTTATAGCAAACCCGGGTATATCCAATAAATAATAATATGTGGCTTGGATATGTCGATACTACTACTAAAATTTGTTGTTTTTTCATGTTTGCACTAAATTTATTTTGTTAATATTTTTGAATAATATAGGTTTTTTTACATTTTATTCGGTTTTCGAGCAAAACCGGCTATGTACAAAACATTTTTTGAAATTTTGGCCTTCATATAAAGTTTTTGAAAACGAAAGTATGTCTTATAAATCAAGTACCACAAAGCCATCAAAACTCAAGTTTGCTTTTTCTTTTATCTGTATAAAGGCCAGGAAACCGAGAGTTTTTGCCATTTTCCCAACATTTTATTAAAGTGGATGCTCCTCAATTATTATTGATTGCTTTTCACCATGACAATGTCTTACAATTAGTAATTTTTAACTAATTCATTTAAAGAGAATACGTAAAAGGAAATTTATTGAAGTTACTGACAAAATTTGACGAATTATTTTTTTACCCATTATTTACCTACTTATTAAGTAAGTTTTGTCAAAAAATGACAATTTTGAAATAAAATGGCGATTATCTCTTGAACTACAATATTAATGGAAAATTTAATTTACAGAATACAGTGTGACCCATTTGTTTGCGACCCACCCCTGTAAAATCTTTATTTATTGTGCGATTTTAACCAGATTTTTTTTAAAGTGTAGATCTTGATAAAATGTATTTTTAAAGAAAAAAATCCATATTTTTTACAAAATACAATACTATGTCAGTTTTTAAGAATAAATTTTTAAGGGATCACCACCCCTCAAAAAGACCCTATACTAAATTTTATTGAAAAATGTTAAGTAGAAAAATGCACAATAATAAGAACAAAAATATATTCTGTCAAGTTATCCATGAAAAAAACATTGAAATAAAATCAAACTAATAGTAAGATGGTACTAAAAATACAGTTTATCAAGATCTACACTTTAAAACAAATCCGGTTAAAATCGCACAATAAATAAAGATTTTACAGGGGTGAGTCGCAAACAAATGGGTTACACTGTATAAAAAAATTACTAATAAAATAAGACAATTTTGTGAAAAAAATAACAATTTCAAGATAAATTCGCGATTATCTCTGGTTCAAAAATTTTCACATGATAATAAGTACTTTTTTAGACAATTAATTTTTTTAATTATACATGGTATATAATATTCTTCTATGGCTATTTTTTATTTAAAGAATTACAAGGTCGGTTAAACTACAGAAAAGTTGCCTAATTACAAGTCTTTTAACATGAAATTTTTAAATTGAAAAAAAGCCAGCGATTCTCAAAATATTTAAAAAACCTTTCAAAACCAAAAATCGTTATAACATTGTTATTCTTAAGAATTGTGAAACAATTTTTACTTTAAGTAAGTTTTACATGTAAACATACACTTTAATCTACATTTTCATCAAATTTCTTTGATATGTTTTGAGTTAGGTAGGTACCATCACCATCTTTTGTTTTATAATGACCGCCATAACTTATTTTGTTCGATTTCTTGATTTTTTTCTATCTAATCATGTAAAATTTCAAGATGGCGGCTAAAGAAAAAACAAAAGATGGTGGTGGTATCTCAAAATCCAGTAGGAGAAAAAATCAGAAATTGGACTTATGTACTTTTTCAAAATTCAAACAATTTTTGGTTTTAATAGACTTGTAATTACGCAACTTTTGCCTTATTTAACCAACCTTGTGGCTCTTCTAATAAAAAAGATATCCATACATAGAAGGATGCACCACCCTGTATATAAAAAAATACCTTTATAATATGTTTTGCTAAAACAATTACAATGACAATAACATCGCAATTATCTCTGAAACTACAATATTTATGCATAAGGAGCTTTTTTGTAGACAATTAAATTTTCCAACAAATTATATAAAAAAACTATTTTTACTTTTAAAACATGTTTTGTTAAAAAAATTACAATTTTAAGTTAAAATCGCAGTTATCTTTGAAACTGCAATATTTATGCGATAATTTTAAAGGACCTTTATTGAAGACAATTAAATTTCCTAACAAAATCAACAAAAAAAATGTTTTACAGATAAGTGCATTTGACGAGCCTAGGATGTTGACCAAAAAATATTTTTTGTGCGCATATTTTTCTTTCTCGTCAAAAAATAATACCATTACACATTAATTTCGTAAAAAGCGCATATTCGACCCACTCTAAAAACAGTCTTTTAAGGTTTAAGTATCCAATAAATGTACATTTTTTAACAAGTTATCCTTCATTCTTTTTAAATGAACCTTAAGCGACTTCTGTTTTTTTTCCTCGTCCCCAAAGGAATCGCTGATACTTAAAAACCTCGTTAACAACGTTTTTATGTCTTCCACTAATTCTTCCAGATAACCCAGATCTATTAGAGATTCAAACATGTTTAGTCTTAAATCGTCGAGCAAATTCGCCACTAGTGCATAGGCTATACATTCAACTCTCAGAATGTTGGTACCGGATTCCAGCGACCACTGGTATATTTGCGGTACCGTTTGGTGGGTCAATCGGTTTCTTTCTATGCTTTCCGACAACGATAAGCACAAATCGTTCATTAGATACCTATCGCAGAGAACTATAACGTCCAGCAACGTTTTCAGATCCAAGTCCACATCAATACTGGACTTTTTCTCCACGATACCCATCAGGTTCAATAGGCACCTTAAAGGTTTTAATTTGACGTTCTGCAAGAGTATCTCGTCCTCGGACGACTCCTTGAAATACCCGTTTAAGAGCCTTCCGAAGAAGTCGGAACTCGCACTCAAAAAATCTCTATCCGCCTTCAACGTGCTGCCATCTGTCAGCTTTATCGTGACCAAATTCTCGCACGTTAGAGGCTCCTCGTATTTGTCCGCTTCTATCCGGTTCACGGCTTCGGCGAACATCTGCGATCTCGGATTGGCTATCGACAGCTTGCGGCTGGCCAATGCGCACAGAACTTTGATGCTCTTGCGTTTTTCTTCCGTTTCGGAGGGTTCCGTCATCAGTTTCAGGAGGATTTTCAGGCCGCCGCAGTTGATGAGGAGTTTGGAGAGGATCGCCTTGTTCCTAAGAGAAAAAAGCGTATTTTCTACAAACTACAGGGTGTTATGTAATTAATGTTATATATTAAAATGGGTTGTTCCTTAGGGTCCATAAAGAAGCACCTGAAACTTTTTTTTCTAAATTCCAAACTCTAAAAATAATTTATAATAACCTTTATCCTACCAAAAAGTACGCCACTGATCGACTAGGAACTTTAGGTTAATCTGGTGGATTTATTATGTTATGGTTGGTAACAACAGTTTTCCAAAATCTCTCAAAAAAGTTGACAAACATTGTTTAAATTTAGCTTAATTACAAAAATGACAAAATTAACAATGCAAATTGTCAATTTGGCGTTTTTATTAATTGTTGGTTATTTCATTTTTGTACTGAAGGTAAATTCAAACAAAATCTGCCAACTTTTATGACAGAATCTAGTGCATTTCTTTTAAATTTTAGGTTATGTTTTCAAATTGTAAATATCTTAACTAAGGGAAGTGCTTTTGGATTTATTTACACAAATTAAATGTTTAAAGTTTAACCTGTGAACTGGTCCCAATTTCATCTGAGTAAACAGAGAAAAAAACTGATGAAAAAATTAATTTTGTGGTTATGGATTTCAAATTTCAAAGGTACTAAATTTTCTAATCATTGCTTAAGCTAATAGCTGGATCAGTAAATAAATACAGAAGATATTAGAGGTTTAACGGCATAAAACTTTTGTATTTATTGAGTTTTTATTTATTTTTTGCAAGAACAATTTTTAGTAACAATTTTTTACATCTGGCAACGCATAGCTACTTTGTTGGTTGGTATCTATGGTTGGTATCTATGTACTCACAAAATACAGGTGTGCAGAGATAAACAAGTGTGTAACCAGTGGCGTATCACAAAAAATATAAAAAACTTCTAATGCATATTTTTTCTTTATCTTTGGAAAAATGTTTTTTTAAATATTTTTCCTTTATTCCTTATGTCAAAAGGTATTTAGTATTTTAATATATAACATTAATTACATAACACCCTGTATATTTATCGCGATTTCAGCCATTTTGAAGCTCTGATTTAGAAAGTTTTAGATTGTTAATTTTATTAGTTGTGTTAATTAGACTGGGCCAAAAAAATCGACTATTTTTTTTGTAAAGTATATTGAAAATATTGTTTGGGGTGACAAACAAAAATTATGGTGAAAGTTTAAGTCCATAATATTAATATTAAGAGGTCTATCATCGCAATTTTAGATTTTTTTTCCTGAGCGAGTTTTTGTCTCAGAACTACCAAATCATTGAGTTTAACAAAATTGACTTAAGAATATTTTTTGAAGAAAATTGAATGCTCTACAAAAAAGGTTTGATTGGAATTTCCCGTCAGATTAACCGTTTTCTTACAATCATGCCTTAAAATTGGTATAGTTTTACAATTTGATCTTTTAACTGGAATTTTGTAATTCATGTAAAAATCAGTACCCTGAAAAAAACTGATAAATATTCTTATGGGAAATCAAATGTTCTACAAAAAAGTATTTTATCATTTTTGGCTAAATTCACTCCATCAAAAGTTATTTAAGGTTAAATTTGAAGCCAAAACGAAATTTTAACCTTAAATAACTTTTGATTGAGTGAATTGATTGTAAAGCATTTGATTTCCCATAAGAATATTTATCGGTTTTTTATGGGTACTGATTTTTAGATGAATTACAAAATTCCAATTTAAAAGATCAAAATGTAAAACTATACCAATTTTTTATGGCATGATTTTAAGGAAACGGTTCATCTGACGGAAAATTTCACTTTAACCTTTTTTGTAGAGCATTTAATTATCTTAAAATAATATTTTTAGTCAATTTTGTTAAACTCAAAGGTTTGGGAGTTCTGAGACAAAAACTTGCTGAGGAAAAAAAAATAAAATTGCGATGATAGACCTCTTAATAATATTATGAACTCAAACTTGCACAATAAGTTTTTTTTGTCACCCCAAACCATATTTTCGATATACTTTTCAAAAAAAAATAGTTGATTTTTTTGGCCTAGTCTAGTGTTAATAATTTATAATTATAGGGCAAGTCAAAAAAGGGGTAAAGTAACATTTTAAATAATAAAGAACAAAATATATTGTAATTGCAGTACCAAAAAAAAAAAATTTATTTACATTATGTATTTCAATTAAAAAATTGATTGTCTTTTATTATTAAAAATGATACTGTCCTTTATTATTAAAAATGATAATTAAGTATTAACTGCTTTATCAACTTGCCTCTTCAATTAACAAAATATTTTGCATGTTATATGAGGTTTTTCCCAAGCTGACTGTTGTACTGTACATTTTACCATCAAAGCATGTGCACTTTTTTTGAACTGCGCATGCTTTGACGATACAATATCCAAATGGCCAGCTTGGCACAACATTTAATAATATGTATATAAAAAATTGTTCAATTATTTTTTTCAGATACTATAGTTCGTATGTTATGCTCCACACATCAAAGTCCTTAAGACCTTTATTGATGAGACCCGTATTTTTTCTTTTTGCTTAAATTTGTTTTGTTCACCCATAGGAAATTTTTCAAAAATGGACAGAAACATTTTCCGCTTTTAACGAGTGACATTTTACCTTAAAAATGCGATACCTTTGTAAAGTGTAATTTACAACACCCCAGTTTCATGACCCTAGATAAAATACCAAATTTTTGCGATGAACCACGAATTTACTAGAAAATGGCACTTTCATTAAAAAAATAATAATTCCGAAACGACGAATTTAGCCAACTCGGGAATTTCGGTGAAAGTTGTTCATATTATCAACTTCAAACAAAAAAATATGAAAAAAATGCGAGTTCAAAAGTTATTCAAAGTCAAAGTTAAATTTGATAATTGCATTTTTTACTTCAATTTTAGGCAAATTCCTAGTTAGTTATTATCAAATATAAAAAAAATCATTCAAAAAATCAAAATTATTATTATTATTATCAAATATAAAAAAATCATTCAAAAAATCAAAATTACTATGTTCAATAAGCACTGAAACACCTACTATTTTAGGAATTGATTCAATTTTTTTTTTGATCGATTAAAATCCTTTTTAATGAATTCTTTCCAGAAATAGTAGGTGTTTCAGTGGAATTAATTTAAAAGGCTTATTGAACCTTTTGACCTCGTTGGTTTATCGAAAAATGATAGGAGACATATTTGTAGGAAACAGAAATTTTCGATGCGCGACCTCTAAATATAAAAATTAAGAGCTCCGGTTTTCACAGGTGTCCTTTTTGGGTACCGTGAAAAAATTTCAGTGCAAAATTTTAGAAGAAAAAAAATAGTTGATTTTTTTGAACCAGCCTAATCTAAACTGTTTTGGCCAAGTTATCGCTCGTAAAAAGGAAATCGATGTTTCTGTCCATTTTTCAAAAATTTCCTACGTGTGAACAAAACAAATTTAAGCAAAAAGAAACTGTAAAAAAAATTTCGTTGAAAAATAACGACCCACCCCTTTTTGCCTGGTCGATTTGAGATGGAAAGACCCACATACAAAAATACATATATTGCATTATTTTCAGAAAATAACATAAAATTGGCTTGACAGTGACATAAAATAAAGTTTATTTAATAAACCTTAATTATTTATGTCAAAGTCAGGTGGTGGGACTCTTATGTGTGGTCTTTTATAGAATTATATTATTATCTATTTGCCTTAACAAAACCGCGTTTATTTTTTGGTTCAAGGGCCCTCTCAGTCTATAGTAGGGTGTGTCATTTTTGAGCAACTTTTTTTTTCATCTAAAAAACAGGCTAAAAACTTTCAGGAAGGTGAAACAAGAAGCCTCTAAAAATTTAGCTCTAAATATTAACATTAAGTGGTGCCTGTTCCTTACTCTCCATTTTCCATTTAAATAACTTGAAATAGCCTGTTTTTTAGTTGAAAAAAAAAGTTGCTCAAAAATGACACACCCTAGTTTATAGGATAATCCAGCCCTGTGTTTAAGTTAAGTAAGCATAATAATTTACGTTTATTTTTAATACATTTAATACATCGGTAATTTCCCTCACCCTTACTCCAAGGCGGAAAATTTTAACTGGCAATTGTAAACAAATAAAAAATGCGTTTATTGATATTTATATTTTCAAATATTTATAGTTTTGTCTTAAAAATACCAAGCGTTCTATAAGTTCGGGGCCCACTCGGGAAAGCTTTTTTTGGATCAATAGTTATCGGTAACTATCGATAGTTATCGAAAGTTTTCCCAACCCTAAAATTTAGTAGGTTCTGCTTTATTGTGAGTTTCAAAATGGCGGCCTAAATAACTTATGTTCTTTGTATACATAACTACAAGGTTTAGACCTCTCACCTGCGCGATCATATATTCTTTAAATATGTGGTATTTTCTGACAGTTTTTGTGAAAAAATTAAAGCTTTAAACCATCTTAACTTTTGTACCTTTTTATTTTTGATGGTAATTGTAAGAATAAAAAAATTATGATGATTTTAAAGTTTCGATTTTTTGACACAGAAAAATCTGTCAGTTAAACTAATATTTTAACTTATCTGACATACAGCGTTGCCAATTTAAAAATAAAAGTAAATAAAATTAATAATGAAAATTTCAACTCACCTGATAATGTAGGGCATCACGAGCACCAATTGTTTCTTCAGGTCCATCTCGCCTCTTAAAATTTGATGCGCGATGTTGCCTTTTCCGACGCCCGATTCGGCCAAAATCGTCAGCTTCGTCAAGATCATCTGGCCAATCTGCTGGAACTGCAGACACTTGTGACACTTGGACGCGTGCGTCATCAAAGTGAGGTTATAGACGGTTTCGACGAAGTTGGTGCGCATCAGAGTGATGAGGTAATCGTGGGACCTACAAGTGATTCGATGAAGAACATATGTACATATGGACGACTTGACAACCGCGCTATTTAGGTCGCTCGTGACGTCACGAAATGTCTGAACATTTTTTCCGGTTTAGTCGGAAAAAAATGATCAGATATTTCGTGATATCACGAACGACCTAAATAGCGCGGTTGTCAAGTCGCACATGTTCTTCATTGAATAACTTAAAATTTACATAAATTTTATTTTGTAATCATGAAAAAATAAAAGTAACGGCTGATTTGCCAAATGTCAAAGGCGAGGAGTGCGACGTTGCCACGCAATTACAAAGTACCTACTTTAAAACTAAATTTATTTTTTTTTATCTGGACTGCGGCAACGTTGAAAATTTAGGAGTTTGGTTGGTAAATACTGAACCAAAATTGGTTGCATTAATTAAAACAAACCAAACTAGTTATAAATGTAATTAAAAAGTAATTGTAGGTTACATTGAACGCTTGTCAAGTTAAGTCAATGATTTTAATTTGGCTTTAGTAGTGAGTAGATGAGTAAAATCATATAAAAAAGTAGTTAAATATAGGTGACTACGGCTCAGGAGAGACAAAGGGTATTTTGTTAAAGCCACTGGACGTTAATACTTGTAGTGACTTAATAATAATTATAATGTATATAATGTCCAGAACTACACTGCCCGTCAAAATTAACGCATAATAAGTAAAAAAATTCTAACTCTAAACCGCCTTTACCAATCTTTATAAAACTTTGGATAAAAATACTTATATCTCAATTTACGTGTTCAAGGGTTTTTCGAAAAAATATCCTTAAAGCCCTTTTATTTAATAATAATAAAAAAACGCTCGAAAAAAACTTTTATAGAGAAATTTTTTAAGTAAATAAAAAATTTGCTGTGAAATACCGTATTTTTGTAAGCATACCCTGAAAATGTTGTACAAATCAAACGAACAGTAACGAAAATACAGCGCTTCAAAGTCGTCAAAAGGACCACTTTTCAGCAAAATAATCAAAAAGGGGTAATTTTTCCGACTTTGAAGCGCTGTATCTTCGTTACTGTTCGTTTGATTTGTACAAAATTTTTAGGGTATACTAACTAAAATACGGTCTTTAACAGCATATTTTTTATTTACTTAAAAAAATTCCCTAAAAGTTATTTTTCGAAAGTTTTTTTAATTATTAAATAAAAGGGCTTTAAAAATATTTTCTCAAAAAATCCTCGAACTTGTAAACTGAGATATAAGTTGAAGTATTCTTCACACGCAGTGTATTAATGAACAGTAACTTGCAAATTGAAGGAAAAAGTTTCGTGATTATTGCTTATCTTTTCAAACCAAATGGATGCTATTTTCAAAGACAGGAAAATTAACTACTAGATTTTTCACAAAAAGGTTTAACCTAACAGCAAATAATTTTTATTTTTTGTCTTTTTATTTCCCCATTATTTTTTAAAATTTCAAAAATTTTTGATCTGCTAAGCTGAAAATAAAGTGTGATTTAATATTTGTTAAACCAAAAACGTTACTTTTTTACTCCAAAAATGTCCATAAGGCGACGTACTTTTTCTTACATTGAGGCATAACTTCATCGAAATGAAGTTTAAAATAATAAAAATCCTAAATCAAACTGGCATAAGCTACCAACTTAATAAAAAAACACGAGTCCAAATAAAAAATGAACTGTACTTTAAAACTATATAAACTATTTTATTTTGGTACTAACTGCAATATTCGGCAAATTAAGTCGATGGTGTCGATATTCGAGTGATGTTGCCAATCGAAACATCCGGAACATTTCAGCAAGGCTATAAGTAAGTCTTCGGAGGCAAGTTGAGGTACGGCTGGTTTTATTTTGATGTAGGTTTTGAGTAGTTTGGCGATTTCGGTTAGCAGTCTTATTTTTAGGTTTGTAAGAGTACTCTTATCAATTATATTATCTAAAACAAAACCTCACTCAAAAATATACCCAACCAAATCTTGGATGTGGATTAAATAACAAGAAATAAAAAAAACATCTATAACGGCAACACTGTTGGATGAAAACTTTCCAAGCAAAAAATTATCTTACCACAATTATTGCTTTGTTTCTCAACGTGTTCGGCAGGTTCGGTGGCTTTTTCGACATCTTCCGTCGTTTTCTCCTCGTCGTTCGCCAACGAGTTGCCCTCGTAGTCGCTCACATCGGCATCACTGCACACGGGAGAATAATCGTCCGAATCGGAATCAGAAAAATCTACAAACAATGCAGTATATTAATATAAGATAAATTATTAATAATAATAATTTATCTACTCATATTGCACAATATTGTTTTTTTTTTCGGGAATAATGATAAACATTGTAAATTTTCTGCCCAATAACGGGAATAATAATAATACGTTGTTTGGCATTAGTGATTGGCCGATTTCAATACTCAGTGTGATTTGAACCAATCGGGATTTAAATTTGAAGAAGGCGACTATAATAACATTTAAAATTGGTAAAAAGTAAAGTTAACTATTTGACAGATGTCAGATTTTTTTTTTTTTTTTTTAATCATATACTTATTGGAGTAGATTAAGTATATACAATATATATTTGTTTGTGACTCACCCCTGTAATATGTGTTTGTTTTACAAGTGTTGAAAAGCAACTTTTTCATGCGAGTGTTTAAGTTGCTCACGAGGCCGTCAGGCCGAGTGTGCAATAGCACGAGCTTGAAGAAAGCTTTTTATCACAAGTGAAATACAATGTTTTTTCTACGAAACTTTAATTTTTTATCATTTTCAAATACAAAACAAAATAACCTAAAAACGTGTTTGACAGCTGTTAAAATTACTTACAATGTCAATTTCTTTTCACACAGACCTGTCACTTCACACAGAAATGTCACTTTACATTCGGGGTTTGCCTTGCCAATGAAAAGATTCATTTTCTAAGCAACGATTCCACTACGAAATGTGACTTTTATATAGTGGTGTCATGCTTAGATTTTGTTTAAAAAAATCGCTTATATAAATTCTTAAAAATTTACTCTTAAAAACTGACATAGTAGGCCTTGTATTTTGTAAAAATATTGCGTTTTTGCTTTAAAAATACAGTTTATCAAGATCCAAACTTTAAAACAAATCCGGTTAAAATCGCGCGCACAATAAATAAAGATTTTACAGGGGTGAGTCGCAAACAAATGGGTCACACTGTATACTATACTATAGTATTACACTCGAGATTATGCGCATTATTCACTCGGATGATTTAAGTCTCTCGTCGGGCGACTCGAGACGCAAACCTCACCCTCGTAAATAATAGCATACATTATCTCTCGTATAATAATATACAATTATTTCATAATTTATTACCTTGAGTGTTTTTCTACTGCAATAAAGTAATTTTCATTAATAATAAAATTTATTATAACCGCACTTTCTCCCGATTGTAATAATCATTATAGTCGCCCCTCGTATATTTAAAAAAATCTGATATCTGTTCCAAAGTTCCAACTCTAATTTTTCCCAATTTAAAACCGTCAACACCACGGTCTTATACCGTACTTTCAAACGAAAAAAATATGGCAATGTCAAAATTTTGACCTCAATTTTTTTGCCCTTTTTAGAAAAAACAATTAAAAAAAATTTAATGAATTTACTTAATTCTCTAAAACACCTTTACCAATCTTTATGAAATTTTGTATGAGGATACTTTAACTTCATGCTCACTTGAAATAAGAAATAAGAATAAGAAATAAGATAAAAAGTTAAAACTGTGTAAAGTAATGTTCATGTTCATGAAAATAAGAAATAAGACTAAAGATAAATAACTTTTAACTTTGGTTCTTATTTTTGCGTATAAAATTGCGCAAAGGACCAAAATGGGTCTGTGAATTATTTTGATGGGTTTTATGTGCTGGCCATGGAGCCATGGTGTTGGAAATCGCGTTGAGTGTCGCTGTCGATTGTTTACGTTTATAGCCAATATAATCCACTATAATAAAATATAATTGTGTGACAACATTTTTTATTTCTTATGTTATCAGCATGAAATATCAATCGCGATCTTATAGTCCGGGAGGCAGTGAAGATTTTCGGTACTTATTTTCCCAGTCGGCAAACACCGATACAATTATTGGGTTTGTTATTCTGAGCAAAATTTATATATATTTAGGGGGGGTTTTCCGATGGGTTAAGGCGGAAAATGCGTTATAAAGTACAAATATATTGCACTTTTTTTTCCAGTGATAAAAATAATTCCATTAGTGAGAGATATAGTGAACTTAAGAAAAAAAATAGTCTGGCTAATCTGTGAGTATGGGTAATATGTCTGGCAGGTGGAAAAATTATCAAAACCATTGCCCTTATTTTCGCAGTCCTAAAAATTTTGTGAGATGATAGTTTATATTATAATTACAGCTGCAAATATAGTCTGGCTAATGTGGAACACTCCGAAAGCCTTGCCAGACTCGTCCAACCGGGAGGCAGTGAAGATTTTCGGTACTTATTTTCCCAGTCGGCAAACACCGATACAATTATTGGGTTTGTTATTCTGAGCAAAATTTATATATATTTAGGCGGGGGTTTTCGGATGGGTTAAGGCGGAAATTGCGTTATAAAGTACAAATATATTGCACTTTTTTTTCCAGTGATAAAAATAATTCCATTAGTGAGAGATATACTGAACTTATGAAAAAAAAATAGTCTGGCTAAACTGTGAGTATGGGTAATATGTCTGGCAGGTGGAAAAATTATCAAAATCATTGCCCTTATTTTCGCAGTCTGGCGGGGCTTTCGTGATTGTAAATAACAGCCAGACGTGTATTTTCTACGAAATTATAGTATTATTTATCATGTGACAAATTTTCAAATCCGGGAAAATAAGAGCAAAATTTTTGTAATTCTTACGATTTTCAAGATGCCGCCAAAACAATTTGCCAATTTCATAAATCAGCCAGACTTAATTTTGATTATAGTTTATGACAGTACCAAATAATGGGTTAAATTTTAAGCATGGGAAAATAAGGGCTACGTATTTTAAAAACCGGTCAAATTTTTGCTTCCGCAAATTTTCAGCCAGACTGACTTTCCTTCACTTGGGATGTGCCAGACTGTTATTTCCATTAATAAAATGACTCACTTTAATTAATGTGAAATATTTATGACTGGGAAAATAAGTGGACTTGACTTTTTGGCTCATCTAGTGAACCCATCCGAAAATTTTAGCCAGACACACAAATTGTCGTTTTGTGTCACCATTTGAACAAACTTAATGACATTCACAAACTGGGAAAATAAGTACCGAAAATCTTCACTGCCTCCCGGACTATAACGTAATCACTAACAGTAAAAATCATTATTTGTTTTGCATTTAACTAAAAGTTTTTTTTATAAAAAAAGGATTTAACATAACAAACTAAAACAAAAAATAAAATAATTCTCTTGAAAACAAATTAAAATAAATAAATCAATTCTCTAAAAACGAAACTAAAAATCAAACTTTTTAAAATAAATGTAAGTCTCTTGTGTGACGTAGAGAATTGCCCACTAAAGACTAGCTTATCATGTCAATTTTCTCTTGCAATGTGTAGGACATTAAAACTTATAAATTATAAGTTATAATTCTAAATAATAGTATATTATGTATCAAGTTTGATAAACGCCATTTTAGACACAAATTTAATTTAGGTTTTAAGTTTTTTTCGAGCGTTTGTTTTATTATTAAATAAAAGGGCTTTAAGGATATTTTTCCAAAAACCCTTAAACACGTAAACTAAGATATAAGTTGAAGTATTCTTACACAAAATTTCATAAAGATTGGTAAAGGCGTTTTAGAGTTAGAATTTTTTTACTTATTATGCGTTAATTTTTACGCGCAGTGTATTTTTTTGTATGAAGTAATCATTTACCTACAATTAAAAAAAATTGTAACGATCGAAACATTTTTAGTCATGTTATCGCATTTTCATTAAAATCGATTTGAGATGGATAGGCCCAATAGCAAAACATATGTACAAGGAAAAAAAAATCGGTCTATTAGTCAAAATTTACTTTCGTACCTCTGCTAACCGATTTGGGACTGCTGGAAGGCCACGAGCATGCGTACTCGCGCAAATCCGAGTTGCTACTCGAACATGGACTTGGCGGACTCGGACATCTCTCGAATTTGGCAAAAACTTCCAATTCCTCGTCGCTAGGCGAAGGAGATCTCGGTTCTAGCAACTCCTAAGGAAAAACATAACATTTGATGTCAGCGCCATCTTGCGACTTTTGTCGAATAATATTTCAAAGGATATTAAAAAACTGGATTTCTTACCCCATACGTGAGCCCAAAGTGCTTCCAAACCGGCGAGGTCACCGAGTACATCTTCCTCTTCCTGCAAATCTTATGATCGGTGTTCAGTTTGGAGCTGCCCACCAACCAGTGAATTTTCTCCAGCAGAATTTCGACGGAGTTGGCTTTCACTTGCTCCAACATCAGCTTGTCGTCGTACTTGTACTTGTTCAGAGAGCCGATCAGCAGTATGCAGCACTCCAGAGACGTGCACGTCGGCTCTTTGAACTCTTTGAGCGCCTTGACCAATAGCGGCACGCACCTGCCGCAACGTTCCGTGTTCCTATTGGCCGGGTGCTCGAGCAGATAGCACAGGCATTGCAGATATTCCACGCACTCGTCGTTCAGCTCTGAAAAAATGAATGGGGTTGGGGCAAGATGTCGAAAAGCAGTGTGAATCCACTTCTATCATAGAGATTAGTCACTTAAAACAACTATACCGTTGAAGAAAACAATTTTCCGTCAAAAATGACTTTAAAAAACAATAAATTCCAGTAGCGCGACGTCACGATACTGTTGGTGTACCTAACAGGCGTGTCAAGACTTAAATTTTAAGAACTTTATACTAAATTAAGCTGTTAATGGTTTTATAACAAGTGAAAAAAATTTAAGTGACAACAAAATTAGTTATGTTCGTATTTTTATTATTGCCTTAGAATAAGATTTTTTGAATATACTTCATTCGTAAGTCTTGACACGCCTGTTACACTACGACAAACAAACAGTATAGTGACGTCATGACGCGTCACCCGCTAACTTCAAGGTCATCAAAGCGTTTTGAATCTTGATCTTCAAAACGCTATAGCGTTTTTAAGAATTGTTTATAAAACGTAGGACATATTTTTTATTGATAATCTCGTATGCACAAATTCCAAATATGCAATAAAAAAATTGCATGTCCTGACCATATAGGGTCATAAATAACTAATAATGAATAGAAATCTTTAATGTATACAGGGTGTTATGTAATTAATGTAATATTTTAAAATACTGAAAACCTTTTGACATAAGGTCTAACTGAAAAATATTTAAAAAAGTATTTTCCCAAATATAAAGAAAAAATATGCATAAGAAGTTTTTAATATTTTTTGTGATACCTATGCCACTGGTTACATACTTGTGTTCAGTGAGTATATAAATACCAACCAAAAAAGTAGCTGCGCGTTGCCAGTTGTAAAAAATTATAACTAAAAATTTGTCTTGCAAAAAATAAATAAAAACTCATAAATACAAAAGTTTTATGCCCTTAAAGCTCTAATACCCTTCTGTATTTATTTACTCATTCAACTATTCTGCCGTGTTTAATGAAAACGCCGTAACCAAGAATTTTGCGATTTTTGTTTTACGGCATTTTCTACTAGAACAATTCATCCTGCGTCTATCCCCGGTACTCAAAAAACCGTATCTATATATATACGCAAAATAATAATAATAATAATAAAATCGCAAAATTGTTGGTTACGGCGTTTTCATTAAGCACGGCAGTATTCGCTTAAGCAATGATTGGAAAATTTAGTACCTAATTTAAAAACTCCATAACCACAAAATTAATTTTTTCATCATTACAATTTGAGCAAATAACCTAAAATTTGAAAGAAATGCACTAATTAATGGTAACTTACCAGATTCTGTCATAAAAGTTGCTAGATTTTGTTTGAATTTACCTTTATTACAAAAATGATATAATCAACAATTAATAAAAACGCCACATTAACAATTTGCATTGTTGATTTTATCATTTTTGCAATTAAAAGTAATTTAAACAATATCTGGAAACTTTCTTTGACAGAATTTGGAAACGCTGGTTGTTACCAACCATAACATAATAAATTAAATTATGCAACCAGATTAGCCTAAAGTTCCTGGTCGATCAGTGGCGTACTTTTTGGTAGGATAAAGGTTATTATAAATTATTTTTAGTCTTTACAATTTAGAAAAAAAAGTTTCTGGTGCTTCTTTATGGACCCTACCTAAGGAACTTCCCATTTTAATATATTACATTCATTACATAACACCCTGTAGAAACATACAAAAGGTGAAAGTTCAGTTTACACTGTTCTTACACTTCAACCCAGTTAACATAATAAAAGTTTACAAATTACATTTAACAAGTGTCTTTTTAGTTTATGCTTCAGAGGTATAGCTGAGTTACATTGTTTAAACAAATTAACATAAATATTATGCAATTTTTTTTTATCTTATTCTTATTCTTTTTCAGTTATATTAAAATGGCTAAAAAACCACTTACCTTCTACAATGGAATGTTTTTGCAAAACTTCGATAAACTTATCAAAAATTTCAGGTACTGGCAATTCAGACTTTAACTGGCATATTCTAATAAAGTTCATCACAATTTTTACCACTCTTTTAGGTGCTAACAATAAAACACTGCTCAAATAAATTAGGGAATCGCCTCTTTCAGTACTTCTCATCTTTAAAAAAATAGAATTTAAAATATTTGATGTAAAAATATGGATATATTCACCTCCATTATTGAATGATAGTATCTAAATCTTGAATAATCTTGCAACAATCTTATTATGTTTATTAGTAAGTTTTCATGGCTTTTATTTTTTTGCCATTCAATGCAATACTTAATAAACAGTGCCCCAATTGCCCTAAGAACCCCAAAAGTCTTCACTAGGGTCATAATAGTATGACTATTTAATAAACATCTAAAAAATTATATCCCTATAAGACAAATAATGATAAATAGTAATTATACCTTAATGCTCTTATTGCCATTATGGTGGTTGCTTCAGAAAAACTCTCATCCTCAGGCAGTTCATCTTTAGACACCTTAGTAACAAAGTTTACAATATATGTAACAATTTGGGGCTTTCTGTCGATTATGGTATTGGCCCACTGGTCTCGATGCTGACACAAATTCCCCACTATCCTAAATATCCTTCCAATGATACTGTCATCTTTGGGAAATCGCTTCAAAAGCTGATTCAAGTGAGATAAAATGTTATAATGCCCGACCTGTTAATAAAACACCCTGTATTACTTTTTGATGGTCACTGGTTGTGGGAGGAGACTATCCATATGTTGAATTGAATTCCAAATTAATAAACAAAAACTTACAGCATCTCTTGAGCAGTCCTTGTCCAATAAACAATTCCCCAAAATGCTTAGAGCCACATTTAACACGTTTCTTTGATTCGACTGCAAAGCACCAACAATGTGCTTCAAATGCTTTTTCTCGCGTATTCTTGTGATGTTGTCCTTGTCTTTCGGCCATTCCACATCCTTTCTGATCGTCGCCAGCACTTTAAAAAGCTCTGCAGGGTTCACGGTAGTTAGCAAGGATGTCAGAGCATTTAGAAAATTCTGATTCGACATCGCAATCGTTAATTTTCACGACGATTAACTCATATTTCGGATGTGGAACTTTGAAAACGTCACTTTTTGACAGATCACGTCATAAACAATGAAAGGAAACGACAGCGGTAGTCAAAATGTTTTATTATTTATTTTTCAAAAAATAGTCATCCAAATGCGATTTGTTTTTGAGGTTGAAGAATTGCCGTTTTCTCATCGGTTTATCTGTAGAATTTAACATGCATTCTCTGGTTGGACCATCGTTGTTTGTTAAAATGTCATTAATTGAACTGTCGTTGAATTTGTAAATAAAATGCGCCCTTTGAGGGCGTTCCCAGTCTGACCGGGAGCTTCGCATAAACGTTTCCACATAATTATCTACAAAAACAATAGCATTACCCATTTAAAATTAAATATAACTTACTTTGACGTAAATTTCTCGAACTCATTTTTGTACTTCTTTGAAACACTTTGTATATAATAGGTCAAACGGTGTGATTGTAGTTCGGACGTACCATTTATGTCAAAATACTTCTTAATAACCTAATCAGGGTGATTTTCACTTAATAAATGTATTCAAAAATGTTGTATATACCGCATATTCTAACGTCGGTGGTGGTTTTGTATTTGGTACGTAAATACCGGGTGAGTAAGTGGGGTAAATGCCTTAATCAGGTTAAATTAGATGGAAAAGTGGCGATTGTTACCGGTGGAAATAGCGGAATCGGCTATGAGATCGCAAAAGAATTGGCTAAAAGAAACGCACAGGTTATTCTGGCCTGTAGAGATATGGATAAGGCTAGGGATGCCATCGTAAAGATCAAACAGAGTGTACTCAGCAATCCTGTATTGGTAAATATGCAAATTTTATTGATTATATCATTAGTTTTAAAGAAATGATTGTCTTAGATTGCCATGGAATTGGATTTGGCTTCGTTGAAGTCAGTGAAGAAATTTGCTACAACTATAATAAAAGATTTCCCCAACATTGATATATTAGTTAATAATGCAGGTGTTTCATTTCCTCCAAAAACACGAGTCATCACAAAAGATGATCTTGAAGTTCACTTTGGTGTAAATCATTTAGGACACTTTTATTTGACAAATCTACTTCTTGACACGCTTCAATCTAGCAGGGTTGTTATTATATCATCCTCATTGCATGAACGGGGCAAAATCCATCTAAACAATTTAAATTCTTGTGGTGAAATGGAAGTGAAGAATTTGTATGCTAATTCCAAGCTAGCCAACATCTATTTTTGTCGTGAATTAGCAAGGAGGACTGAAAAAAGGGGGATTAATGTTTATGCTTGCTGTCCTGGGTGGGTGTACACCAAATTATTCAGACATTCAATTAAATGGTATCATTTTATTACTGTGGCTCCAATTGCGTTCTTTTTTATGAGATCACCTTCACAGGTAAGGATTTTTTTATAATATTTTATTTTGTTTTTGTCCAAAGATTTATTAAAATAAAAAGAAAGAATTATTTTTTTTTACTAAGATTATTTATGGATATAAAAGGAATACAAATTATTTTACAATTCAAAAATAAAAAGGTTACAATTTGTTAATAAAAAATTGTAATCCTAGATTTCTAGGGTTATAATGATTAAAGTTGCATTATTTTTATTCTTTCCATAACAATAATTTTTGGTAATATCAGCTAATCCATTGCACAGTATTGCCAAGTTTTTTAAATTTAAATGCATAAAAATCAAAAACTACTTATGACAAAAAATTGTAGATAAAACTACTTAAAATTACGTATTTTTTTAAGGGATGTCAGACACCAATATTTTGTGCTACAGACCCAAGTTTAGAAAAAGAGTCTGGTTTGGTTTACAGAGATTGTAAATTGTACAAAAGCAAGCATAAGTTTGATGAAAAAATTGGAAAAGGTCTTTGGGAAGAGTCTGAAGTGATAATAAAAAAAATAATGGGCAGTGATAGTGGATTAAAATAAATATCAAAAAAATATCAAAAATAGTTTAGTATATTTATTAGACTGATGTGATACAAAAGAGTTAAATTGTTTTATAAGCAATATTTGTCAGGTCTAGTTTTTCTGCTTCCTTTTTGTTTTGAGCTGATTGTTGAATAATTTTAAGTAATAAAAAAGTGGTTTTATTATATGATTTTATGAAGTAAGAATATTTCCCTATTCCTGAAGCTACTGGTAAGTTTTTATTTTTAAGAGTTTTTTATATTTTTAAACCAGGATTTTGGATTAAAATTACTAATTTAATTATAGTATTTGTAATAAAATAATAAAAGTAAACTTAAAAACGTTTAAATTTGTTGTTCATTGTAATTCATTCTTTGTTCTGTTTATTTTTATGGGAAAAACCAATTGAGAACATGAAATAAAATACTATGAAAATAAATTATCTAATTTGAAACGGCCAAACCGCAAAATTATGATTGGATTATTATTGTATTATTTAATTAAAAATCATTTGTAAGAAAATTAGATTTATCCAACACTTTTTCCTTAATTATCTTATTATAAATTCATTTAATTATAGGTACCATAGTTTACATCATTTGGTAATTGGGTTTTTCAAGAAAAAAATACTGTTTTTTAAAAGTAGGTACCTATCAATTAATAAATCTATTATTTAATAAATTTTAAAGAAAAATATTTATGCAAAAAGGATGCGTATGTTTTGTTGCAGACATTGGATTAATATTTTATATTTAAATAAATTTTAGAAACAGTAGGTATTTAATTTTGTTTGTACCATGCTCTGCATTAAAAAGTCTCACCTTAAAATTTGAATATAAAAAAGTGTCAAATAACGCTAATTTCGTCTTATTGTTCTAAAGTAAAACCTCTATAGTATAAAGTCTTATTTCCGGAAATTAATACAATTTTGTGTATAAAGTTTATGGGTGAATCTCACGAAATGTCCCCCGATGGTGTTAGCCCGTGATATTTAATAAATCTAAATGACCTACACTTTTATTGTGTTTTGATCTTTCATAATTAAGTAGATATTACAGCTCAGGTTCCAGATTTTTAACCGCAATTAATTATTTTTTACAATGTTTTAAAAGTCTAAAACCTATCCTCCGTGACTATTACTCTTTCTAGGTTAACCTATATGTTTTGAAACATCTGAGGTAGCAAAAGCATACTAAAAATATCAGTTCACTAAGTAAATTAAACCCATCCAAAGCAATCGAATCAAATATGTTTATGTAGGTGTTACAAAAATTGATTCTATCCTCCGTGAATTTGTTTTTGCTTTAAATTTTATGCAACGGATGGCGCTTTAATCATTTTAAATAAGCAAAAACCTCTGTTTACGACATTATAGGTGCATGTGATTCCTGAAGGTCAGTTAGAATTTATATGCAGATGAGAGTGTTGCTGTTTTATCATTCAAAAGTTAAAGTTTATTAATTTAATATTTAAAAACCTATCCACCGTGAAGTCTAATATCTCAGTAGGTAGATTTTTTTTTATAAATATTTTATGTTTGTACAATTGTATTTTTAAGGTGTCAAAAGATACAATAAATTATTTCAAATATACAAAGGGATGTTTAAAAAAACATACGAAATCCTAACCTCCGTGAAGCTCTAATATTTAAAATGTATGATTTCTTAAAATTCTTGCCTTAGTGCAGAACCACTTATGTTATTACTAAACCTGGTGGCTTCCCAAAAATCCCATTGTGAAACAACCAAAAATAAAAAATAATCATTTTCACTTGGGAGACATATGTTAATATATTCACCCTTATATACTATGGTAGGTAGTATTACAATTTTGATGTGAAAAATTATGCTATATTAGCATAATGTTCCACATCAAAATTGCCCCACTTTGACAGGGTTTGCCCCACTTTGACAGGGTTTGATAGGGTTAAATTTAGGTTTTCGTACCTATAATATTTTTGTACACATGTCATTAATTTTTAAAAATGTATTTTTGGCAATAAAAATATAATAATAAAATATTAATAATATTTCGTCACCCTAATATTACAAGGTTGTATGTTAAAAAAAACGAAAAATTTAAGTCTATGTTTCTACAGGATTATACGTGGCCTACGCTTCCCATACCACTTAAAAATAATTCTATAGAATGTATATTCTATGTATACATATATATATATATAGTTATTTTCAAGTTGTATGTCAAGGGTGGATTACATAAAACCTTGTAGAAGTATAAACTCAAATTTTTCGGTTTTTTAACATACAACCTTGTTATATTAGGGTGACGATTTGCCAACTACAGAACAGTCCCTAAGCCCTATGGGCTTGTGTGGACTACCTACAAATGTTACTATTTACAATGTAAATTATATTTAAAAAACAACCTGTGAATATAAAACATAAAGTAAAACAAAGGTACAAAGTAAAAACAAAAATAAAAAGTTAAATAAAGTCAGGTAGCACACTTCACGTACAATTACATCTCAAGTAATGTTATCTTTGAGCAAATATAGGCAAATTAAAAGTAAATTCTTCGAAAAAACATGTTAATAGATTAAGTAATTACTTTTGAGAAATGAACAAAAACTGACCAAAAATAATTTTAGTCCAAAATTTTTAGAAAAATCAAAATTGTAAATTAACCATACCCAATTAGCAAATATAGTTCCCAGTCCTTTTTAAATGTCACTGCCCCTAAAGTATAGTTCCTAGACCCACCCTGCCACTTAAAATGTTACTCTATAAGGAATAGTCACTTTGAAGTATATTTCGAGAGTGACTGGTTAGTGCCTACCTACCATAAAAGTGGAAAATAAACACACCGATTGCAAGTGGCAAACATGTAATTTAAAGAAGTGGCTGGAACTACCTGAATCTTCGAATATGACACCATAAAAGACCAAAAACTTTATAGTAACTTTTTAAAGTAGCGGTCACCAACAAGTGCTACCATAATGCCTCCATTAAGTTTTTGTTACTTTATAGTAACAATTTAAGTTACGGGGTAGTCGCGGCCACGACACCTGGTTACCTCTAATTTATAGTAGCATTGAAAGTAACAAAATGGTTACTGCGACCTTCCTAGGTCACTATAAATTGCCGTCGCTTATCCTTTGCCACTAAAAAGTCGCGGGGATCAAAAATGGCTACTTAATAGTGACCATAACTTAATATACCCTAATAAATGTAATTGCCTCAGATTGCATATATGCATATATGTTACGCACTATAGTGTGCTGCTCTGTTTTGGTGTTTTCTTTTCTTGCTTTTAAGCTTTATTAAAAATCTGTAAAATGCTTAAGGTAAATAAAAAGAAATTTAGATATTCTAGTACTTTCTATCAAAGAATTAAACAAAAGGAATCACTGGGAGCCGAAGCATCAACATCAGAAACAAAAACTACATCTTTCTATAATCGTACTGATGAACATCATAAATCAGGTAGTGACATTTTTAAAGCTGTTTGATTCAAACAGTTTGAAGTACCTATTCACATTCAAAGTTGATGCATGTTCTGACTTCTATACCTGAGTCAAGTGTTCAAATCTCGTTCTGATCGAGGTGCTGATGAATATTATTAATTCTATCTTACGTGAACGTTTTCACCTTAATAGTCTTTAAATATTTTGTAATGAATAGGAATTTAATATAAGAAATTCAAGGTGCTAAATATTTTTAATGGGTCAAGTTTATCAATACTTCCCTGAAGTATTTGCAGTCAAAGTTGATGTATGTTCTGATTTCTACACCTGAGTCTAGCGTTCAAATCTTGGGCTGATGAATGTTATTCATTCTGCCTTACTTGTAGGTATTTGGGCTATATAAAAATGAATATTGTATGCTCTCTACTTAAGTCGTGGATTCGAAGATTAAGTGGAAGAGAACGTTTCAAGATTTAAGAGAGTAATTAATAAACCTAGAAAAAACGACACGAGACGGAAGTGACGTCATAAACGGTGTGGGTCCTGTTTTTTTATAATAATTAATTTTTTTGAAAATAAATGAATAATTGTCATGTGATCATAAGAATTGCAATAACCAGTAAAACATTAGGTTTGATAATATTCAATTTGCATTTTACAAAAAATATGATTCTCGCGTCGCCAAACGGGAACTTCAAAGGACAAGGCGGAACGTTATAGTGGCACGCCGCGATCGGTGTAGCATAAACGCTGCAATTAAGTGGCAATTTAGTGGCGCAGGGAACTTTCTTGGAAAAAATCACTTTATGTTCCAAAGAATCGTGGACCATGTAGTTCCCAAAAAGTTATTGTTTCCATAAAGTCGTCTCTGGGTAGTTGCAATTGTCACTTTATCAATCCGAAGATTTTAAAGTTACAAACGGGTAGGGTTGGCCTAATATATTATTGTTCCCGGTACTTTGTGGAAGCATATGGAACTATAAAGTATTTTTCGGATTAAACGGCCATATTTTTTTCATGACTTTTCAGACGAACAGCCAAATGGCTCAAACATTTTGCGTTTTTAAGCTAAATATACCTAAACTAAAGATTTTTTCCTTAGATATTTTGTTATTTGTGACGGTGGACTAATATTTTAAAGTTTCACGCCAGTTTTAAGCAAATTAATTTTTTTTTTAATTACTACATGAGTTTCTATTGCAAATAATTTAATAATTTGAAATGTTTTGAAAGGCGCTCGAAAATTTTGTCATATAAACCCACTATTTTATTCAGTAAAGTCGATTGCGTTTTGGAATTGACCCACAAAAGGCGTTAAAATCGCATGGTAAATAACAAAAAAATAATAATGGCTTCCATAATTACTTTCCATCATGACATTTATTTTTATGAAGTGTGAAACTGAAGAGGTCGCTGCGAATAAAGTTTAACAGTTTAATGAAAGTTCTACATGTCGGTGGCAAAACACTAGGCTGCCACGAACCCGCGACTAGGCAGCTTCGTAACAGATAAGTCGCATTCAACGGTAGGCTACTTTATAGTGCCATATCGTAGTAACTCTTTTAGTGGCAAAAACTACCCAAGACACTACCCGGCTACTCAAAATCTTTCCCCATTTTGGTCGCAGTTACTTAGCAGCTACGAATATACAACGTAGCCGCCGATGGTCACCGCCCCCTTTGTAGTGGCTTTGATAGTGGCAGTTACGTATCTGCCACCATAAATGCTAGTTGGGTAGACAATAAAAAGGAGTCGCATATTTTGGGGGTTTGAAATCAAGCAACCCGCGGACATACTGTATGTTAATAAAATACATTAGGGTATTCATTTTACATACCTTGACATTTAAAGTTTATACCTAATTAGTTTATTTTTTTAAACAAATTTAAAAAAAACTAATTGGAAGTTACAAAATTAAATTAAACAATCAAAGATTTTTTTAAAAATCCTGCAAATTCGTGTTTATTTACTTCAAAATATCCAGTGTTGTCAGATTTCACCAAATTAAGCTTAGTCGTCCAACAAAACTTAACTATTATTTCTGCTTTAAACATCTCAAATCAAAACAGCATTATTTTTTTATTCGTGTTAGTTCGTAAAAATAGTTACAGGTACCAGTTTATATAAATAGTGAGTGGGGATATGTGAGAAAACCATTGTAATCTTGAATTTTAAACCGGTACCATCTCTTAAGATGGGTTCCTTGCAATTTTTTTTAGTTTTAGTTTGTGTGAGTGCTACAATTGCAGAATGTAAGCAAAAATTTACCAAATATAATATGAAAAAATGTATTGTTTAACACAATGCGCATTTTACCTTGTAATTATAATTATATATAATTTACATTTAATTTTATTAGTTGTAGTTTAAATAGTTTTTATTGTGGAAATATTTTTTTACAAAGTGACTAGAAGTACACCGGGAGTACCGCCATTAAACGTACACCGGGTGGAAAAAAATACTTATTTAGCATATTTGTCAATTGTATAATATTAAATGGTCGCTCAATGGGGCGGGGGGCCCAATGGGGCGGGGTCGGGCTGTTGAGTTTGGGTTGGTTTGGGTAATTTATACTGACATTTCATTAATTTTGTTGTTAATTGTATTAATACATTAACAATTAACAATTAACAAAATTTAATTAAGTGATTGAAATTTCAATCACTTAATTAAATTTTAATCAATGTTTATACAACTTGAAAGTTAGCTTAATAATTACATAATTAATATCAAGAGTTAACCAGCTGTTTACCAACTGTTATACAACTGGGACTTAGTGTACCAATTTAATCTCAACTAATAAATCCGAAATTTTACCATCAGCTGGTATGGAAACACGCATGCGCACAAACCTGATGTACGTTTAATGCCCGTACTCCCGGTGTACTTCTAGTCACGGCGATTTTTTTAACCAAAATGACTCATATTTTGTTTATTATTGTTTGATATTTTTCAAGGTTGAAACAAGATTTTTGTTTCTTTTTTAAGTTAAACACTAAAAGCCGGTATTTCCCCAAAAAAAATTAATATGCATATACGAGGGGTATGCAAATATTTATCCATATACGGGGTGTCCAGAAAAAGTATACAACGCGTTTAAACTTTAAATTTTTAGTTTGTTATTTTAACTATTGAACCACATAAAACTATGGCACGCCGTTTTACTTTTTAATGTCATGTTTATTAAAGCTAAATATTAATTCAAGTTGCTATTTTAAAAATTGACTGAACATTTTAAAGTAAAACTTTTATGATGTCTTGGTATATTAAGTACACAATTTTAAGCACAGAATAAGAATGAAAGTAATTTTAATTCTGGAACTGAATGGCGTATTTTCTGACCAAAAATTCGATGAATTAAAATTTTGGTTGAGATAATTTTAATAAGGCGCTACTTGGAGAAACACGCAGTCAAATTAAAATTATGTAAACCAAAATTTTAATTCATCGAATTTCTTTGCCAGTTAATTTAAGGTGCGCAACATTTATTTAAGAAAAAGTAATACTGAAATTATCATTATGTCGACATTACTCGTCGACATAAAAATCAATTTACCTGTTAGAAATTAAAGTGATAAAGTTTCTTATTCCACACACAAATATTTTGCACGAAATATTTGTTATAATATTTAAATGTTTTTAATATTAGTTAAAATTTTATTTGACTAATAAGAATTGAATACAATTTTATTTTTATTATTATTTTTAAAATTTTTAATATTTACTTTTAATACGAATTATTTTGTTATTTAAAACACTTTGAAACAATTTTTATACGGGAATAAAGTTGTGGTATAGTTGTTATTAATTATTATGTTATTTAAATCTAGCAATACGAATTTTTATTTAACCACCTTTTTGCCATATTTCTTTTAATCAGATTATTTTTTTAGATAATAAATTCAATGCTATTTGTATGTGACAGAATTCCTTATTTTTATTTTTTGGAATAAATATTATGTACCTCGAATTTTCTGACTGAAAAATTCGATGAATTAAAATGTTGGTTATCACTCGTAAACAGAATTTTAATTTGGCGCTAGTGCATGTATCATGGCGCTAGTGCATATTGCGGTTGTGTTACGTACTACTGCCACCAAGCGAAGGTACATGTACATGAGCTCGTAAATAAATTAGGCAACGGTGCATTCAAATTCAGTGCTGTCATTTTATTTACTTACCTGTTTTGCTTTCCTTAATTTCTTACCTAATTTATTGATTAATTTTTTGAAATAAAAATAAAGAAAATCTTTTTTACTAAATTATTGGTTTTTATTGACTAAAAGATAAAAAACAATAGAATATTTTCAATCCACCATTAATTACATTCATTAAGTTTGTGGATTATTTATACTGTACAGGTAGTCGGCTCGGACACTTAACGAGTAGGACAATAATTATTATAAGAATTATTCTGGTAATTATATAAATATCTTCTTCTGCGAGAAATCCTATTGCATAGACAACTAACCAAATAATGAACCACAATTAAATTGTCTATTAGGAGAGTCTATAAAGTGAGGTTAGCCAGCAGGGCAGTCTTGTTGAAATGCACTCCTAACATAATTTAATAATCACAATCATGTCGATATCAGAGATATGGAGGATCTCTGGTCGATATACATTATTGATAGCACTGAAAATTTTGGACTGCACTGTTGCCTAATTTATTTTCGAGCTTATGTACCTTCGACGTTATGTGGTTTCGCTTCGTGGCAGTAGTACGTAAAACAACCGCACTAGGCACTAGCGCCAAATTAAAATTCTGTTTACGAGTGTTAAGCAACATTTTAATTCATCGAATTTTTCATCGAGAAAATTTGCCTTGCGTTTACAAATTTAAATCTTGTCTAATTTTTATTCCAAAATAAATATTCTACTTTAACTTAATTTTAAATTAATAAATGAAATATTATTATTTACATACATATAAGCACATTTTTTAAATAGAAAAAAAATATTCATAAAATAAAAACTGAGGCTTAAAAATATAGATCACACCAGAATGATGTAAATATATATGGAAACTTATCCAATACACCAAAAAATAAATTGGTAGATTTTAATTTATAATTAAATTTAATTTAGTAATTTTTATGAACGTTTATATTTTCTAGGCAATTTTTAATTTTGATAATTTTTGTTTTGAGTTAATTTTTTGATGTCATTAAAAAGTAAAACGGCGTGCTATATAAAACATTACTCCAGCTCCGTTATTTTATATACGGGTAGTTTTCGGTCCACATTACCTACATATAATTCATTAGAAACATTAAAAATTATATATTAACAATTTAACATAGATGATGGCAATTTTGTCCCGAAATCCGTCTATTTCATAGACGAATCCGGACACCAATCGGAAGTCTATCTTCTCAGAAACAAAAGGGAACTGGAGAGGTTGCCGATCCTACGCAGGATGAGACGAGGCGGCGGTGCCGGCTCTTACTCGAGCTCGAGCGGAACCGGAAGCGGCTACGGATTCTCTTCCGGGAGCGGGGGTGCAGGGGGCGGCGCTGGTTTCGGGGATAACAACATACCGTTCGGTAAGAAATTATTGTACTTTTTATTTTGATGCTATAATAATATTATACAGAGTGATTATTATTATTAATAATAATCACTGATGTAAAAAAACGGTTTTTTTTCAGATGTGAAAAAAAACATGAAAATAAACGGTTTTTTTTGTTTTTTTTCAAAATGAAATTTTGAGTAAAATATATATTAATAATAAAGTGAAATGTAGAATATATTAAATTTTTCATTATTGAAAATTTTGACCAAGACTAAAAAATCTGATTATTTGGTAGTTTCCACATTAGAAACCAGTAGCAATGTAAAACTTCTACACCAATACAAAAAATTAAAGGATAAAAAAAATTATTTTGCGATTCTTCGGATAGCTGTATCTTTGTTAAAAATGGTAGTACTGGAGCCGTAAAAAAAGCAATTTGAAACTTGAAGTTTCTAGTTTTGAGATTTTTAGATGAAAAATGTGCAACGCTCAATCCTAACAAATACCGTAATAAAAAAATCGATTTTTTTTGTCTTTCTGGTCCACGGAATGTTCTGACCACTAATGAATAAATGTTCTACAAGAATTTGCTATTGTTTTTTTGAAAAAAAAATTCCATACTCTACATGAATTTGAAAAATCATGAAAAAAGTGCTTTTGGTAGCTTTTTGAAAAATCAAGCGCTGAATCAAAAATATTATAGGTAGTTACTTTTTTTAGGACCAAGTCAAAACAAGCGCGGCCCTTATTGGTCAATTCGGTGGTGGTGTCGCGTGCATAGCGACTTTAGTCCATGAAACCTAAAAAATTAGGCAAATGGGACTAATCTTGAAAAAAAACCTAAAATGTGAAAAAAAAACCATTTGAAAAAAAAACAATGAAAAAAACCTGAAAAAAACAAAAAAAACGGACCGTTTTTTTTTCAAGTCGCATCTCTAGTGATTAATGAATATAATAATTAGACTGGGCCAAAAAAATCGACTATTTTTTGTTTTGTAAATTATATCGAAAATATTGTTTGGGGTGACAAAAAAAATTATGGTGAAAGTTTGAGTCCATAATATTAATATTAAGAGGTCGAGTAAGAGGTCTATCATCGCAATTTTAGATTTTTTTTCCTGAGCGAGTTTTTGTCAAATTTGACTTAAGAATATTTTTTGAAGAAAATTGAATGCTCTACAAAAAAGGTTTGACTGGAACTTCCCGTCAGATGAACCGTTTTCTTACAATCATGCCTTAAAAATTTATATAGTTTTACAATTTGATATTTTAACTTTGGAATTTTGTAATTCATGTAAAAATCAGTACCCGGAAAAAAACCGATAAATATTCTTATGCATGGGAAATCAAATGCTCTACAAAAAAAGTCTTTTATCATTTTTGGCTAAATTCACTCCATTAAAAGTTATTCAAGGTTAAATTTGAAATCAAAACGAAATTTTAACCTTGAATAACTTTTGATTGAGTGAATTTAGCCAAAAATGTTAAGAGGACTTTTTTGTAAAGCATTTGATTTCCCATGAGAATATTTATCGGTTTTTTATGAGTACTGATTTTTACATGAATTACAAAATTCCAATTTAAAAGATCAAAATGTAAAACTATACCAATTTTTAAGGCATGATTTTAAGGAAATGGTTCATCTGACGGAAAATTTCACTTTAACCTTTTTTGTAGAGAATTTAATTTTCTTAAAAAAATATTTTCGAGTCAATTTTGTTATACTATATAATGGTTTGGGAGTTCTGAGACAAAAACTTGCTGAGAAAAAAAATATTAAAATTGCGATGATAGACCTCTTATATATTTTTTTTTGTCACCCCAAACAATAAATAGTTGATTTTTTTGGCCCAGTCTAATGAATATGCTCAAAAAATCTTTGCGTTTCTTAAAAATGGACATTCACCCTGTATAGATTTATTTATCCATGATGATGTTGGTGCGCATTATTAAAAAAAATAAAATCGTGATAATTGCATTATTTAATAAGATAATTACAGTGATTGCGGTAATATTAATGATGTTCAGTATTTCCTTGAATTCGTAACAATCGGATTTAGGAATATTAATTTATAAGATATTTTATATCCTGTTCTTAGTAGTAGAGTAGATTTTGTGTACCTACCTATTATTATGTATTTATTAAATAAGGTTTAATTATTATATATAGCCAATTCAGAAAAAATAAACTTTTTTTTTCCCTATATACTGATCAATTTACCAATTTTTTTTTATACGTAGAAAAAAAGAAATTTTTAGTACTTACATAACCACACTTTTAAATTTTTGGGACATAAAAAAGTTAGAGGGGGGCGACATTATAGGGGATCACCCTGTACAGGTTTATTTTGGTGCAATACGCCGAATAAAACTAATCAAGTTTAAGTTAAACTTGTTAGTTAACGTTGGGGTAAACAGTACCAAATATTCTATATAGGACCTATAGTGGCGGCTGGTGGATTTTGGACACACCCTTTTCTCAGTTATTAGATATGGGACCCACATCAAATTTATATAAGTTTATAATGACATTATATGGACAAGTTCTGCGTAAGCAGAATTTAAATTGAAGTTTGCGAAAAAAAGTTATTTTTTAAGTGTGTTTCCCCAACCTCGTGCCCCCCAAATTAAGATAATTCAAATTAAAATGGTACAACATTTAATTTACTGAAGTTTATCACCAAATTTCAAATTTTATTAAAATTTAGTAAAAGAAATAATAAAAATTTAAAATGGTATAAAACCTGTAACTATAAATTTTTTTAATAAAATTTGAAATTTGTCGATAAACTTTAATTTGAATTATCTTAATTTGGGGGGGCACGAGGCTGGGGGGGCACACTTAAAAACTAACTTTTTTTCGCAAACTTCAATTTAAATTCTGCTTGCGCAGAACTTGTCTATATAATGTGATTATAAACTCATATAAATTTGATGTGGGTCCCATGTCCCCTGTCAGGCTGTATGATATTTACAGCATTGCAATATTTCTAAATATTAAGTTCTGACCTTAGACCTTATATGTGTTATATTGTCTAAGGTTCCAATTAAAAAGTTTTCTGCCGCATAATTTTAACACTATGGTGTTAAATATTACAGTATGGCTGTGATACCACTATAGATTCTAAGGGAATGTTTAATCATAAAACTAAAAGATCAAGGTTTTTTTTTTAAATATCGAATATAAGAAAAATACCAATTTGTTGTTTTATTAAAAAAACAAATATTAAAAATAGAAATTATTTTTTTTATTTAAAAAAACAATGAAGTATAATTTCGTGTTATATAAAAACATAAAATATATAAAGAAAAAATATATGATTTATAACAAAATAAACTTACGTTTTTTAACCTCTATTTTCAAAATCTGTTAAAATTTTTCATGAGAGGGAAATCGTGTTAAACTGTCTTATGTATCAAGTTTGATAAACGGCATTTTAATCACGAATTTTAATTAGGCACGAGCGAGCTTTCGAGCGAGTGTTTAACAAAATAAGTGTCTATAAACGAGTTGCATTCTATACTTTTTCTACGACCCATGAAAAAGTTCTACAGATTTTAAAAATGGACTTAAAAAATAATACCCGTCTCGGCGTTTTTTCAGTTCACGTCATTTTTTTATGCAACAAAATGTTATAGTATCGTTTAGTATATTATGTATCAAGTTTTATAAACGCCATTTCAGTTACGAGTTTTATTTGGCACGAGCGAGGCTTGCGAGCGAGTATTTAATAAAAACGAGTGTCTAGAGAAGTTTATAAAACTTATCTACGACGAACAGAAATATATTAGGTATATAAGAATTTAAAGTCAGTTTTAATTTTTAATAAAGCTCTTCAGCTCGTGACTAAAATGCCAAAAAGCTACAGCTCGTCAATGTAGGAGTAGATAAAAAAATGTATTTATCGAATTAAAGCTATATTTTAAATTTATTTAATTTGTATACAGGGTGTTGTACATTTACGAAAATCTAGTGGTGTTTTTTAGGTTGTGATACCACTATAGATTTTGAAGCAACATTGCTTTAAAATCTATAGTGGTATCACAACAAAATAATTTTAATTTTTTTAAATAAAAATAATTTTTTTTAATAAAACAACTGATTTTTATTTATTTTATATTCAAGTTTGACGATTATATATAAATCTATAGTGGTATCACATTTAAAAAAAATATTTTTTTATAATATATTTATTTATAATATTTTATATTCAATATATTTTGGGAAAAAAATATTGGTCTTTTAGTTTGACGATTATATATAATCTGTTATTTTATTTAAAAAAAATATTTTTTTTAAGTAGCTATAATTTTTGTATTATGTAAAAATATATAATATTTGAAAAAAAAATGATTTATGACAAAATAGAAAATGAAATATCTGCATATACAGTGTGACCCATTTGTTTGCGACTCACCCCTGTAAAATCTTTATTTATTGTGCGATTTTAACCGGATTTGTTTTAAACTGTAGATCTTAATAAACTGTATTTTTGAAGCAAAACGCCATATTTTTACAAAATACAAGGCCTACTATGTCAGTTTTTAAGAGTAAATTTTTAAGAATTCATATTAGCTATTTTTTTAAACAAAATCTAAGCACGGCACTGAATTCACCACCCCTCAAAACGACCCTATACTAAATTTTATTAAAAAATTTGAAGAAAAAAATGCACAATAATAACTAAAAATTTTTTTAGTAATATTACCATGTTAATATTAATTTAATTTTATTTCCATGTTTTTTCATGGATAACTTGACAAAATAATTTTTTGTAGTTATTTTTGTGCATTTTTTTTCTTATAATTTTTCAATAAAATTTAGTATAGGGTCGTTTTGAGGGGTGGTGAATCCAGTGCCGTGCTTGGATTTTGTTTTAAAAAATCGCTAGTATGAATTCTTAAAAATTTACTCTTAAAAACTGACATAGTGGGCCTTGTATTTTGTACTAATATGGCGCTTTTGCTCCAAAAATAAAGTTTATCAAGATCTACACTTAAAAACAAATCCGGTTAAAATCGCACAATAAATCAAGATTTTACAGGGGTGAGTCGCAAACAAATGGGTCACACTGTATGTTAAAATAATAAGAATGGCTGTATACAAAATTTAAATGACGTTATTTTGTGAAACGGTGAGACCAGAGATATATATCTCTGGGTAAGACACGGATACGTTTTTTTAACTATATTTTCAAATCTGTTAAAAATTTTCATGGGAGGGAAATCGTATTGGACTGTGTTATAAATTATAACTTATAATGAAGAAAAGTAAACTTTTTCTTTCTAGGACCTGAGAACATACAGGCCAATCTAAACCAATTAATGTTCTCCTTACAACAACGTTTTGCCGATGTATCCGACCAAGTGGGGGCGGCTGCAGCGAACGGGGGCGGTTCCGGGGCCCACAGTTTCTCGCATAGCTTTTCAAGCAACGGCGGTGATGGAGGCGGAAGCGGATACAGTGGTGGAGGCGGCGGCGCCGGGGGCGGTTTCGCATTTCCGTCGGTAACTTCCGTTAGCGGTAATGGTGGTTATGGTCACGGTGGTTCCACCGGGGGCGGTTATGCAGGTTCTTCTTCCTCCGGTAACGGGGGCGGTTATGGGAGCGGGTTTTCCAGTGGCGGCGGCGGTGGAAGTGGCGGATCTTCTGGGGGATGTGGGGGTGGTTGTGGTGGTGGTTCTACTGGCGGTGGTAGTGGAGGTGGCGCGGCGCATGCTTCTACAAGTGGCGGAAAAGGAGGCGGTTATCAAGGTGGACAAGATGGGTAAGTTTAGTTTTTACATCCTAGTCTGTAAAAAAATTTTTATGACCAATCGAAAAATTCGATACCTGACCACTTTATACTTTTTATTGGTTTTTATAATTGTACGTTTTACTTCTCAGCCTTACTACATAAATATAACTATTTTAAGAATAATTCATACCTATTGGCAAATATAATTGAAAGATGAACAAAAAAGGCCGTACACAAACAACCACACTTAAATATTTATTTATTAGTTAAACTATATATTAGTACCTTAATATGGGCATCGCCAAGTGTGGGCAGGGTCAGTAGCGTAACTAAGCAATTATGCGCCCTCCCACGAAATTTTGATAGCGCCTATACAAAAAATCGAATATTTTTTTTACTTCCGACACTGAAAAATTGGTTCTCAGGCACTTCTAGAAAGTGCTCACCAAATTTGAGCTCTTAATTTTAATAGGAAGATCCTTATCACAGTTTTCCATTTTTTCTATAGTCCCTTATAAAAAAATTTTGATTAAATTGAAATATCGATGACTTCCGGCCAAAGTATCGCAAGCAACATAACTGAAATTTCGGGAATTGAAAACATTTTTTGTTTTAAAGTCTGTTTTAAATTAAATATAGCCTTAAGGTTTTATAACAAGTAAATATATTTACTAGCTATAGCTTATAATTATAGCTATTTACTTGTTATGAAACCTATAGGTTATATATGGTTTAAAACAGATTTTAAAACAAAAAATGTTTTCAATTCCCGAAACTTAAGTTATGTTGCTTGCGATACTTTGGCCGGAAGTCATCGATATTTCAATTTAATCAATTTTTTTTTATTTTCGGAGGTATTTTGACGTTTATGAGTATAGCTTGAAATTTAATTGATCGATTTGGTCAAACAAGCCCTTAAATTGAAGGTATTTGAGCCCTCTAAAACTTTTTTTTACATCCTTTTGATATCGGATAAGTATTTTCACGCTAGCGATTTTAATAACTTAAAAAATTCGTTTTTATGGCAAACATTGAGGTCGAAAATTTACATATCGTCCTGGGAAAGGTTTAAATCAAACAGATAACTCCAGTTTGGATTTTTTTTCGTGAAGCCGAGATTTTTACAAAAAAAACTAATGTTGATAAAAATACATGAAAAAATGGCGAAGTTATGAATTTTTTAGTTGAAGACCAAAATTCAGCTTTTTGACAATTTTTATTTTATTTTTTTTTCTTTTATTTTGTAATATGTTTATTTTTTAATGAAAACCTAATTCAAGTGCATGATTGAAAGTTTTTTACGTACTTTTTTCACATATTTGACATGACTCCGCAAACGTGAATTCTTTTGTTTCTCGTGTGACATTTTACTGCTATTTTTTGATATTTTAATAGAGTATTTTTATCATGGTTTTATTTAGTTAATAAAAAGTGTAAAATAAGTAAAAGAAGTAGAGTTCGAGTGCGTAAATAACCCGGACAATCTGGGCGACGTTAGTGATGAGCACGGAGAACGTTTTCACCAGCAAATGAAGGCTATGGAGCGGCGGTATCACGGCTTCTGGGATGCAGCCATGATGGGTGATTACATTTGGTCCCTTATATATATACAAGAAACGGAATACGAAAGCAACAAAAAACAAAAAAGGAGCCAGATTTTTTTTAAACCTACAACAAAATAAAACTTTCAATATCTTCAATGTTCAATATTTATTGTTTAATATTCATATATTATATCACAAGAACTATGAATTTAATCGGTTAAACTAGGCTCAGTAGTTTTTTGTTTGGTTTTTGTTGGAAAATGTTGAATGCAAAATAATTTAATAAAATCACGAGACCGCGTAGCGGTCGAGGCGTTTTATTTTTAATTATTTTGCATGAAACTATTTTCCAAAAAGAAAAATCAAATAAGAAACTTACTGAGCATAGTTTGACAGATTAAATTTATAGGTTGAGTGATATAGGTACGTCCAGATTATTTCTCGAATTAAAGGAATTTGACAATTCATAAAATCTGACGTATGTGTCAAAATTTATAAATATTTTTTTAAAGAAAATTCCATTAATTTAAGGTATGTAATAAGTAATAATTAATATTTCGTAAACTAGATAACTTATTTTTCATTGTTTTTTAAAAAATGTTTGTTAAAACTTGTAAATAACACCATAAAATCGTAAACAAAAATCCAATATGGAGGCTAAAATTTAATCGCTGTTAAATAGTTCTAGTGATTTAATCGCTTATTTAAACGAAATTTATTCGAAAATTCAAGGCTTTTGATTGGTTCATATTATAATGAGGGAAATAATCAATATATAATTTAATTTCAATATTTAATGTTTAAAATAAAAATCAATAAACTTTATATAACTCAATAAAATGAAAAAAACGTAAAAATTCTCGAAAAAACTGAATTTTGGTCTTTCACTGAAAAATTCATAACTTTGCCATTTATCCATGGATTTTTATCAACAGCAGTTTTTTTCCTATAAGTATAATCTATACGTAAAATAAATCAAACTGGACTTATCTTTTCGATTTCTATCTTTCCCAGAAAGATATGTAAATTTTCGACCTCGATTTTTGTAAAAAAAGGACTTTTTTAACTTCATAAAATCGCCAGTATCGAACTACTGAGCCGATACCAAAACTATACAAGAGAAAGTTGTAGATGGCTCAATTACCTTTGATTTAAGTGCTTGTTTGGTCAAATCGATCAATTGGAACTCGAAATATACTCTGAAACGTCAAAACACCTCATAAAATTAAAAAAAAAAAACAATTTAAAATTCATATCTCGAAAACGCTTCCATGGAAAAAATTTTAATTGTGATTTTCGCACACAAGAAAATAATAGTGAGACATGGGTGGGAAAAATGGCTGTAAACTAGTGTTAATAAAAACATGATTTTGCGAAACATTTTAAAATGTCTATAGATCCCCCAGAATATATATATATATAATTCGTGAGGTGATTCTATAAGTAAAAATAAAAGAAAAAGTTAACCAATATATATTAACGTTATTTTCGGACACCCTGTATATGTACATATATAGCTGTAGCTTGAATAATAACTTACTTTACTAAATTTAGAAATCAACTTATTTGGTCTAAGGACACTCGATAGTTACTAAGTTGTTAATAATACTTTGCATAATTTAAAGTGGAAAAACCTGACAAAATTAACATAGTAATTATCATCATTGTTGATTTAGAATGATTATATCGCTTGTTATTAGTATTTATAAAATGTATATGTTTACACACACTAAATATTACCAAACCTAGCCAAGCAAATATTTAAAAAACTTTAAAACAATATAAGTACAGAATATTCCGGAAATCCACAATGTAAAATTAAAAAAAAATCATACCTACTAAAGTAACTAGAAAAGCGAACTATTATTTTAATTTAATAAACCTTAAAACAAAAAAAAATATATTTAAATTTCAGGCCTCAGATATTCTCCCGCTTTGGCGAAGGTAAAGGTACAGGAGTCCGCGTCTCTTCCAGTGCTGCCGGGCCGAACGCCGCCTTCAGTTCGAGCTCCTCCTCTGTAGATGGCAATGGCAACATCAAATATTCCACGAAATCAGGAAAATATTAAAATTTGATATCACAACCACAGAGAATTCTTTCTCTATGATCACAACGTAAAAAAGTACTAACCACGTAATCCAAACCATAGTGAGATGCAAGAGAATATATTAATTATCACTGTGATCTAATATATACCTTTATATTGTTTTTGATGCATTTTTTAAATAAATTTACTACAAAGTTAATTAAATTGTTTTCTTTTTTCGGTAAATTTTATATTATTCTTTGTGGGATTTAATACAAATAATACGTCAGTTTGTAGCTTAACTAGTATTTAATATTACAAAAATATAAAACCTACTTGACGCTCTTTAAACAACTTTCAATTCATTTAAAAAATTATGAAGCCTGTGGCAATACGTTCAAAAGTACCTTTTCAATTTTACGATTTTTATGTACCTACTGTAAATCATTAAAAAGACCAATTTCTCCACTTTCCAAAGACAAACATAAGTCTCATCAAATACTTATTTAGATAAACGAAGTAATATCGACCGTAAACGTTTGTTGCTTTTGCCAAATTTTCCCCATTTTACCACGCCCAGTTTAAGATCGATATCTCTAGTACGGCAGTAGTGGTGACCTTTCTATTCCCTCAAGCTTCCACCCTCCCCAAACGAGGATACATTTTAGGGATAATGGCTCCTTCAAGCTCGGCCAGCAAAGGAAAAGCTCCTAGATAGATCAATACGCTTTTACGCAAAAACTGCCTCTGTGAATATTCCCGTTTATACTTGAATTTTCTTGTTTTGAACTGAAATGTGTTTCAGAGGTTGCTTGATTGGAGTGTGTGGGTTGTAAAGCATATGCAAAATTTAAATGGGGGGATTACAAATTAAGGGTACCTAATTATACTACGTTTTAAATTATTTAATACGTAGTATGTTCTCAATAATTAGGTACCCTTAATAATTAAATTATTTGCAAAAACTGCCTCTGTGAATATTCCCGTTTATACTTGAATTTTCTTGTTTTGAACTGAAATGTGTTTCAGAGGTTGCTTGATTGGAGTGTGTGGGTTGTAAAGCATATGCAAAATTTAAATGGGGGGATTACAAATTAAGGGTACCTAATTATACCACGTTTTAAATTATTTAATACGTAGTATGTTCTCAATAATTAGGTACCCTTAATAATTAAATTATTTGTAACCCTCCAAATTTAAATTATGCAGATGCAAATTTAAATAAGATCTGTCTCCTTCGTTCTCAATTCGCAATTAAAATAGTTTGAAAGTTTCTATTCACTTTAAAATGACGTAATTTAATATGGGTTCCATTCAGAATATTGTAGAATATTTATAAAATATGGCGAGCTGTATTAGCTGACTGAACTGTAACTTAAGCCCAGAATACAGTATAACTTAAAACCTGTGTAACTTATTTTTTGTTTGTCCAATTTTAACATTCTTAAGACAAATGTTTAATTTTTAATAATGCAAAAAACATAGCATCATACCTACCTATTATTTTTTATTTTCAAACGTTAACGTTAAATTTCCAATACCTACGTATTTTTATCGATTAACTATTTTATCCCTACCTGAATAAATATTTATTCAGGTATAACCGATTTTAGTGCACTAAATACAAATACCTAGCATATTTATTTTTGTCCTTAAAATATTGGTATCACCTGTACTTAAATACTTTATTTAACCTGAAGCTATTTTTTATGGGTCAAACTTTCAACAACTTTTTTATTATTTATCAGACTTTTACAGACCAAGAAACAGTTAAAAGCAAATTTTATGGCTTTCTAATGGTGTATACATATATTACAAAATACCCGGCTGTTATACCTGATAAAGATATTGCTTGATGAAGCCATATTGTTTTTTATGCAAGTTTGAACACCTGTAACTTGTTTAATGATTATTGGATTTTTACCAACCTTGAAGCATTTAAAAGATTTTTTTTGGGCTTTAGAAAAATGTTATAATTTCTGAATGCCGATATTTTTAGGAAAATGCTGTTCAAACCAATTTTTCTTGATCCAACTTTGAAAGGTTGCAACTTTTTTGTTATTTATCCCACAATTACCAACAAAGAAGCAATTGAAAGCTGATTTTATTTATATTCCAAAGGTGTAGGGATTTTAGAACTATAAATCCAGCTAACACATTTACCAATATCAAATGGTTACTTAGTTTTTGAGATACTTATTTGGAAAAATGTAAATGTTGAGTCTTTTCCGTTTTGTTGCGTTTCGAACTGTTATTAAGTATTTACATTGATGATGATCAGGTTTAGAAACATACAAGGTAATCCTGATGCATGTATTGAAATATTTTGCTACCTGGAACCAGTCCCAAATAAGACCATGAGGTAGACAAGTAGAAAGAGAGCATAAAGATTTACGTGGTGTAAGAACCAAGCATGGAATTCGTTGAAATGCGCCGTAATCAATCTCGTGGCAGCAAAGTGAGGAAAGTTGATATCCACCAGGCGTTTCTCATAGAAAAGGAAGGCCATACGTAGCGAGAGAGCAAGGGTGATGAAGGGGAGAGCAGACAAGTACGCTTGGCGTCTCCTTTTACCTTCTTTCCTGCTCTGTAGCTATAGAATCCATAAAAGAAACCCACTCCAAACGCGACCAAACCACCGGGTCCAGTTGAATAGAAAACAGTTTTTGCTCGGGCGCCCTCTTGCGGCGCATGCGCCAAACGCAGCGCGAAAATGGCGAATTTAATGTCAATTTGTCGGCGTTTCGTTTGAAATATGTACCCGAGTTTCGTGCAAAAATGACTGAAATAGCGGAAATGACGGTTTCGAAGGAGTCTTGTCGCCTCTGCGATGAGTTCTCCGACAAGCTTATCAGTGTTTTCGAGAAAAATGACGACGGGAAACAAATAATGCAACTGATCAAAGATTGCTTGCCGATTATCGTAAGTCGATTGTTATGTTTATATGTCAAACAAACCTAACCTACATTAAATAACATTTGTCAATACATTTTATAATTTTAGATATACAGATCCGACCCTCTTTCTAAAGGCATATGCGAAAGCTGCCTGGACAATTTGGAAAATTACTCAAGATTTAAATGTTTTATCAAAGAAGTTGACGATAAACACCGTGAAAAAATACAGTTCAGCACAGCGACCAAAACCAAGCACGAATTGCTTTATTTAGCAATAGAAAATGATGAAAATGTAAGTAGGGAACATTCTCAAAAACCCAATCTTTACTCTTTACTTGCAGAAAGAATCTGATTCACAATCGGAGGATAACTTCATCATGCATGGAATGGCTGATGCCTCAACATCAACAGAAGAAATTCCAATGCTTTGCATTGGTTGTAACAAAGCCATATCTGAAATACCAATGAATGGTGATATAGAACTTAATGGCAAAGACTCTGATGAGTGTGAAAAAGTGCTCAGATCGCGTAGAAAGAAACCTCAACCATTTTATCACGAACTAGATGACTCAATATGCAGCAGCATGACTGAGTTTACTCAAAACACTGAAAGCTCCAACTGTTTTGAGGATAGGGACGATTTAAACGATGGTGACTCTGTGGATTCAGAGGATGGGGTTAGAGGGAGGAAACGAAGGAGGGATTTCGAGGAGAAGGAAGTTTCAGGGGGAGGGATTTTACTGATTAAAAAATCTAAGATTGTGGGGCTTATAAGTGAGCCTATGGAGGAGGAGATTGTTATTCCACAGCAAGAACAAGATTATATGTGAGTAAAACTATTTTATGAGGTTTTATTATATTTATTGTATTATTTTTAACATTTAAAAGAATTTTGACAGTTGCCTTTACATTTTAAATAATACTGCAGTTTCACTCCTCTACAATTTTATTTATAAATTTTTTTATATCATTTTTATCACAATTCAAATTAAGAAATACAGTTTATTTAATTCTTTAACTGTTTTTTAACTGTTTTCAAGCAAAAAATATAAAAAATATTACCTACAAACATTTTTACAAAAAAACAATTATTTTTGAATGGTTGAAAATTTTTAAATAAAGTCTTTTCATGGTGTTTGATTGTGTGATTAAGTATAATCATTTGTGATTTAATTGGGTTGATCTTAAATATCCAGTTTTTCTACCATTCCTTTACATTTTATAATGGTTTTTAAAGTTGTTAAGTGTTTTTTTGTTGTTTTTTTATAAGTAATTATTGCATCATCATGTGTCAATTGGAGAATGTAACTTTTAAAGTCCAAAGCAGCAAGGTTGGCAATATTTGAGCAGTATAAATTATATAATAAAGGAGAAAGGGGGGAACCTTGTGGAACACCCTGTTCTGTTATAAATGATTTGGAGTTTTTTGTCCTTTTTTAATGTATTTTTTCAAAATGTGTAATATTTGTAAATCAAGTGCCAAAATATTTTATAAAACAGTACTTAATTATTAGTATAAAAATATACTTACTGTATAATATTACTTAGGGCTGAGTTTCAAAAATAAAAATTATAAACTGGGTGTGCAAAGTTACCCCCTGGTTGCGGGTAACTTTGTCGCACAGTGTATTTTCGGTATAAAATTAACTCAATATTTTATTTTATTTTTATTAGACACATGTCAGCAGCGACATATAGCGGTTGCAAGAGATTACCGATAAAAAAAAATAAAAAATCGACCTGTATCTAACCAAGGATCATCATTCCAAATTTAAAGAAATAAATGGGATTTATTACTATTGTTTATATTGCATCAGTGCAGAACTATTAGAAATACACGCGTATTTTTAAGAGTTCCTTAAAGATTGCGCCTAATATAGAAATTGTAACGCGTGTATTCTTAAGAGTTTTGCACTGAAGCAATATAAACAATTTTAAAGTGTAATAAATCCCATTTATTTCTTTAAAACACTGATTTTTCCGTAATATAAACTCAATAGAATCGCTCAATTGACAGGTTTAGACCATCAAATAATAAATGTTAATTTTATGGAGCGCGAAAAGATTTTTCATAAAAAGGTTAAAGTTATCCGCGGGGTGCAAAGCCACCCGTGTTTACGGTACATAATCAAATGTGTCCAATTTTGTACCTACAAATTAATAAAAGTTAAGTTGAAAAGACATTTTAGATATTGGGTTGGATACTCGCCCGAAACTGTCTGGGTGAATGTTTTTTATTAGTCCGGCAAATCCGGATTATTAATATATTCGTCCGGAAGATGACGCACCCGTAGCCCTGAATTTTAATTTAATTTTGATTATCCGAAAAACTTGAGGTCAGAATATATAAGGTCTAAGAGGTCAAACTTGTCAAAACAAAATAACCGCCACAAAATGACAAACCAAACTTTAAAAAAATTGACGTTACGTTCACAAAAAGTAGTTGTCAGGGGATTTCCGCTGTCAAGGAATTCATATTTGAGGAGTGATTTTTCAAAAGGCCGTATTTCCATTTTTACTTGAATATAATTTTTCGATAAAATAATAAAGGTATGGTTAAAAGGCATATATTAAATGGTGAATATGTTGCACAAGATGTTGAATGTCAAGAATATGATGAAGAAGTGATGTGTTTATGTAATGAACCAGAGATGGATATCCTTAAAATATAAGCCTTACAGATTTATCAATATTGTTAGCACAATGGTATTCCATAAAAAAGTAATATTTCCAAGTTTGTGCACAGCAAAAAGGCACATTTCCAACATGATTTTATACAAAAGGTCTTATTTCCAAATAATTTTTAAAAATATCATTGCTATAAATATTTAAATTTAAACCACCAATACGACAGCAGGTCTGAAGTAGTATTATATATTCATCAGATTTTTTTTTAAATAACCAAGCAGCATTTTTGGTTCCAAAAACCATTGCAAAGTGGTGATAACTTTAAATTAGTTAAGTATACTAAACAGCTACTTCAATTTTTACTTAAAAGTTTTTCTAACTTTTAAATAGCAATATTTTGTAACAGAAACTTCATTATTTCCTTAAATGGTTACTATAAAGTAATAAACATTTAAGTAAAACTTGGTTGCCCCCAAGAAGACTTTGCATTTAAAAAAGGTGTTATTAGTAAATTTGTAGTAAAGTAAATTTAATTTTTTGCAGTTACTTTCGGTTGCTACCTAAAGATTACATTATAATTTCTTTTACTTTGTAGTTGCTTTGCAAGTTAAAATCTTGAAACAGGAACATGAGTTAAAAATTACAAAGTTAATAACTTAAGTTATTATTTTAGTATTTGGAACGTTTATGGTTCTAACCAAAACTACCGTAAAGTAAATTAAGGTGGAAAAAAACTTTAGTAGCGAAAACTACTTCAAAGGAAAATGCGGCCATTTTTTACTGTACAGTACCACATGGTAATGTAATGCCAAATATTATGGTTAGGCTGAAGGACCCCGGTCGATGGCCTTTTGTATATTTTGTATTATATGTTCTGTATTGTACTGAATATGCAATAAAAACTTTATTTATTTTTATTTTATTCAAATACCAGTAACCAAGGATCATAGGTAATGTAGTAAAATTTATTGAAAAGGCTATCAATCGAGGTCTTTCTGCCTAAATGGGTCCTGATTAAACTAAAAAAATAAACACATTCATAAAGTTTTTCCTGTTTTTACCGAAATTTCAGCCAAAATGAACATTTTCAACATTTAAGTGCTGTAACATGAACCATTTTTGTTCTATTTGAATGAAATTTGCAAAATTTTGTAGCTTCATGTATCTACTTTGTTTTGTTAAAATTTTAATGCGCGTGTCAAAATTCATATTTACGGTCATTTTCGCTCCTGTACGACATTTAAAAAAAATCTGTGAACAACATTGATTGATAAATGCTTAATGAACTAATATTTCTTAAAAAAAATCATGCTTGCAATTTTTTTACATTAAATAAATTTTATTTTAGTAGTGACTCATGCAAGAAGGTTTCGTATATTTTTTAGCATTTTGTCAAACAGTGTCATTATTTAAAACTGGTATAAATACATATTTCAATTTATTACTGCTCACATAATTTATTTAAGGAGTCGTACAAGTGCCAGAAGCAAAAATAACCGTTACCTATATATATTTTTTCAAATGCGGTTATTTTTTATTGCCGATTTTTACTTTATTGCGTTAAAATTTTAACACAATAAACTACCTATTTTGCTAAATTTCATTAAAATCGGACAAAAATTGTTCATGTTACATCACTTTGAATTTTGAAAATTGTCTAATTTTGGCCAAAAACGATTTTGTTTTGTTGAAAAGACATTTTTTAAGGGGAATGTGTCCAATTTATTTTTTGTTTTCTTTAACACATAGCTATATTACCAATGATCCTCAGAAGTATTTGATACAAATGTTATTGTTTCTTTCGCAATATAATTCAAACGAGAGCTAATTGGGCAAAATATTTGTCATTTTTGGAATCAGTGTGTTGGCCTCCATATGGCAAAATTGCTATCGACCAGTGTTATCGGAGATATTCAATCCGGATTTTCCGGACTATTTAAAACCAAATATACCATAATTACATTGTTTTAACAGCCGATTTAGAAAAATTATATAATTTTTTTAAGCAGGTTTTTGTGTTATAAGTTTTATAAATTTATGTTTTTAACAGTTTTAATACTTTTGACATCAAACACTCAGAACATAAACAAACATCAAATGAGGACCCTAGAAGCCAAGGGATACAAGTGACATTTAAAAAAAATGTAGTTATGTACATAAAAAGATGGTAAACGGTACATTTTACTTGGTATCCAAGGGATATAACTGAATTCTAAGCTTAGACATGTTCAAAAAGCAAGTCATAAAACAACAAACAATTTTGACTCCAAATTACAAGTGTTTTTTTAAATTTAAACATGATTATCCCAAAACTAAACAAAATGTACTTATACCCCTTGGCTTCTAGGCTCCTCAAATATGAAATGGGTTGTTAGTTCACTTCTGACATTTTTGTAACTTAACTTTAAAACATTAAATTTAATTGTTTTTATTTCATTTTGTTACATTTTAAGCCTCATACAACAAATATATTCAAAAACGTTTTTAAGAAACTTATTTTAATATTTTTCAGATATAATCCTTTGAAATTAATAAAACTCTGCCTGAACATAATCAACATACAAAACGTGCCAGGATACGTTCCAAGCGATTTTTACAAGAAGCCGTTTCAGCCGAAATGCAGGCATTGCTCGCAACAATTTCAAAATTCGAAAGTTCTGGCGCTTCACGAAGTTTGCCATATGGACGTTGTCGTCGAAGATAAAGTTGACAACCCTGCCATATGGCCGCCCGGTAAGGAAAACGCCGACATTCGAAACAAATGGTTGGCTTATTTCGATGAAAACGGGTAAGTCTATGTCTATTTCCCAAGTAGCACAAACGGTTAAATAACTAGTATTATAAGTAAATTAACCGGAATCTAAGTTAAATGACGTTTTTTTTTAACCAATTAGTTGAATTATCCAATTAGTTTTTTTTACGGTTATTATAAACTAAAAAAAAACCTTTAAATTTACCAACTAGTTGATACTACTTAAGAGTTAATTTAAAAGTTATTTTTTACTATAATTTAACTTTAAAACTAACTGATGATTGAAACAATACTTCCAAGTTAAATAAGTGGTTAATTTTTAGTTAATTGTAACTTTTAAAATAACCTTAATTTACCTTAGTTAATAAGTAGGATATTTTAGAAGTTATATAACGTTATATTAACTTTAAATTTTAACCAATAAAACTGGTAAAGAGTAGTTAATTTTCTTGTTATATTTTGGTTCATGTTAACTATAAATTGAACCTTTAGGTAAGTTAACCACAGTTTTGGTTAATTTGACTATATTTTTTAACCAACAAGTTGCATTTTACCAAATGTATTTTAACTAAATGGTAAATTAACGTTAATCAACCAACTCGTTAAAAAAGTGATGGTTTTGCAGTTTTCATTGTTACCTACATAGAAAAATATGTACTATGTTAGGATATGTTGGGAACTTAAATAGGTACCAGAAATAAAGCCTCTTTATAAATAAACTTTGAACGCCACACGATTGTCTATGTAGTACACACTGCAACGTTTTCCAGAACGTTTGGCGGGAATTTATTTTAGGTTAGTTATTTTGAAAATACCAAGTTAGTTTAACTTAACTAAATTTTGGTAATTTTTAACTATAATGTGTTAAATGTAACCAAATTGAAACCAAAACCAAAAAGTTATAAATTACTGATGGGTAAATAAAGTAGTTAACTTAAACACAAGGAAAAAAATGGTTTAAATAAACTTGCAGGTTAATTTATATTGGTTAAATAACCAATTAGTAAAAGCGTCCTATAATCGCCATATTGCTTGCTGTTCATTTTACAAAAGGAAATGCCATTAACTTTTATTTTTTATTTTTGTTTCAAAAATAAGGTAATTTAAATAAACCAATAATAAAAAATAGTATTATTTTATGTTTGAAAGTATTTTAAGTCAATTTTAAGTAAAATAAAAAATAAATAAGCAAAAAAAAATATTTTTTAATTTTTATTTTCTTTATATCTTATTCTTTTTTGAGCGCGTTTAAAATATAAAAGTATTATGAGCCATTTCTTCAGAAAAAAAATTCCCCATTGGTTTTTCTCCTAGAACTATCTCTTTTAAATATTAAAATGAAGATATTAATATTCAGGGGAGACATTTTATTTAAAATCTTAAGACTCATAGATCTATGCATACTTGGTGTAGTATAATATACCTACTTAGTAAATTATAATTATATTAAGTTAAAATAAACTTAAAATGGTTGGTTTTTTCACTTTAGTTTAAGTTGACTAAAGAGTTAAAAAGCAGTAAAAAAGGGTAAAATTAACCAAAAATTACCAAATATTAACTTTTTTTAACCGACAGGTACATTAACCAAGAAGTTAAATTTACTTAACATAACGTTAAATTAACCATGATTTTTATTCCCCACTTATTACAAAATAACGTTAATTTAAGGTTAATTTAACGTTATAGTACAATATAACTTAAGTACATTAACCAGACAGAACGTAAATTTAACGTTAATTTAACCAGTTGTGCTACTTGGGTTTTTAGGTACTTCCAACTGACTATTTTCTCTTCTTCCTTAGATACGAAGAAGACGATTTGATACTGAACCAGTCCCTCCTGATACCGATCGAAATGTCTCATCTAAAAGAAGACGAACATGTCGATGTCGAGACTGTCGAGCTGGTGACTTTGGACGGCGTCAAGCCGGTGGTACGAGGAGTGCCTTTGTCGGAATACTCCAAAGAGGAACGTAAAAATTTCTATCAGAGTTTGGTTGTGGGCGGGGTGAAGAAAAGGTTCTGTCAAATATGTCGGTACACTTTCAAAGACAACTGGGCCATCGAATCGCACTATTTTTCGTCGGCATGTTACTACACCTGCAAGTACTGCGGCATGAGGTTTAACAAGCAAAGACACAGGTGAGAAGAAATATACAAAATGTCGTTTGTTTTAATAACTTCTATACACAGCTAAAAAAGAAATGTAAACTTCTTTATTATGCGTTTTACGAAAAAAATAACACCATAGACATCTTTAGGGTCAGAGTTGCAAAAATGTCAATGTAAATACATTAATCATTAAACAAATTTAAGAGAAATATTTTCATTACACATTAACAATACATTTCTCTTTAAAAAATAAAAAATGAGTAATGGAAGACATTACACATTAAAAAAAAATGTGTAACAAAAGATATTACATTACATTACATTAGTGAAAAATGATCAGGGGTAGTGTTGATGGGGTGATTTTTTATATGGGGCATTTTACACCAAGTCTGACAGTTTGAAAAATGTTGATTTTCGATTTCTTTTATTTTTCGATAATTTTAAGTACCCATTCAAAATCCCTTTTTGGTAAAGTTTGGTATTTTTTTGATTACTTATTTAAAAGATATTAGATTTTTAAAACAATGATGCAAGTACTGCGGATGAAGTTTAACAAACAAAGACACAGGTGAGAAAAAATATACAAATTGTTGTTTATTTTAATAACTTCTATACACAGCTTAAAAAGAAATGTAAACTTCTTTATTATGCGTTTTACGAAAAAATAACACCATAGACATCTTTAGGGTCAGAGTTGCAAACTTCTTAATGCAATCGTCATTTTTTTTAATGGTAATGTAGTTTGAATTTATTAATCATAAAAAAAAAATTTATGAGAAATATTTTCATTACTCATTAAAAAATAAAAAATGAGTAATGAGAGACCATAAATTACATATTAAAAAAATGTGTAACGAAAGACATTACCCATTTCATCAGTGAAAATGATCGGTGTCGTCCCATCTCGGGACCTAGGAAAAATTTACCTGTTTCTGTGCCATCTCGGGACCGAGTCTACAGGTACAAGTTTAAAAGTGCCATCTGAGGACCTAAGTAAAAGGATTACTTCGCGGTCAGTTTTTACATGTAAGCATTGAAGGAATATTGTATTATTTTGCAAAATTATTAAACAGCGTCTATTTTATGCTACTGCATAGATATTTTTAAAACTATAATATTTTAAGCGTTAGAAAGTTATATATCTTTCAATCTATTTTATGGATAAACAAACACAAAACATTTAAAAATCAAATCTATGGGGGGGGGGCCAATTGGGCGGGGTCGGTAGGGTTGTGTTGTTGAGTTTGGCTCATTTTTGCTGTGTTTAATCAATATTTTTTTTGCATTTTTGTCCATTTTGTTGATTTTTGCTCATTTTGTTTTTTGTTTTGTTGTACTGTCAATATAAAATAAGTTAAAGTATCCCGTTAATAACAAAAAGCCGTGCAGCCGCCTTAAGTATTTTGTTTATGACAGGGATAAAAATGTATTACCTTGTATAGGCCCCGAGATGGGACTTTTTAATTTTGGAAACTTTATGGCTTAGGGTCTGGGTCCCGAGTTGGGAAAGGTCCCGAGATGGGAGGTCCCGAGATGGGACTAAGCCAAATGATCAGGGGTAGGGTTGATGGGGTGATTTTTTATATGGGGCATTTTGCACCAAGTCTGACGGTTTGAAAAATGTTGATTTTCGATTTCTTTTATTTTTCGATAATTTTAAGTACCCATTCAATCCCTTTTTGGTAAGTAAAGTTTGATATTTTTTTGATTACTCGTTTAAAAGGTATCAGATTTTTTAAACAATCGCGTTTTTTTGTTTTTTTGCTGCTAATTTCTTTAATAATGGTCCAAATTTTTATTTCTTTAAATTTTCATGTATCAAAATTATCCAAAGCATATTTGCATGCGAATTTTAAGTTTTAAAATTTTAATTTTCAAACTGTTTGTATTTTTCAATTTCTTTGCAAATTTTTTACTCTAAACTTCTACCCACACAAGAAATTTTAAGCCGGGGTTGATAGTGGGATTATGATAATTAGGTGAGAAGGCGACTCAAAAAAGAATTGAATCTGCAATGGTATGAACGAATAATTAATTTTGGACGTCTGTTACTGGTAAAAAAACAATTCAGAACAAAAATTGAAAAATTGTGTCATGCAATAATATCTTCCTTGCCCACTAAAAATGAGTAATATAATAATCATTTATTTATAATTAAAAATAAAAAAATGAGTAATGTAAAGTGAGTACATTACTCACTAACATACAAAATTTGTAATTGAAAATTTCAAAATACTCATTGGAAAAAATGTAATGAGTAATTAACTTAATTTTCATTAAAAAAGAAGTAATGCATTATTTTAATGATGTGTATTGAAACCTTAATGCATTATTTGCAACTCTGTTTAGGGTCTTAATCCAAAGATGTAGTTTTCTCTAACCTTAACTTCTCTTATAGATTTGAAGAGCACATGCAGGAGCACATGATACGAGGCGATCCGATAATACAGGACAAAATCTACGCGCCGTCCAAAGTGAACAACTACATGCCGAAAGTGATACAGGGCGACAAAGGCAAAAAACAACCCCTGCCTGCTCTGCAACCCAACCCGCACCTTCTGCAGTCCGCCCTTCAAGGTCACCACCATCAAATCAAACAGGTAGGTCAATATTTTTTTCGGAAAAAAACGAATAAAAAACAAAAAGAATTGGTAACTTAGTTTAATTAGTAAGTACGAAATTTTTCCAATCTTACTTATTTTTGTAATTTCCGAACTACGCATAATACAGAAAAAATGCAAGTAAATTTTTCTGTAAATTTTACTATTTTTTCGAAAAATTCTTGTAGTGATATATTCCTTAAAGTGAATGAATTCATTTCATCACCTAAAGATGGAATAAACACTGGTGGCGACATTTGTGTTTATTATCTAACAACTTTTAGACCGATCTAGGATTTCAAAATGTCGAAAAATATGGGAAAACATGTTTTTTTCGTTTTTTCCAAGGCATCGGAAAAATTGTCTTTTTTGGGATAAATTAAAGTTTTTGTTAACTTTCACCGCCGAGTTTTGCAATAACAAACGATAATGTTGATCGTGTCCAACCAAAATTATCTATCTGTCATTCTCGTCTAGAAGAACTGGCAACACTGTATTACTAACACGTGATTATCTAGTGATATTTGGTTTGATTCATTTGGTGACTACCAGAATTTCGTTTTATTAATAAATTATTAAAAAAAACACAATTGCATTAAGTTATTTATTTTTCAAAAATTATTAGACAATCCTACTTTTTATGGTTTTCTTCTCTTTGTTTTCTGCTTTTTTCTATAGCCTTTCGCTGCATTCAACATACTGTATGTTTTCTGTTGGAATTTTCCCGGGAAAATTGAGCCGGCGAAAAAATACCGCCTTTTCCGAAAAAAAAACCGTTTTTTTTTTCGGGAAAAGGGGAAAAAATTGGGAAATTTTTAGAACAATTGACTTGTTTTTTTTTCATTTTATTCAAAGGGTAATACGAACAAAATGCAAAAGTTTTCTATAAATTTACAGTGATATAAAAAAAGTGAATTTTTGACGCTGAATATAATCACAATATTATGATTATAATAATTATTTCTTTTATTTTAATTCAGTACAAATGAATCCTCTAGTATCAAAACCCCTTAAATCCGTTTTGATAAAAATGAGATACATGCATTAAAATATTCCTACCTATCAATGTGTGCATAGAAATGGTTGCAAAAGCCATCAAATATATATAAAAAATTGAATAAATACATTTTGTGGCTTTTTCAACCATTTGAATGCACAAATTGATAGGTAATATTTTTTTAAATGCATGGTTCTCATTTTTTACTAAAACGGATTTTAGGGGTTTTGATAATAGGGGATTAAATATTCGATCAGGCCGAAAAAAAAAACAAATTTGGTGCTTTATTAACGTACAAACTTTTGTTTTATTTGACACCTCGATTTATAAAATTACAATTTTTTAATTTAACTTTATAAATCATTCATTCTTTTGTAATTGGATATTTTAAATGGACTTGACCCAACCGACAGTATATTTCACGATTACGTTTATTTTCTTAAATCAATTTAATTTAATTAAATATTTAGTTTATTTATTCTCTGTAAGAAAGAATATTTTTTTTAAATTAAAATAATCTTAGGTTGTTGATTGCTCCTATTTTCAAATGTGTATATTTTCCAAAAAAATTACAATTTTTCCAAGACCTGAAAAAAAAAACCGAAAAAACAGGTTTTCCCCCAATTTTTTCGGTTTTTTTCCCGACACTTTAAAACCTTAGTTGGAATGTATGTATATAGTGTTTTTTTATTAAAATAACAAACAATTGTAAAATCAGTTTTGCAAGTTGGTACCTATCGCTATTTATGCATTAGGTATAAAAGCAACTCCCCTTACCCCGCAACGTTCTTCCTGAACCTCCTTAATCATTTTAGAAAGCAATCTTCTATTGAAACTATTTTAGGAGAAGCCTCCTCAGTCGCTCGACCAGCTGCGCGTGCGCGCGATGATGAACAGGCGCAGCCTGCCCAACTTGCAGTCTGCACCCAAAAGCGGTATGGTAAAGAGGGCGAGCGGTTCGCCGCCTCCCTCGACTGGCCAAGTTACCGTTAAAAGCGAAGTCATCACGTCGCAATCGAAGACCGGCAACCAGGCGTACTTTTGCCGGAAGTGTTACAAGGTTAGTGTATATGAGACTTCCGAGTTTAACATCTTTAACATGCCTTTCAAATATTACGTCAAGGTCTAGGGCGGTAGGACAATTTGTAACGAATTCATTCATTCAAATTTTAGGATAAAATTTGAATTTGTGACGTCACTAGGGTACGTAATATGTGAATGCCCCTTAGACGCTTTTTATAAAAGGAAAATATGTATATAAGGGGTTATGTGCAGTCAAATAAACATTTTCAAGGATTTTTTATTAACTGTTGCATAGTGGTTTTTATTTTATACGTAATATCAAAATTCTTACACTATTTAAAGTAAATTTTACGAAAATTTAAAAAAAATTAATCTCTCTCTTGTAAAAGGTGCTTTGCAGTGGTTCATAAAAAATCAATATAAATAATTTTTAGTTCGATAGTTAATCTGTAATAATTTTCGTAAAAAACTGACCTTAGAGATTTTTTTGCATGAATCGTTTGGGCCAAGCTTTTCTTATGAGCCCCAAACGTTCATGTAAAAAATGTCTATGGTCAATTTTTTTCGAAGAATTTTTTTAATAAATTTTGAGGAAAATATCATTCATCAATTCAAAAATATAAGTTTTAGTTAATGAAATCCTTTTATCTTCCTTAAGTTTTTAATGTCTAGTCCAGTATAAATTTATTGAGTTTTAAAATATAAATTCTTCAAATATTGTGCTGCATGTAACCCCATGAACTTTTAAGACAAAATCTCATTTTTTGGATGTTTTTTTGACTATACAGGGTGTCCGAAAATAACGTTATATATTTAGGGGGGTGATTCTACACGTAAAAATAAATAGTTGCTATAAATGTCCGGTTTTACAGGCTTGTAAACAGGCTAACTTGGTATTTTTCTATTGCCTACTAATTCGCTTTTGTTCGTGGCGATACATTTTTAATAGCGTTTTCCTCGAAAACGGTTGGCTTCATGACTTTGTAACAAGAGCAGCTTTTTTACGAAAAATTATCTGGAGAATTGTATTCCAATATCGAGAATTCAACAAAACCCCACAAAAAAAGATTTTTTCCCTGTTTCGGACGTCTATGGTCATCATTTAACACTAACCGTTTCTGAAATAATTAATAAAAACCTGATTTTACTGTTTAAAATGCTGATAGCGCCCCCAGAAGGCATTTTCGGTTTGCTATAGCAACTTAATATTTTATTTTTATGTATGTAGAATCATCCCCCGAAATATATTTTCGGACATCTGTTTGCTATAGCAACTTAATCTTTTATTTTTATGTATGTAGAATCATCCCCTGAAATATATTAATGTTATATCCTGTATGAGACTTCTGAATTAATACGTCTTTTGCATGACCTTTTATATGACAACAAATTTCTTTAAGTTAACAACTTGACATATCTTTGAAAATGACTTTCTGCTTTTAAATGGGCATCTTTTTGACGACCTTTTATGTGACAAAGACTTTTCATACCCCTTACGCTCCATGTGGCTACAATTGTGACTTCCTTATGTACATATACTTTATGGGTTAAAATGATACAGTGGAGCTCCCACTCCTCAATCGTACAATTGTGATATGTATTTACTACGCAGACAAGAGCATGCGCTCACCAATTTCTGCCTTGTTTTTGTTTTGGATGGCAATTTAAGCGTGCTAGTTCTTTACATCATTGCGTCTAATAGTAAGTTATTGTCTTTTTATTACAAAAATGGCTTTATTTAATGTAGAATGCTTAAAGTGTCTTCAGGAAAGGTTAATTCTTTGACTCTTCAAAAAAAATTTTTTATTTTGGTTTTCATATTAAAGCAATTTTGTCAAGAAAACTTTAATTTTGCTTTAAAATTTGAATTTTAATTTCTCAGGAGTGTAAGGGTTAAAATAGACATATTTTAGATGTCTTTTCGCTTTTAAGGCAATTCCTTATATGATATGAAAACATGTCTTCAAGTAGAAATCTTTAAGACAACTGTTTTTTTTGGTAAATACTCAAAAAATATTTGGATTTCATTTTTATCAAAAACAGCAATGTATTATCATCTACAATTCATATCATTGGGTGAAATTATATCTTTAAATAGACATTTTAAGGACAAATTTTCTTCACGAATATACAAATAAGTTTGTAATATACCCAAATAATTGTCTTCAAATATGAATCCTTAAGACTCAAAATGGCAAAACATGTATTTACAAATATACATCTTTTAGAGGTCTTTAGATCTTTTTGCTTTATTGGCAATTCTATAAACGACATAAAATTAAGGAAACATTTTCTTTACGGATATACAAAGAAGTTTGTAATAGACCCAAATAATTGTCTTTAAATATACATCCTTAAGACTCAAAATTGCATAAAAACATGTCTACAAATAGACGTTTTTTAGAGGTCTTTATATCTTTCCGCTTTATAGACGATTCTGTAAACGACATGAAATTATATCTTTAAATAGACATCTTAAGGACAAATTTTCTCCACGAATATACAAATAAGTTTGTAATATACCCAAATAATTGTCTTTAAATAGACTCCCTTAAAATGGCATGAAAACATGTCTTTAACATCTTTTAGAGGTCTTTAGATCTTTCCACTTTATAAACGACATGAAATTATATCTTTAAATAGACATCTTAAGGAAAAATTTTCTTTACGGATATACAAATAAGTTTGTAATAGACCCAAATAATTGTCTTTAAATAGACAACCTTAAGACTCAAGATGGCATGAAAACATGTCTTTACAAATAAACATCTTTTAGAGGTCTTTAGATCTTTCCGCTTTATAGACGATTCTAAAAACGACATGAAATTGTATCTTTAAATAGACATCTTAAGGACAAATTTTCTTTACGAATATACCAATAAGTTTGTAATAGTCCCAAATAATTGTCTTTAAATATACATCCTTAAGACTCAAAACGGCATTAAAAAATGTCTTTACAAATATACATCTTTTAGTGGTCTTTAGATCTTTCCGCTTTATAGACGATCCTGTAAACGACATGAAATTATATCTTTAAGTAGACATCTTAAGGACAAATTTTCTTCACGAATATACAAATAAGTTTATAATAGACCCAAATAATTGTCTTCAAATAGACATCCCTAAGACTTTAAAATGGCATGAAAATATGTCTTTACAAATAGACATCTTTTAGATGTCTTAAGATCTTTCCGCTTTATAGACGACTTTATAAACGACATTATATCTTTAAAAATACATCTTAAGGACAAATTTTCTTTACGAATATAAAAATAAGTTTTTAACAGACCCAAATAATTATCTTCAAATAGACATCCTTAAGACTTAAAATATACATCTTTTAGAGGTCTTTAAATCTTTCCGCTTTGTAGACGATTCTGTAAACGACATGAAATTATTCTTTAAGTAGACATCTTTAGGACAAATTTTCTTCACGAATATACAAATAAGTTTGTAATAGACCCAAATATTTGTCTTCAAATAGACATACCTAAGACTCAAAATGGCATGAAAATATGTCTTTACAAATAGACATCTTTTAGAGGTCTTTAGATCTTTCCGCTTTATAGACGATTCCGTAAACGACATAAAATTATATCTTTAAAAATACCTACATCTTAAGGACAAATTTTCTTAACAAATATACAAATAAGTTTTCACCTCTTAAAGGTATTCTTCAAACTGGACGAGTTCAACATACACAACAAAAACTGCGACTTCAACCAGTTTCCGGGCTTCGTCGCGTCGAAACCGCCGCCGATCTTCAACAACGCGTCGCCGAAGCCGGCGCCAGCGCCAAAACCGGCGCCCGCCCCAAAACAACAGAACGGCGAAACGACCGGCAACCGGCCGTCGCTCACCTCGCGCCCCGTACGAAACTGCACGAAGGACACCGGGCCGTACAAAGACGAAGCGTACATACCGGAGGTGTTGCTGAAGGAGACGGTGGCGCCACCTAGGAACATCAACATGCAGGGCCCGCCGTTCGTGTGCTTCATCTGCGGCACGCCCTTCCCCACCGTTTACTCGAGGAACAGTCACATGAGAATACACAAAGGCGAGACCGGCGGCACTGCCAACAACGCGTCCACCAGCAAACCCAAGCAGCAAAACAACTACGTCAGCTACCCGGACAGCTTCATGATAAAGCAGGAACCTCTGGAGCCCGAGGTTCAGATCCACGAGAGCGAACCCACGCCCACCATGTCGCAAATCGGCAACGGCGCCGTGAGCATCACGCCCATCCCAAAGAAGAACAACCAAAGGCTGACCATCAACCCGGACATCTACAAGCTGGTGCAAGACAACCCCAATATATCGCTGCAAAAAAAATCGCCCGAGAACAAGCAATCGACCAGCCAAAACCTGCAGCTGATGCAAATTCTGGGCGCGAACGAGGACAAGTCCTACAAATGCTCGAGCTGTTGGGAGGCGTTCGCGAACAAATCGCATCTGTATTTTCACAAGAAAAATCAGTGCGAGGGGTCGCGTTTCCCCTGTCCTTTCTGCAAAAAACGTTTTGGCACCGAAGCGGCTTACAGTTCCCATATTTTCTACAGCCATCCAGAGTAAATCTGTCATATGGGCTTGACGTTTGAGATGTCAAAAAAACATGAACTGTCAGTTTGACCTTTTAAATGTCAAAATTGTCAACAAACTGTCAAATTTGGTGTTAACTAGCAAAATATTTCCATATGTGAAAGTTGTAAATAATATTAATAATAATTTTGCCACAGCAGGAAACTGATGATTTGAAAAAAAAACTACTAGAAAGGAAAAAAATTATTGTTTTTTTGTCAAAAAAATATATTCTTCAGTGTAAAAAACTTTTTGTCTGTAAAAAATAAGACTTATTCGAATTTTAAGCACCACACACAGATCTGTATAGAACCAGTGATAAATACGTAATACTAATTTAGTTTTTATTTATTAAATTATATTGACTTTATTTTTTTATTTTATTTTTTTTATGCAGTATTTGAATTTATTTCATGCATTTCCACTTAAGAAGTAGATATAAAGCCTTTTTTACCAAACCCCAACTCTCTGCTATGAAAATGTAATTTTAATGTTTTGTATTAGTTTTTAATTTAGACTGTATATAGTATGTATTAAATAGGATTCTGACATAAATAAACAATATATTTAATAGTTTGACTGGTTTTTATTTTATCTACTAACTCCATTTAATATTCTAGTGTAATTACTTAATTTATTTTATTTACCAACTACATTTAATATTCTAGTGTAATTTTAGTTACTTGGTACATTAAATTGGAAAAAATGAGGTAAAACCGTTTGACAGTTGTCAGATAAAAAATAAAATTAAAATCAAATTCTGAAAAAAATTACTTGGTCGTAAAAAAAGTATGTATAGTATGCAATTTGTTTTATAAACTTCTCAAGCAAACTAGTTTATTAAAAACTCGCTCTGCTCGCGCACGCCCACTATGTCGCAAATCGGCAACGGCGCCGTGAGCATCACGCCCATCCCGAAGAAGAACAACCAAAGGCTGACCATCAACCCGGACATCTACAAGCTGGTGCAGGACAACCCCAATATATCGCTGCAAAAAAAATCGCCCGAGAACAAGCAATCGACCAGCCAAAACCTGCAGCTCATGCAGATTCTGGGCGCGAACGAGGACAAGTCCTACAAATGCTCGAGCTGTTGGGAGGCGTTCGCGAACAAATCGCATCTGTATTTTCACAAGAAGAATCAGTGCGAGGGGTCGCGCTTTCCCTGTCCTTTCTGCAAAAAACGTTTTGGCACCGAAGCGGCTTACAGTTCCCATATTTTCTACAGCCATCCGGAGTAAATCTGTCGTATGGGCTTTAAATTTCACCTTGACATTTAAAATGTCAAAAAAAAAATATGAACTGTCGTGTTTGACATTTTAAATTTGGTGTTAACTAGCAAAATATTTTCCATATGTGAAAGTTGTAAATAATATTAATAATAATTTTGCCACAACAGGAAACTGATTTGGAAAAAATACTACTAGAAAGTAAAAAAAAATTATTGTTTTTTGTCAAAAAAATAAAAATTCTTTGCTGTAAAAAACTTTTTGTCTGTAAAAAATAAGACTTATTCGAATTTTAAGCACCACACACAGATCTGTATAGAACCAGTGATAAATACGTAATACTAATTTAGTTTTTATTTATTAAATTATATTGATTTTATTTTTTTATCTTATTTTTTTTTAAGCAGTATTTGAATTTATTTCATGCATTTCCACTTAAGAAGTAGATATAAAGCCTTTTTTACCAAACCCCAACTCTCTGCTATGAAAATGTAATTTTAATGTTTTGTATTAGTTTTTAATTTAGACTGTATATAGTATGTATTAAATAGGATTCTGACATAAATAAACAATATATTTAATAGTTTGACTGGTTTTTATTTTATCTACTAACTACATTTAATATTCTAGTGCCCACACAGAACACGCTATCCAATGGATATCCAATGGCTATCCCAATGTCCATATAACATCCATGCCTTTTACGATATCCATTGGATATCCAATGGATATCCATACTGGATGTTCAAAAAAAAACAAAAACATTAAAAATATTTTTTTCTTTTTTAAAATAGCCCCTTATAGGATAAATTTATGTAATGATTAATAAATATGATTTAAATCGTTATTAACCCAATTTCAACAAAGTATCTCTAATATATATCCAATGGATAACTAATGTATGTCCAAAGTATATCCACTGTACATCTAATGTATATCCACTGGATATCCACTGGATATCCGATGGATATCCATACTGGATGTTCAAAAAAAAACAAAAACATTAAAAATATTTTTTTCTTTTTTAAAATAGCCCCTTATAGGATAAATTTATGTAATGATTAATAAATATGATTTAAATCGTTATTAACCCAATTTCAACAAAGTATCTCTAATATATATCCAATGGATAACTAATGTATGTCCAAAGTATATCCACTGTACATCTAATGTATATCCACTGGATATCCAATGGATATCCATACTGGATGTTCAAAAAAAAAACAAAAACATTAAAAATATTTTTTTCTTTTTTAAAATAGCCCCTTATAGGATAAATTTATGTAATGATTAATAAATATGATTTAAATCGTTATTAACCCAATTTCAACAAAGTATCTCTAATATATATCCAATGGATAACTAATGTATGTCCAAAGTATATCCACTGTACATCTAATGTATATCCACTGGATATCCACTGGATATCCGATGGATATCCATACTGGATGTTCAAATAAAAACAAAAACATTAAAAATATTTTTTTCTTTTTTAAAATAGCCCCTTATAGGATAAATTTATGTAATGATTAATAAATATGATTTAAATCGTTATTAACCCAATTTCAACAAAGTATCTCTAATATATATCCAATGGATAACTAATGTATGTCCAAAGTATATCCACTGTACATCTAATGTATATCCACTGGATATCCACTGGATATCCGGTGGATAACTGATATGGATATCTTGTATATATACTTGTATGTATACATGTGGGATTTTGTGATGGTTTAAACTAGCATATGTAAAAAAAACGACTTTACGTTAAATTGATTTTTTGCCAAGAGCTACGAAATTTTTAATTTTGAAATGTTCACTTTACCCAGATAATAATATTTATATATTAATAATATTATTTCTGTTAATAATATGACTATGACAGTCTGCAATACAATAAAAAATTACTTAAAAAAGTCCTTTTTGTTTATTATTGTATTTCATATATGTACTACGCACGCGCTGAATTTGAGAATCTTCAGTGTTGTCGGTTATAAGCAAAATAACTAAACGAAATATATTTCCGTACTTTATTAAGTTTTAATAAATTAATTAAATAAATTTAAAATAATTATTCACCACATTTATGTCAAATAGGTATACTAGGTATACTAATTAATTAAGTATTAAAGATTTAATAATATAACCGCCATTTTGATGAGCTTTCTGAAATTATTTAAACGTCTGACAACACTGCCGGCGAACACAGAAGATAAATGTCACCATATTACCTTGCCGCTGCATCTCGCCGCTGTCCAGGTCGCCCAACTAGTATATAGGTGGGCGGTTGCTTGGCTTGAAGCGTGTCTCTCGGCACCAACTGCCTGACACTGATGAGACCCAACAGGTCGAAACAGTCTGTCTGTCAGTGTTGGTGGGCATGGTACATTAGTCATTGTGCCATGTAAAACAAATGGGCTGATGGATTGGCCAAATTTTGGGGATCATAAGGAGACAGGTGAAATAGGCCCTAAATGATTAGGCTGATAAAAAGGCAAATGACAGCTGGAGGAGTGATGGCAAGCACTTCTTTAGTTATATGTAGTTTTCTGTTCTATTTTATGTTTTCATAAAAATAAATATTTAAATTAAAGAATAATAATTTTGAAACCCAATGTTATTTATTGAAAAGTAAATATCCATTGATTCACCATATCCAATACAGATGACAACCATATTGCATACAATACTATATCCACTGGGTATCCATTGGATATCCACACTATGTCCAGGAGGGTCGGACATTTATATATCCAATGGTTATCCATTGGATATCCATACAATCTCCATATTGAATACAGATTACAACCTTATTGCATACAATACTATATCCACTGGGTATCCATTGGATATCCACACTATGTCCAGGAGGGTCGGACATTTATATATCCAATGGTTATCCATTGGATATCCCGGATATCCTATGTATATCCTGGATATCCATAAAAGAAATCCATTGGATATCCATTGGATGTAATTGTTCCGTGTGGGTGTAATTAGTTACTTGGTACATTAAATTGGAAAAAATGAGGTTAAAACCGTTTGACAGTTGTCAGATAAGTCAAATAAAATTAAAATCACTTTGTCGTAAAAAAAGTATGTATAGTATGCAATTTGTTTTATAAACTTCTCAAGCAAACTACCTAGTTTATTAAAAACTCGCTCTGCTCGTGCATAATAATGACTCTGGTATTACATTTAACGTTATTATGTTTTTCTAATAGCATTGTGAAAAAGTCGGCATTTTGGTTAAGTGTCAAAATTAGGTCATTTTTGAAAATGCTAAAAAAGAATTATTTTTTTCAAGCGTACAATAATTTTCATATTATTAAACTTAAAGTCCATATAATATAGCAATACTTAATATTAATACTATATTCAAAAGTCAAATTATTATCAGTACCTACAGAAATAAAGCTTAAATGTTCTTTAAAGGTTCCTTTCTTTATATATATTCTTGTTGCATAATAGTAATTCTTCCAATACCATTGTCAAAAAGTCGGCTTTTTTGTTGACATTTTTGTGTCAAAAGTAGGTCATTTTTGACAGTGCAAAAAGGTATTTTTCAATTAAATCAGCACATTACGTCAAAACTTTCTTTTAAATTTATTTACTACCACAAGGAATAAATTGTAATTTTAGTATTCAATTAATAACAATAAAAATTAAATTGTTTTCTTGAATAAAAATTATTTCATTTAGGCAGTATAAAGTGCTGATCACAAAGCCAGTTTTGTGGTGATTTAATTGTGGTGCAAAAAAATTATTTTATCCGAAATCGGCAGTAAAGTAGTCAACAATCGGCAGTAAAGTAGAACTTTACTGCCGATTTAATGCGAGTATTGTATGCAACCAATTATACATTTTAAGATGTGTCTACTGCTCCCCAGTAGCAACTAAATAATATTTAAAAAAAAAGCACCGTCGCGGAGGTCGATTGGACCCTTTCATAAAATGTTGTTTAATAAAAATAATAAGTTAAATTTATTAATTAGATTTAAAAATCGTCGCAACAAACAGTATACGTAGGCACTTCCTACATTCAAATGACATTTGATTTGATCATCAAATGACATTTGATTTAATCATCAATTATTAATATTATTAAATGCATATACCTATAACTATAGTTATAGGTATATGATTAAATGTGATTTCGGATAAAATTTAATATGCACCTCGGCATTAAAGTCATTTTTTATCACTCACGTGGTTATTTGCCTTTACTGCCGATTTAATAGAGAGTATACTCTATACAATATATTGTATGCAACCCATTATACAGTTTAAGATGTATCTACTGCTACTCAGCAGCAACTAAATAATATTTTTTAAAAAGCACCGTCGCGGAGGTCGATTGGACCCCTTCATAAAATGTTGTTTAATAAAAATAATAAGTTAATTTTATTATAATTAGATTAAAAAATCGCCGCGGAGGGCAAATACAAACTAAAGCTATAATAAAACAAAACATAAAATATATAAATAACTTTATTTTCTACTTAAGATAAGTGCTTAAATACTGTATAAACAAATTAGGTATATTTTTTGAATCAGGAGTATGCATTTTTGAATAAGTAATATACTGTCTTCGTAAATTCATTAACTGTGGAACTGTAACCCTAGAAACATCCACTTTCAAATTGTCGTATCCAGGAATATCAACCTCGCCGTCAGCGCCAGCTTTTTTTAATTCAACTATACCATCAACAATTTTTTTTGTAATTTGATCCAAGTCGTAGAGAAAATTTGTGGAGCTTAATTTGGGGTTTTGGGTTGACATGTTAGCTTTTGGGGGTTTCTTTTTAAAGAGATTCGAGTATATGGAATCAACATCTAAGGTATCATTTGGAAAAAGAGCATATAAGGGTGAATCCCAACGATTTTTACCCTCTGGTTCCTCGTACCTCATTATTAAAGCATCAAATGTTACTCGGTCGTAAATTTGAGTTTTAACTTCACGTTCCTCGTTAAATTTCCACGCTTCATCAATGTTCACTTGCGTGTGTACTGTACATTGCAGGCACTTATTGTTCTTTGCAGCACAAAACAGTTCGTACCTATACCCTTTGATATAATTAGGAGCATCCAATATAACAACGTTATTAGGCGTTATTAATTTTAACACGTCGGACTTTAACAATCCTCTGATGTGTTTCTCTTTATTAGAATCCGCGTAAAAGGCATTTTTCTCAAAACCAGCTTTCACTATTTGATCATTCTCGCTTATAACTATGACTTCTTTGTCTTGTTCTTGAAAAAATTTCTTTAATTCTTGCGTCCTTGTCGATTTTCCGCTCGAGGGAAAGCCGCTAATTACTATTAAAGGCATTTTTCAAGTTAAAATGTGCCACATAACCTAACTTATAACTGTCAATATATTGAGGTTATGAGAATTGTCAAAAGTTACGTCAGTTGTTGAAAAACATAGGAAAATAGACTAAAAATACGGTAATTAGTAAATAATTGGGAGTAATTATTGGGTGAATTTTTTAAAAGTTCGATTGGTGACGTGTATTATTATCGTTGGAATAAGTGTGGAGTGTTTTTTAAGCCAAAAGTCAGCTGTATGTTTGACAAATGTTTTTTTATGTTTTTCCGATGTAAATTTTAGTTGTTTTTTAGCTGACTGACTTAATAAGGCTACTTATTGATAAATTCCGGTGATAAAGTGTTGCAATATGTCTTTGGAAAGTAAATACAACTTAAAAAGTCCAGGTAAATACATTTAGCATATTATATTGTGGAAAAATCATATACAAAATGTTTTAAGGGGTAAAACGGTTGATGCGAGAAGCAGTTGAACTAGCAAATCCGACAGAAGAATATTTTGCCACACCACTTGAGGATAATTTGTTTGAATGGCATTTTACAGTGAGGGGACCTTCAGCCACAGAATTTGAAGGGGGGTACTATCATGGCAGAATACTTTTACCCTCACAATATCCTATGCAACCCCCCAACATTATCCTTCTCACTGTAAGTTAAATTGCAATATTAATGCAAAACGTTATATTTTAATTTTGGTAACCTCGTAATTCAGCAAACACAACCATAAAAGTTCTATAATGGCCCGTTATAAACGTGCCTTTAATGAACTAAAGGCCCTTAAAGGCTAATTTTAATGGAACTGTACATATTATGTCGCCTTTACCTTTCGTCACCCTAATATTACAAGGTTGTATGTTAAAAAAAAAAAAATTTAAGTCTATGTTTCTACAGGATTATATGTGGCCTACGCTTCACATACCACTTAAAAATAATTTTATAGAATGTATACATATATATATTCTATGTATATATATATTCTATGTATACATATATATATATATATATAGAGTTATTTTCAAGTTGTATGTCAAGGATGGATTACATAAACCCTTGTAGAAGCATAAACTCAAATTTTTCGGTTTTTTAACATACAACCTTGTTATATAAGGGTGACGCTTTATTGGGCATGTAACAGCAGTCAATAAAGAACCATAAAGGTTCTGATATGGCAGATTAAAGGTACAAATGTGGCAATTTAAAGTTTCTGATATGGGGTGTTTAAGATTCTATAGTGGTTATTTAAATAATTTTTAATGGATAAGTGAAGTATCTATTATGGTGGATTAAATGTGGTAGGTATTTAATAAACAAATTCTGATTATCGTGAAATAATCTTATCTTATAAATAAATACTATTTATTTATTAGATAAGGATATTTCACGATAATCAGAGTTTGTTATCCCTACCGTCAAAATACAATTTCTGACGGTCGGGAAAAAAATTTCCGATTATCGGATACGATCCAATAAATATAAACAAACCATTTAATCCACCATAATAAATACTTTACTTATCCATTACATTAATTATTAATACTTTTATTATCATAAATTTTCAAGGAATAGAGATTTGAATTTTTTCACATTCATACATGTTGAAGGGTAACATTTTTTAAGATACTCAACTGAAATCTGAACTTTAAACTTGGCCTACTACGAATTCACAAACGGGGCCAGTTGTCGATATTTTGCTTCGCGTTAGAAATATCGAAAAAAATTATTAGAAAAAGTTGTTCAGAATATTATTCTAACCCCGTATACCGATTTTCATAGCAAAATTCGCATTTCTAATTTTATTAGTTTTATTATTGTTTTATACCATTTCCTTAATTTAATAAATTGTAATTGATTTGTAATTTCCAAAAATTGTTTTAATTATTTACTTAACGGTCATAAACACTAGTTAGTATCAAATTATTACTTTCCATGGCTCCCTTATTGTCAAACTAAAAAATGAACTTGTAATAATTTTGTGTGGACCAAAATAAAAAAAAAATTAAAAACGCGAATTTTGTTATAAAAATTGGTATATGGGGTTAGAATAATATTCTGAACAACTTTTTCCAATAACTTTTTTCGATATCTCTAACGCGAAGCAAAATATCGAGAACTGGCCCTGTTTGTGAATTTGTAGTAGGCCAAGTTGAAAGTTCAGATTTCAGTTGAGTTACTCAACTTGAGTAGCTTAAAAAATGTGACCCATCAACATGTATGAATGTGAAAAAATTCAAACCTTTATTCCTTCAAATAGCGAAAATATGGGGGTGACTTCATCTTAAGTGCGACACACTGTATATTTAGTTCATTTAAATCCAAGAAAATATTGAATGTTGATTCAATATATATGTAGGTATACTTTTTCTCTCAATGTACGAATGTGGCGCAAAAATAAATATCCAAACACCGATCCCTGTTAAAAATCACCCATAAAGACCAATAGAAAAGCTATTGGGATTTTCCAGCGGCAGCTCTATTGGTTTGAATTGGTCTCAATAGTGGTATCTGTACCATGAATTACCAATTCAAACCAATAGCGACACCGCTGGAAAATCCCAATACAGACCGATAGAGACTAATCGTATTTTATTGGTAATTCCTAATAGATATATTATAGATATAATTTATTGGTAATTCCCAATAGAGCTATTTGGATTTTCCAGAGATACAGCTATTGGTTTGAATTGGTCCCCACTATCCATTTTAGACGTCTTTAAGGTAAAAAATTACCTGTTTTGATGGTTAAATAATTTCTCAAAAATAGTGCTGTTTAACATTTAATTTAAATTTTATAAATAGCTTCTGCTAAAAGTAAGTAGTGGGGCCCACTGCTCACTTTTCGCAGAGTGGGCCACATGACGATCTATGCCCCTTTAAAAATTCCAAAACGCCAAGCGTTTCCATGGCCAGTAATTTTGCCTTAGTTAGGAATCCTTACTTAGAAGCCGGTGCCCCAACATCGATCCCGACTGGACAAAGAATTTATTATTTATTATACAATGCATCATTATCATTTAAAATTGACGGCACAACAATAATATAATAATAAATTGTACCTGTATACATGTTAAGGGCACGTTAGTTACGTAATAAAACCAAACCAACCCAAACTCAACAACACAACCCAACCGACCCCGCCCCATTGGCCCCCCCCCCGCCCCATTGAGCAAAAAACCCAACTAAAATGGGCAAATTTATGTTACGATAAAAATAAACCACTTTTTAACAAAGGAACAACAAATTTATGAAATAAAAAAGTAAAAAAAATTCGACAACTTCTGAGTATCGAACCCGGGACCTCTCGCATGCTAAGCAAACGCCCTACCATCTAAGCTATCTAGCTTGACAACAAATTTTGAATGTTCGGGGAACAAAACCGGATTATTATTATGACGTCACGTTATAAGGCGGTTCGTGCCAGCTCGTGAGAAGTCGGGATCGATGTTGGGTCACCGACTAGAAGTTTCTTTCCACCTTTATAGGCCTATGTATTGTGCTACAGAGGCGAGAGGTATGCATGGGTTGCCTACCTATTGGCGAATTTTGAAAATAAATATTAAAGTGGTATATACCAATAGGGTTCCTTGTACCTACACACCGATAAAATACCAATTCAGACCATTAGTTTATCTATTGGTATTTTCCAGTAAGAAAATTGACAATAGAAACAAGTGGTCATTTGTATTAAATTGCGCAGGCGCTGAACATTTAAGTGGTATTTACCAATTGAATTTCAATTGGGAATTTCCTGTACTTGTAACTTTTTATAAAAACCAATTCAGACCATTAGGTAATCTATTGGCATTTTCCAGTACGGAAATTACCAATAGAAACCAATGCTCATCATGTTGAGAAACCAATAGGCCCAATAAAGACCAATTCATTCCATTCTGATTTTTTATTGGTTTCTATTGGTCTCTATGGGTGATTTTTAACAGGGATGTCATAAAAAATAACGACATGATTTTTTATGCTGTCGGTGTTTGGGCATAAAAATTCACGACATGATTTTTTATGCCATCGGTGCACCGACATGTTTGGATATTTATTTTTGCGCCACATTCGTACATTGTGAGAAAATGTATGTTAACAATTGAATTAACAGTTTTTGCGGTTAAATACATTTAATATATTTAACCAAAAAAACTGTTGATTCAATACTTAGATTCAATATACATATATGCAGAGCCGGATTTAGGCATGGGCCACATGGGCCCGGGCCCAGGGCGGCAAATTTTTAGGGGCGGCAAATTTTGAAGGCCAGTTAAAATTTTGCTAAAAAATCAAGAGCGTTTTATGCAGAATTTTTGTTTTCACTCAGATTTATACACTAATTAAAACTATAAAAAGTTGAAAGAGAAGTTTTTTAATACATTAGGGTGATTCTCAAAATAACTACACTTTCGGTTTATTATTTTTTTAATACTAAAAAGTTTGGTAATATTATTACAAGAGCATTTTTGTAAAGCTTTAGTTAAATCCTAAACTAAAATAAGATTGATATTGCATGCAAACCTTAATTTTTCTATTTATGGGTAAATTATGTCCACAGAAAAGACGTCCACTGAATGGACATCTATGTATATTATTCTATATAAGAAAGGTAAATTTTAGGTTATGCCTTCGCATTTGTCATGTGCCAAAAATAAAAACTTACAATAATAATGACAATAATTAGAAAATAATTCAATACTTACTGTTTGAAATATAATTGTAACAGAAAGGACAGCCTATGCTTCTACACTGGAGCCTCGTACATAAACATGAACGCTTCTTAACAAACTTTTAAAAAAGAACTGACAAGGGCGACTTAAATAACAAATGACAGGTTTTTTAATGACATAAAATTAACGGTTGACGTGAGTGGCGCGAAATACTTTTGAAATTTTGCACTTACAAATAAGTCCTCGGAATGGATCGAAACTGGTAACGTATAAATGACTAAACTACAATATTAAATTAAAAAGAATAAAAAGGAATATGAACCATATCTATGTATTTTTGGGGTATTTAATAATAATGGCAATTTTTTTGGTTTTTTTAATATGCAGGCTTTTCACTACATTAACTGAAACTTACCAACACGATATAGTCACGTTCCACGGAAAGTTAGTTAGTTAACGTTGTGTATTTTAAAAATGTTACTTTTTTTACCATTTTTTTTTAATAAGGGAGAAAAAAACACACGTCACGCAAAGATTGTAGTTATTTTGAGAATAACCCATTAGATAATTTTATATCAGACTACACTATTATTCTGCGTAGTGCGTCACTGCGTAGAAGGGCGGCAGTCGATGTACACGAGGCGAGTGGGGCGCGACTCTAGCTTATTCGCTGAGTCATTCGTTGTTCGGGGTAATGATGCGTTGGGCCCATGGGCGGCAAATTCGTAAATCCGGCCCTGCATATTTGTAGGTATACTTTTTCTCTCAATGTACGAATGTGGCGCAAAAATAAATATCCAAACACTGATGGCATAAAAAATCACGACATGATTTTTTATGCTATCGGTGTTTGGGCATAAAAAATCCCGACGTGATTTTTTATGCCATCGGTGCACCGACATCCCGGACAACATTCGTGATATTCATACGAACATCACGTCGTGATTTTCACAAATTTTATTCATACTGATATCATACGGAATTCACCGCGTAATAAATGAAAATCATACATCGTATGAATATCACGAATGTTGTCCGGGATAATATTATATTAACCTGAAATGGGCCATTGCAAGACCTTATCACGACAGCCTTTTATCAAAATTAATATTTTTATTAAAACATTCCTATAAAGGCCCAGTACAAAGAAATCTTTGGCTAAAAATGCCCTTATTAAATAAAAAATTTTAAATACCAAATTTTGGTCATGAAACTATGTAATGCGCCATTACATAATCAAACTTATGTGTTTGCTGGGAAGTTTGACAGTCACTGGTCACAATAATTACCACTGGCGTGTTTTACCTCACTAATAACTAGTATTTTTTTAAATACTCGCATTATCTTAGGTGTCAATTTTAAGTTATTCAAATTTCAGCCAAACGGTCGGTTCGAGGTGAACAAAAAAATATGCCTGTCGATATCCGGTCACCACCCAGAAACGTGGCAACCCTCTTGGTCGATAAGAACGGCCCTCTTGGCTCTGATCGCGTTCATGCCGACGCCCTCTGCCGGTACGATTGGCTCGCTGGATTACACGCCGGACGAGCGGAGAATTTTGGCGTTAAAATCGAAAAATTGGGAGTGCACCACGTGCGGAAAGATCGCGGAGAAGCTGGAAAACGCGGGGAAAATCGACGCGCAGCCCGAGTTGACGCAGGAAGAGAGCACCTTAATAAAACAGATTGCGTTGAAGGTACACTTTTTAGTCTTAAGGTTGTTTGGTCTATCTCTATGGCACGCTGTTTTAACATTTATTAAATAATTTTTTAATTTAAAAATACAGGGTGTTATGTAATTAATGTAATATATTTAAATACTGAATACCTTTTTACAGGTGTAACGGAAAAATTAAAAAAAAAAATTCTCAAGGATAAAGAAAAAATATGCATTAGAAGTTTTTTATATTTTTGTGATACACCACGCTTGGTTTATCTCTGCACACTTGTGTTCTGTGAGTACATAGACACCAACCAACAAAGTAGCTGCGCGTTTCCAGTTGTAAAAAAATGTAACTAACAATTTTTCTTGCAAAAAATTAATAAAAACTCAATAAATACAAAAGTTGCCCTTAAAGCTCTAATACACTTCTGTATTTATTTACTCGTCCAGCTATTAGCTTAAGCAATGATTAGAAAATTTTAAAAACTCCATAACCACAAAATTAATTTTTTTATCGTTTTTTTTCTTTCTCCTTACTTAGATAAAATTAGAACAAGTTATAATAATAATAATAATAATAATAATAATAATAATCTTTATTAGTGCTAATACAATAAAAATTGTTTACAACGTCAAAAAAAAGAAAAAGTAGAAAGAAAAGACTAATCACAAATACATTAAAAAGTACAAACTTACATAATATAGGTAAATATATAAAACATTAAAACTGGTACTCAAAATACTCGTTTACAGAATAAAACCCGTTTTTTTACAAATAAAGATTTTAGATATAACTTAAATTCCTTAAAAGCCATATTTTTATGTTGATTGGAAGTTTGTTGTAAAATTTTATTCCGTTAAAATCTGGTCCACTTTGGCATTTATTGAGCCTGGAAAATTTATTCATAAGCTGATTTTTATTCCTTGTATTACAGTCATGAAAACTATCATGGCTATGGTATAAATTCAAATTATTTTTAACATAAAGTAAATTTTGAAGAATATACTGTTAGAATTCCAAGATTACTAAACATAGCCCTACAGTCGTCCCTGTAACCAAGAGAGGCGATGATCCTTATTACCTTGCGTTGAAGACCGAATATTTTATAACATTCCGCAGAGTGACCCCACACAATTAGAGCGTAAGATATATGTGACTCAAATAGCGAATAATATGCACTTACCTAACAGTACATCACTAGAGACATTACCAACTAAGTTACGCATGACAAACTCAGTTCAGTTCACAGGTTAAACTTTAAACATTCAATTTGTGTAAATAAATCCAAAAGCACTTCCCTTAGTTAAGATATTTACAATTTGAGCACATAACCTAAAATTTAAAAGAAATTTACTAGATTCTGTCGTAAAAGTTGCCAGATTTTGTTTGAATTTACCTTCATTACAAAAATGACATAATAAACAATTAATAAAAACGAAAAAAAATTAACAATTTGATTGATTTTGTCATTTTTGTAATTAAGCTAAATTTAAACAAAATCTGGAAACTTTTTTTGACAGAATCTGGAAACGCTGGTTTTAACCACCATAACATAATAAATTCGATTTATTTTTCATTAATCCATACACATCTTCAGTATCTAAATATTATTTGGTTTAATGCTCGAAAAGGTACTATCAGCCCCTTAAAAACTTTACTACGGTTAAATAAGTCATGACGTCAAAGTTAATTCATATAACCATGGTTAGGTTTGTAACATTTGACATTTGTTTACTTGTTCATAACCTATAATTTTTGAAATGTGTTTTTACCACAGACCTGTGGTTTTTACCTATTTATATTTAATTTCTATGCTTTTACCCGTGTATATAAATTTCTTTGCCTCTTCTTATACCTAGTATATTCTTTTTCTATACTAGTTTTTTCAATACACGTTATCCAATTCTCCTACATGTTTAATACAAAATAAGGAAGAATATAAAACAAACCTGCATATAATTCCTCCACTTCTTGTGGAGATTCCACAATATGGAGCACCCTATCATTTATTTTCACTGACAACAACCCGTTTACCATTTTAATACAAAGTTTAAATTCGGTTTAAGAGCAATTGTACCTACTTAAAATATTTTAAATTACTTTTTGACGTCAAATGTAAACAACTTTTTGACAGATCGAAACAGAGAAAAATATATATTAAAAAGAGAAAGACTATTAACCACGTTGAATAACTAGCTCAGCGATATAGTTTTTGCATATACCTATAACTAAGTTATAGGTATATGGTTTTATGGTCTGGTATTTGTGACGTCATAGTTAGGATTTTTGAATGCACGCAAAAATGCCTTAACTTTTAACCAAGGTTAAGTTTAATAACCATAGTATTTCATGGTATTTACGCGAAAAAACGACTTTTAAATAGTATATTATGTATCAAGTTTGATTAACGCCATTTTATACACGAATTTAATTTAGGCACGAGCGAGCTTGCGAGCGAGTGCTTAAGTTAATGAGTGTATAGAAAAGTTAAACGAGGTGCATACTATACTTTTTCTACGACAAATACTTATTATTATCTTAAAATGATTAAAATCAAAAATTTGTATGCAGCGCCATCTATGAAACAATAGGGGAAACTGTCAAATGTCACATTCAGATTCACATTTTTACATTTTATAAACACAATTATAAAGGTTATAAATCGAAATGTATCTTGAAAATTGACAGTTTTTTACAGTGAAAGTAAAGGACATGTTTTATGAGGTCTTTACAGTGGAGTCCGTGCCCGAATTTAAGTTATAGGTTACTGCCGGCGAAATTAAAAGGTCAGTACAATGTTCATATAAACTTTTCAAATATTGGCGTTAAGAAACTATTTAATATTTTTGTATTTTTGTATTGAGATAATAAAATAATTTTCAAATTTAGTATTATTTTACAAGAAAGGCACTTTATTTTAACGATTGTATGACATTTGACAACTGACAACTAACTTAAAACTAACTTCTGCCCGTGACTAAAAACCTGTTACTAACTTCAGCCCGTGACTAAAGCGCCGTAAAGCCACAACTTGTCAATGTGTATTTAAAAGATCACTTAGGGCCGGTTTTTCAATTATAGTTTAAACTTGGTTCAGCATTTGAACATGGTTCAAACAAAATATGCCGTTTTTCAATCAAAGTTCAAGCTTGAACTTGGTTTAAACTAAATCAAAAGATGAACCGTCACTGTTGGCCGTTTAAACGAAGTTCAACTTGACATAACTTAATTTTTCTCTGTTTTATTGTGTATTACCATTGAGTAAAGAAGTATGGTATTACGTTGTTTATTTCTTGTTTTGTAATCTGCTGTTATAATAAACCAATGGATATGTTTGAGGTAGTTAGTAAGGATGATGGGAAATTGGCGAATTCCTAAATAATATTTAACTTCGTGTGCACAGGCCACCGGTAAGACCGAATCATTTTGAAAGGTGGATAAATGATGAATTTTTTGCCAGATTTCGGTTTTCCAAACCTTTTGTATACGTATACGTAGGATAGTGGATTTAATTAGACCAATAGGTTAGTTATAAAAATAATTACTGAATAGGTAATAGATTTTAGTTAAATTCATCACATGTAACAAAAAACTACAAATTCATTTTATAATATAAAACGAAATACATACAAATAATTCCTCCTTAAAGGGGAAAAGTTGGCAGCACGATTTTTATCCATAATAAATAATAATTATTGTTCTTTAAAATAGTAAATTATTTTAAAGCACCCTTTCGCATAGATTATAACTTTTTAAAACAGCACAGATAAACAAAACTCCAAAAGTAAACACAAAATCCTTTTGTCAAAATGACAGTTTTTACTACTATTAATGTAGGCGTATACTAAATTCGGTTGTACCAACTTAACGTTGACACCGCTGATCTTAGTTCAACAGAACTGCTGTTAAGTCAACATTGAAAAACTCATTTGACTGTGAACTGAGTTCATTAACTGATCTAAGTTCCCCTGAACCAAGGTTTAAACTCTGATTGAAAAACCGGCCCTTAGTGTCATGGAAACATGTACGATAAAGGGCGTTTTAAAGGTGGGAGTAGAAAAAATCATTTACTCCTTAAATAAACTTTATCCAACTAAACAACTTTACAATGAGTATGAAATAAGATGCTTGAAGAGTATTTACGAACATCAATGTGGCTTGTCTATAAATGGCTCTACACTCCTGTACTAAATTTTCTCACAGAAGTGATGTTCATAAATACCCAACAAGAAGTAGGGTAGAGGCACCTGTTTTGGCCACTTTAAGAGAAATTTTGAGTTTACTGCGCTGCCAATATTCGTTTATAGAGTCTAGCTTTGGACGAACTATTTTAACTGTTTCCGTCTCTATCGTTAATTTAGTATATCTACATAGAATAAAAAGAGAAAGCACGTATGTAGCCCAAAAATAAATTTATATTGAAAAAGTCGCATTTCACCGGTTTTGGCCAGGAAAACACCATTTTTGGCCATAGGACGACCCAGTTTTGGCCACCAATTAAATAAAGCGATTTTTATTCAGTTTTTATTATTTTTTGTAATAAAAAAGTTAAAAAAATATAAAAAATACATTCTAAAAAACAAATACATTCTAAAAAATACATTAAAAAAAAATATAGAGTTCTAAATTTCAGAGCGTTATATATTTCAGTGTTATAGTTATATATTTCAGTGCGCCCATTTAGTTTGGTAACTAATCTTTATATTTTTTCATTTTGTCCACTAAATATGCTCCATCGTGTTTTTCTGAACAGGTTCTTTACATCCTCATATCATTTCAATTACATCCTCATATTTATACAGCAACTCGTTTTTCCTTTCTGGCCATTTCCAATAAATGTAGCCTTAGTCTTAGAAGAAACCATACACCCATTTTTTTTATAACCATCTCAGGAAAGTAACTTTTCTCGTTATTTACAATGACAAATGTGCCTTTGTAAATCTTTTCTTTGGTTTTATATACCTACTTCAGTTTTAGTTGCCGTATTTTACGTGTTTGAATCTTCATCTGAGGATGTGCCTCCATTTGCGGAAACGGGTGTGTCACTGACGATTGTGTCCTTATGAATCTCTGTTTTGGTTTTATATTTTTCTATTTTAGTTTCCGTATATTCCTTGTTTGAATCTTCATCTTCTTGCTTCTTCTTTTCTATTTTCCTTTTTCTCTCTTGTTTTTCTGCCTCCAAGGCTTCCTTTTCCTTCTCCTTAGCTTCTGCCACTTATCAGAGGTCAGAACACTTGGCATCCCAGTCGTCTGTTTATTTTTCGAGTGACTATGTGCTGGCTATTTTATTTCGTAAGGTTGTTCTAGGAACGCCGAATGTTTTGCTAGATTTAGCCACCGGCCGTTTCAAATAGTCACTAAGGCATTTTTCAGTTGATCCGGATAGTATTGAAAGAATTACCTTGTTTTTTGCTTTGCTAAATTTATTTTCTTTGTCGTATCCATTTTAAAACTGCAGCAAAAAGTACTGATTGGAAAGCTAAGTAGGTACTATAATCTGATTCAAAAAGTCTTTAAGCCTTTAGTGTAGCTAGGACCTAGGTACCTAAAAACAGCCTGGTGATCAAAAGTAGTGGCCATAAAATAACTTTTGGCCATGGTGGCCAAAAATGGAAAACGTTACCCCCTTTTTAGCCAAGGCAGTGGCCAAAACTGGAGAAGTGGCCATTTTATTATGACCTGTTTTGGCCACCGCTTTTTACCCAAAACCGGTTGGTTAAACTTTATAAGCATTATTTTATTGTCATTGTTAAACATTATAAAATTTAAAAAATCATCAATCATATTAAAGGTCCTATTCTATTAAATGTTTTGATCAAAAAACTTACCTGCGTTTCTTAACGTTTTTGCTAAAGATTGGATGTCAACACATTACAACACCTTTTACACAACCTCCATTTATTTACAATGATACCAACATAATAAAGTGAATGCACTAAAGCAAAAACAATAACCCAAGGATTCGGCGGGAAATTAGATTCAGGGATATTTGTAAACAGTTCCCTTAATATTTAAAAAAAATCGAACGAATTGGCCACAACGGGGTCGGTGGCCAAAACAGGTGCTTCTACCCTAGTTCACATCTAAATCTACCTAGGGTGAATTCACGGGTGGGTGTGGAATCCATTTTATATCGGGGTGTTGTGTTATATAACAATCTACCAAGGGAGATAAGAGACTTGAAGGGTGATAAATTTAAACTTGAACTATCGAAGAACATAAAATACTTTATTGAATGGCCTGGTATGTAACTTCGAATACAAATCTGATATGTAATTTACTGTGATATACAGGGTGTCCCGAAATTAGGGGCCCAAACTTAAACAGTGCATTCTTTATAGAAAAATAAGACTTTTTTGTTTAATAAACATATATCAAAAAATGCCCCCTAACGGAGCTACGCCCCCCTAAATAGGAGCTTAAGAGCATCATTTTTTTAAAACTATTCCTAGAGGGTTGAACATGAAGACATGAATTTTGGGGACTTTGGTATTTTTGACATTCTGAATCTGGATCTATAATCAAAACTGTTAAAATTTAATCATAGGCGTAACATTTGAGGGGGCAAATTTACAAAAACAGCCCCAACTTTTTGCAGAGTGAGTATTTTAATGTTTTGTTATAAAATTATGAAAATGTATAGTTTTTCACGATAAATAGGTACTCTTGCTTTGAATCGCTCAGATGCACCATTTTCGAGAAAATTGCAATTTAAATTACTATGCTTAGCATAATTTCTAATATTTTCATTAAAAAGCTTTGGGACAAAAGTGACGTTTGGGTTATTTGCTGACTTTACATTTATTTTTATAGTTTAGTTAATATTTTTTGGCTAGATTTTTGTTATTTTTTATTATGGAGCGATTTTCCAAATTTTAACACAAAATTTTAACGAAAATATGAGATGTGTATGCTATGCAGAGTAATTTATAAATGCATTTTTCTCGAAACTGGTGCATCTGAGCGATTCAAATCAAGACTACCTATTTTTCTTAAAAAACTAATTCATAATTTCATAAAAAAAATTAAAATATTATCTCGGAAAAAAGTTGGGGCTATTTTTATAACTTTTCCCCCCCAAATGTTACGACTATGATTAAATTTTAACAGTTTTGATCTTAGATCTTGATTCAGCATCTAAAAATTACCAAAGTGCCAAAATTTCATTTCTTCATGTTTAACGCTCTAGGAATAGTTTAAAAAAAACTATTCTCTTAGGATCCTATTCAGGGGGCCGTAGCTCCGTTAGGGGGCATTTTTTGATACATGTTTATTTAACAAAAAAGTGTTACTTTTCTATGAAGAATGCACTGTTTAAGTTTGGCCCCCTAATTTCGGGACACCCTGTATAATGTAATGTATTGTGATATTGAGATATATAATGTAATGTTTTTGTTCTGTATATACAACTAATTGTTAAAACTATTTAGAGGTGACTCTCTGTAAACCTATAAAGTTTTTGGAGACGAATAAACTGATTTTATTATTATTAATTAAATTAGGCAACCAGATTAGCCTAAAGTTTCTAGTTGATCAGTGGCGTACTTTTTGGTAGAATAAGGATTATTATAAATTATTTTTAGTCTTTAGAATTTGGAAAAAGTTTCAGGTTCTTCTTTATGGACCCTAAGGAACTATCCATGTTAATATATTACATTAATTACATAAAACCCTGTATATTGGTTTAAACTTTTCCTAAAAAATTTAGGTATACCTACATTTATAAATTTTAAATATTTTCACCCATAATATAACAAGTGGTATAATTATCATCGATGATATTTTCGAATTGAAACCGGGCTGCAGATTTCACGAGTCAGCAGGACTAAGTACCTATCATGTATTGAAAGAGAAAGTTTACTAACAGTTCACTTTATTAAACAATATTATTTTCAATCAATTTTTGCAAAAATTTCTAACCATCATTTTTTAATAAAATTAATTTCTTAGGTACATATAATTTATTTGGGCAAAATTTTGTAAATCTTAAATAAATATTTTATAAAATTATTTGGATTAAATTGTAAAGTAAAATTTTTTAGTATTTAAAAATAGTGTTGATACATTTTAAATATAAAATGCAAATGTAAAAGTTGAAGTTTAAAATATTGGTTTTTTAAAAATTGTAGTTTTAATATTTTATCCTACAAAATTATTGGTTTAAATTTGTAAAGAGTCATTTAAACGATAGTCAAAAAATTTTTAATACAAAAATTCTCATATGACATTTAAATTTTAATGTGATATTTTTTGAATTAAAAATGTATCGACTATCATTTAAATGACTCTTTACAAATTTAAAGCAATAACTTTTATTTTTAACATGATACATGTATAACACAAACATTCACCTTACATTTAAATGTTAGTCGATAATTTTAAGTCAAAGTGCTTCGGACTTTGTACGTTTTACCGACTATGGACTTAAAATTGACCACTATAAAAAGAGACAGCGTAGGCCGTCTGCTAAACTTACGTTTACACTTTGTAAATTAAAAATTATCGACTTACATTTAAATTTAAAGTTATAAATGTTTTGTTAAAAAGGTATCAATTTAAAATTGTTAAAAATAAAAAGTTTTGGTTTAAATTTGTAAAGAGTCATTTAAATGATGGTCGATAAATTTTTAAACCAAAAATCACCACTTTAAAAATTAAAACTTACACTTAAATGTAATGAGAGAATTTTTGTATTAAAAATGTATCAACTATCAATTAAATGACTCTTTACAAATTTTAACTCATAATTTTGTGGAATTAAATTTTTAAAAATCAATATTTTTAAGCTTTAAGTTTAAAATATTTTTTTAATGTTAATTGTTTTAAAAAATTTAACTTTGTAAATTTCTGTTAAAACATCATTAAAGTGCTTAACTTTATCTTTAAACTATGATCTAATAAATGCTAAAACGGCGTGCCATAATCTTTGTGTATTTTTAGGCTGAAGAGGATGCGAATAGAAAAATGGTTAGTTCGGAACCAAAAATAGAAAATGTCACATCAGACGAGGAAAATACATTAAGACAAAGGATTAATCCGACGGTAAATACGGAACCTGTAATTAATGTGGAAACTACAGTTCAAAGAAGCAACAGGTAAGTTTTTGATTACATATTTCGAAAATTCAACAAAATGTATTTATGATTATGGATTAAAAAGTAACATAACAGTTCATGCAATGTTTAAAAAAAATGTATTTTCCATTTTTTAGTGATAAATTATGGACAGCAGCAATATGGATACTAATAACAATAATAGTGCTTCTGATAATAAGGCGGATATTTTTAAGTTGAAAACTACCAAAATATAATGTAAATACTTCTTAGTAAATTTTATAAAATAATTAAGATTATGTATAATTATTAATTAAAAAAGGCAAAGATAGGATATTATTTGGAAAAGTTTATATATTTACCTGATTAATATAACCATTATGTAAAAAAATGTTGCAAACATTTAAATAGTATTACACAATAAAAATAATATTAAAGGAACGTTTTTTTCTTAATAAATTATTTATTTTGACTGTAAAAAACATCAACAGTGCATACAAAAATACTTATAACAAAAATTTGACTAGAAAATATTTTAATCCAGATCTGCCAAAAATATAATAATATAATGCTTATTTTTCAACAGATAAAGTTTAAACATACCTATTATGATTAAATTTAATGTTTATCCATATTATTTTTAAGGTACAAATCTACACTATGTCCAAAGTTATCTGCTCTCCATTGCTACCATTTTAACTGTTATTATTGGAGCTACAAAGTACATAGGTTAGATTAGCAAATTGGTGGCATGTTAACTCTGATATTCCTTTTAAAATATATAGTATGTCTACGGATAGAGGGCCTCATTTTTCCACCAAAAGTGATTCTTTATAAAAAGTTCTGCTTGTTTTGCCATTGCCATACTTTAAATTTGAAAATATTATACAGGGGAGTCCAAAAACAAGAAAACATGAAATACTTGTAAAATTTTGTTTTAAAAAATATTTTCAAAATGCTATTGAAAAAAAAATAAAGATATAATATCGAATACTAGTTGAAATTTTACAATTAGTCTTTGGATCAGGGTAACCCTGGCAGAGTTGCCAGATTCTGTCAAAAAAAATCGGGACATTTTGTGTGAATTAACCTTAATTACAATAATGACACAATCTACAATAATTAGATAACGTCAAACTTACTATTTGCATCTTTGTCAATTTTGTAATTAAGATATGGGCTGTGTTCCGTAATTTACTGCCATTACTGTCAGTAATTTTACTGTCAGTAGCGGAAAAGGACCGTTCCGTAATTTATTCAGTACTGACGCACAGTGAAATTGGAACGCGCCTCAGTAGCAGCAGAAAGTGACAATGGTTACGCAAGGTTATGTTTTGTGATTTACTGACAATTGACAAACTTTACTTTCGGCACAGCAGAGAACATAAATAAAAAATAAATATAACAGTTATAAGAAATAAAATGTTTGGTTTATGGCAGAGAAATATGAAAAATTTAATGTTATCGTCGTCCGCGTCGAAAAATGTATGTAGGAATAGGAAATATAAAATTTCACTGACACCACAACAATAAGCCAAATACCAAAAATTACTCTTAAATTCGTCCGCTGAATACAAATATATAACATTTTCTAGGAACTACCTATAGGTAGTACAGTAGTAACTATAGTAGGTAGTTTCATATTCTGGGTCTTCGTATGCGTAGTCCCCGCCGACCTGCCTTCGTCACTGCTGCTTGTACTTTCAAGTAATATTTTATCAATAAATATTGAAATAATTAGTCCTATAGGTATTCACCAAATACCATTATTTGATATAATTTATATCCTTCACTTTATTTGACAGCTATTTTTTGTTTAAAAGTTTGGTTATGTGTTTTACTGGAGCCACAGCACCTCTCTGTCCCCAGTTGTTTCAGTAAAATTAATCTGACGTACATTTATAAAAGGGTAGTATTTACCACTGAGCTCAGTAACTGAAAGTGGATTTCGGAATGCGTTTTCAGTACCGACAGTACTGACAGTAAATTACGGAACATAGGCTTATTCATACAAAATGTCCCAATTTTTTTTGACAGAATCTGGTAACCCTGGTTTGGATAGGATTTAATTACTTTTTTTTATTTGTCACTATCCTCCAAAACGGAAAATAAAGGTGGTTTACTCTTGATAGTATTTAATGTTTTCTTGTTTTTCGACTCACCTGTATAATAATTTCAAATTTAAAAGAATTGAAGGAAAAATGAAAATTTTAGTCATTCATTTGTCCTCTTGCGCCCTCTATCCGTGGACATACTGTATATTTACATAATTTAAAAAGCATTTTAATTTGAAACAAAAAAAATTTATTGCATGACTACCCTAAACTTAAAAATAAACTAAATAAGCACTTGAACTTTCTGTTGGTGGTTGAAATAACCAAACTTAATTTTAACAACAATTAGAAAGTTGAAGTGCTTATTAAAATGTTTAAGGTAGGTAGTTATGCAATTTTTTTTTGTTACAAATTAAATTGCCCTTCTAAATATGTAAAAGTATATGCATGGGGTGATCCATTTAAAACAATGTTATTTTTGTGAATATTTCGGAAATCCGACGTTCAATTGTTTTTCTGTTTTCGTCATTTTATTCAGAAGTAAAAATAACTAATTTAGCAATGGTGAGCAGATTGGACACCCTGTATAAAAATATTGAAAAATATTTATTTTTTATTGTAAATTTGCGACATAACTTTCCATAAAAAATGTTATGTATGGAAAGCTATAAACCAATCAGAGGACGGCATTCTTTGTTGCAATATAGTGCGGTGGAGAATGTCTTGTTCTGATTGGTTTATAGCGTTCTAGATACACAGATCTTTGTACATAACCTCTTTAGGTGTTAATCTTTATGATCCGTAACTGCACAAATGCTGTATGTTTAAAAAAATATGTAATAAATTGTGAAAAAACTAATCTACGTCTACAACACTAATCCCGCTATCTCCGTTAATGGTTTTGTGAAACCAAGGCACATCGTCTACGGCATTTTTAAGGCTTAAATTGTTAAGGCGAAAAACTTCCTTGGGGTTGTTATCCCCATTAGGGCCGACTGAAACAACATTCGGTATTTCGATGGTGTCTCCCATGGATTTGAAGTTTCTGTGGTGGCCGGCAGATTTCAAATTCCGCGTGTCGATGAAAGAGTTTGATCGTTTTTCCTTTGCCGAGCGCGTTTTCCTGGAATTAATAACGCCGACTTTATTGTTCGACTTGAAGAACGTTTTTCTGGCGGGATTCGTCATTTGGAGTTGTTCTATAACCAGTTGCCTGGCTGATTTGGGCCGTTCCGGTTTTGGTTCTCTTACAGGGTACACCTCGGGGAACGATTTTTCGGACTCCGATGCAATGTCTTCCATTACAACTTCGTTGGTTTGCGTTTGTTGATCCAGCTTTCTAGCGTAATCAGAGTAAGATTCTATCGCATCTACATCATTTTTTTCCTTTTCCCTCAACTGCATGGCTTTAATTCTCGCGATTTTTTCCGCCATCACTCTCTTATCTATTTCGTTTTGTTCTTTAACGTCCATCAATACTCTACAATTTAATTTCTCAAAATTACCACTGATGTAACTTAGCAACCAATCATAACCGCGTTTTATACCCGGATCGATTCTATACTGACTATTTACTTCGGTAGCCGTACAACTTTCAACCAACGTGGGGCATTTTTGTATGTTTACTATATTCTCAATATCTAACTCTTCGATAATATCAACTTCATCTAGAGCATTCTCAAAATCTTGTTTATTTGCTAGAATCAATAAAGGTTTCCCGGCGATTTTTTCGTTGCTCAATATATTAAATAACGCCAATTTTGCCTCCTCAAGTCTCGAAATATCACTCGAGTCTACCACAAAAATAACTCCATGGGCCTAAAATCAATCCCATTAAAGTTTATTGTGTAGGTAGAGATATTCATATCTACAAAATGTAATTTTGCTAATTTTACTTAAATGCGTTTAAAATAGGTAATGTTTTGGTAAAATATTGTTTTTGAGACAAAAAAGAGGGGACTTTACTGTGAACTAAATTACTTATTTGGTTTGTTAAATATATTTGGTTTTTACAATAAACACTCCTTACATCTGTGAAATATTTATTCCATATTCCTCTTATGCCAGCTGCTCCACCCAAATCATAAATGTCTACGTTGTAAGACAGAAACTTTAAATTTATGATTGAAAACCCCATTGTGGGTACAACGCCTTCATTTGACTGTCCGGCCAATCCTTTGGCTGCGACAGTTTTACCCGCATTGTCCAAACCCAATAATAATAACACGATTTTCCTAAAAATTCAATATTGCAATACAAACATTGCTCTTTCCACTTAAAATACTGTGGAACTCGTAAAAACGGTCCTTTATACGTACTTTTTCGTTGTTCTTTTATAACAGCAGAGAGTATTGCCCATTTTAAAGCGGACAATTAAAAAATCAGCTCATTTTTAAATTATATTTTGACATTTAAATATCAGTCGTAAACAAAAAACGCATGGCGCCATCTACATTTATATAAATTTATGTCGGTAGAAAAGGTGGCTTTGTATGTTGCGACATTTTCATAATAGATGTCTGTGTAAAATTTTTGGTTTGTGGAGCGCGCATTGCTTAAAACTACAAATTTAACTGTTGTCAATCGGCGGAGACTTCTCCGCTTTTCACTATAGTGATTGGAATAACTAATTATCTTTGTTAAAAATGTTAAAATTCCTTGCAGTAGTTGAATAAAATATTGTGTGCTACTATTGGTCAAAAGAGAAGATTCCAAACTCCACGCCCGAACTAGTCGCACAAATTGTACGGCACAATATACCATTTTTGCGTATTCCAATTCCTTTTATTTATAAAAAATATTGCTGGGTTTATTTTGCCGCAGGCTATACATATAGAAGCTATACATAGACAGCGTAGTTCAAATGTAGACTTTTCGACAATAGTTCGTTTGTCTCGCACATAGAGTAACAACAATAATATAAAAATGTGAGGTAAAAATGCTTCAGTTCAATCCAATAATAGTAAGAATCCTTAAATGCATCCTTACAAACATACAATTAGCATTTTAGAGTGTAATTATACCTATACACAATGGCTCAAGATGGATTGAAAATTGTTTTAATTCAATATTGGAACAAACCGCAATAAAGTCGCATAAAATTGAATTATGTGTGTGCAATGATGCCAGCAACGACGATACTGATAAATTATTGAAGGCATGGAGCGGAATATTTAAAAATAATAATGTAAAGGTAAAAATTTATCACAATGAGTCTGAAGAGCCAAAAGGAGGTAATTTATTATAAATTAATCGCATATTGTCGTCAACAAATTGTATGTAATTATCATTTCGAAATTAAAAAACACCGGGATGATTTTTTAAATTAATTTTTTTTTAAATTATGGGCAACCCAGGTTACAATTGTGTATGTTGGTTGTCTATATATTAATATTAATTTTAGTGGGATTTTCAAAAAATAGGGCAATTAGTATAAGCAGTGGAGATTTTTTATGTTTTCAAGACGTGGTATGTAAAATAAACAGAAAAAAATACGTTTTGTATAATTGTTACATTTTAGGATGATGTTATGTTACCAAATAGGATTTTAAGACAATATGAAGCTGCATGTATTTTACCAAAAAACACTGTATAGTTAATAATAAAAATCAAAATTATGGGTGAATAATAAAACATAATTTTTAGCTCATAGGTTCAAAATTTAAACGAACACCGGAAAATTCGACGGTTCGTTACACAAAATGGGCCAATTTGCTAAACAAGGAGGAACTCCAAAATCAAATTTTTACTTCTTTTGGACCAACTGTTATAATGCCGACATGGTTTTTTCACAGAAGCCTCTATGAAGAAGTTGGCGGATTTTTAGAGGAAAAAATTGGCTGCCCTGAGGATCTCATATTTTTTTACAAGCATTTAGATAATGGAGGCAAAATATACAGGGTAGATGAGGAATTATTGGTTTATACCTATCATTTAGGGGCCACCACATTCTTAATAAACAAGTAAAGTGAAAAAATGTACCTCAATTATTTTTTTTAAATAAAAGCCTTATTTACATTCCCTGTTTTTTTGGTTGATGAACATAATATAGCACAAATCAAAATACGCTAAAATATGCATTTTTACAGAGATACCATTTGGGACAAAAGAGTGGAGCGCCTCCAAAAAACGATACTAAACCAATGGCCTGCTTTTACAATCTGGAATGCTGGAAAGCAGGGTCGAAAACTGTACAAATCCCTCGCACAAAATCACCAAAACAAAGTGGTGGCGATGTGCGACGTTGACGTGAAAAAAATCGGCAAAACTTACGTACCGTTCGACGCTGCAGGCCGAAAAATTGGCAGACCTGTAAAAATTGTTTCTTTCAAGGAGGCCAACGCTCCTTTGGTTATTTGCGTCAAGTTGGTAAGATGAACAATGATGTATTTTTTGCGGTGCAATATTTGATGTTTTTTTAGGATTTAACAAATGGTGTTTTCGAGCACAACTTAAAAACGCTAAATTTAGTAGAAGGTAAGGATTATGTTCTTTTCAGTTAGTTTTTTGATTTTCGTTTTAAAGTTTTAAATTATTGTTCTGGGACGAATTTTATGTGATGTTGAGTATTCTTTTATATTAAAGTTTTATATTAACAAATTTAGAGTTTTATTTAAACAAAATAATTTAATTAGGACTTAAAATAACGTAAATATACATAACTTATTACTAATAATAATAACACACAGTTTAAGGGTACAATAATCTGGGAAACAAAACTTCATCCCAGACTAGTTTTTTGACTTTTTTTATTTCTTCTTCTTCCTCATCAATGGAAAATTTACCTTTACGAGAAACAAATTGATCCAATCCAACTAAAAAACATTAATTAAAAAAAGTATATTATATATATATGATACCGCTAATATGTAAACTTAGCTAGTATATAAACTAGCTAGATATTTTATAAACTAGCCAAACTGTCAGTTGTTTTAATAGAAAACTTATTTTCAACTAAATTAGGATCTAATTTACTTGAAATTATTAGGAAAACTAAAATAGTTGGATAGTTTGTATTCTATCCAATTCAGTTTGGCTAATAAATATAAAAATAAAAATTTCAAGTAACACAAAATAGCCAAGTAGCTAGTTTGTAAACTAACCAACCAATTCTCTTAAAATGCAAGTAAAGGATTTTAGTTATTTATTAATAAAAAAATAAAATTTAAATCCAACCCAACCTTACGTTTTTAATAAATTAGCGAATTAATTAAAAAAGTGAGGCTGGGTTGGGTTGAGTTAAATTTTATTTTTTTATTAATAAAGAATTAAAATTCTATGCTTCCATCTAATTCACTCCCGTTTATTGGCCGTCTGGATCATTATAATGGAAAGTTTACAAGAGACATTAAACAAATTTATTTATTTTGCGTTCATAATGACTTCATTATAGCACCGCTTTCGGTGCTGTACTAGTAAAATAATATTTTGCATATTGGTTATAATATTTTTATGATTTTTCTAGTACTTACGAGACTTTTCTGGCAATAAATTTTGTTTAACACCAAAGAAAATCCTTCTTTAACATTACCAGCCGCTTATTGTAAATAAGTAAATTAAGGACGGCATGGCGAATCGATTTTGACATTAACTGTCAAACCAATGACTGTGATACCAACTATCTAAAGTAAAATTCGACCAAATTAAATATAAGGTATAAAATTAATTTTTTTATAGAATTTTTGCAAAATAGATAAAATAGCATAAAGAACTCATGTCATAAGACATTTTGTCGCACTCGTCTATTACAAATTGTCCACGTACCACAAAATGACGTCTTATGACATTAGTTCTTTAATATACTATGTTTTAATTCATTTAAACTATAATTATAATTAATAGTGTTTTAAAAAAGTAAAATATATAAATACAAACACCAAGCCAATAAAAAAATCATTTATTAATAAATTAGCCAGAATATTGGTTGGTTGGTTTGTAAACTATCTAAATCTTGGCTATTCTGTGTCACTAGAAATTGGTTTTTATATTAGCCAGATTAAATTGGATAGTTTACAAATCATATAGTTATTTTAGTTTTCTAAATAATTTCAAGTAAATTAGCCAAGACCCTTGGTTGGTTTACAAACTAGCTGCTAATTTAGTTCAAAATACGTTTTCAATTAAAATAGCCGACAGTTTGGCTAGTTTATAAACTATCCACTTAGTAAATAAACTATCCAAGTTTACACATTAGCCGTAACATATACAGGGTGTTATGTAATTAACTTAATATATTAAAATGGGTAGTTCCTTAGGGTCCATAAAGAAGCACCTGAAACTTTTTTTGTTGTAAATTCTAAAGACTAAAAATAATTTATAATAACCTTTATCCTACCAAAAAGTAAGCCACTGATCGACGAGGAACTTTAGGCTAAGCTGGTTGCATAATTTAATCAAAAAAGTTGCCAGATTTTGTTTAAATTTAGCTTAATTACAAAAATAACAAAATCAACAATGCAAATTGTTAATTTGGCGTTTTTATTAATTGGTAATTATATCATTTTTGTCAAACAAAATCTGGCAACTTTTATGACAGAATCTAGTGCATTTTTTTCATATTTTAGAATATGTTCTCAAATTGTAAACATCTTAACTAAGGGAAGTGCTTTTGGATTTATTTACAAAAATTGAATGTTTAAAGTTTAACCTGTGAACTTGTGTATCTATGTACTCACAGAACACAAGTGTGTAACCAGTGGTGTATCACAAAAAATATAAAAAACTTCTAATGCATATTTTTTCATTAGGTTTGGGAAAATATTGTTTTAAATATTTACACCTTATGTCAAAAGGTATTCAGTATTACATAACACCCTGTATATATAATAAATAAAATAAGGGGAATACTAACACAATATTTCAAATTCCACTTCTTTAAATTGTGCAGTGAAATTTAAAACTTTTCCAGCTATAAAATTGGATACAGTTGGGCTGTAGTTTTCTCCTATCATCAAAATCTATATAAAAAAAGAAAATATAAAGATATTTGCAGAGTTTATTTAAAAAATCATAAATTGTTCAAATTTAATTTTGGAAACTTTGTCTTAAGTTGTTAAATAAAGATTTTACCATTCACGTATTTAACGTTAAAATAAGACGAGTTAAACTTGTATTTTGAATTGACTATTTCCCTCGTCTTAATTTCCACCAATCACAAACACGCAATTTTGAATTACAAATGGTTTCTAGGTGAAAAAACTGTGTGACAGCACCTGTCAGCAGTTTATTCGAGTTTACCCGCGGCAAAACTTGACAGCTGCTGTCACCAAAAATTGCAATTTATATTTTAATTGTTAACTGTTACTCATGAAATAGTCTTGTCAAATACCATTCGGGCATCTAATTTTTCCTGTGAAAAAAATCGAAAAAACACAATGCTAAGTAATATTTTTTAACAAAATGCATTCGTGCAGGTGCAAAAATCCTCCTCTTCGACTCGGATTTTTGTTGCCACCAGCACTCATGCTTTTTGTTAAAATATTACTTAGCAAGGTGTTTTTTCGATTCTTTTCGGAAAAATTAAATGCCCTTATGATATTACTTACGAGTAAAAATCCATGTGTATCGAGAAATGTCGCATCCCTACCTTAAAAGCAATGACATCGTCTTTCCTCGGCATCAGTTTCACCATCATCGGCTGTTTCAGCAGCTTCTCCTCGTCCAGCATCAACTCTTCGTTGAGATCCAGACTGGTCATCTGCATCGATTCGTCCTCGATCACGATTGGCTCGTCGTCGGGCGTTGCCGGGGTGACAGGTCCCGCCTTCTGCACCAGTTCGATAGTAGATGGCGTTGAGGAATAAGAGGAAGAAACACAGTCGTCCCGTTTTACTTCGTTTAAGATCGGTTCTTGCGATACTGGTGTCGTGATTACCGAGCTTTCCGAGTCTTCGTTGAATTTTATGTGCGATATCGGTTTGCCTATAGTAAAAAAGACTAGCTTGGATAGGCAGGTTTTTATTGCTATTAAACATGACGTCTTGAATAAACAAAGAAATAAATTTGATATATTTAAGTTGTACGATTTTACAGTAAAAAATTTAACAGTATACGCTAAAGAAGTATCGGGTTTTCGCAACGCGCGCGCCATCTGCTGGACTTCGATAGCATTTATAGATAGTTTTTTCACAAAAGAGAGGAAGGCAGAAGTCTAACTCAAAAAAAAAAACTCAATTGCACAGCTAAAAAACTCAATTGCACAGCTAAATCGCGCACGTTATTTGTGTTTTACGTTGCAAGGAAAAAATTGAAAAACTTTTTAGTACTCGATTTCAATTGATTATTCCTTATATCATTGATTAAGAAACTCAACGCTTAAATGCTTATATAGTTACGTTAGTGTGTGGATTTTATCCAAGGGAGAATTATTGTGTTTTTAATTGTAAATAAAATTCAAGAACTAAATCGTTGCATTCGCCAAAGGATCCAATTCGGTAAGTAAATTTGTTGGTGCAGTATTAATGATAACTTTACCTAATATAATTTATATTTAAGTTTGGACATTTTTAATAAATTAGTAAAAAATAATTTTTCCACAAACATAACCTTAAAATCAACCATTTTTATATTTGAGTTCTCTAAAAAACGCCGACAACTGCATTTTAAACAACAAATATTATATATAATACATAATATAATGGTATTTTACCGTTGAGTGGAGACTTTAAAGAATTCTTAATCAACGCTTTTAATAATGCTAAATGCTGTATAAATTTAGACGACTTATTTGTTTGACGATTTTTACTGAATTGAAATGTTTACTCTTTTCACGCTAATCACTACTAAAATGTGTATTTATTGTATCTAATAGGTACAATTTATATTTACAGAGACTGTATGCAATTTATTTCTTCATTCAGATTAACACTGTTTATTGGAAAACCGGTAAAAACGCAACCCAGGATTTCCTCTCGAAATACACCCAACAACACAACAAATCGATCCACGGTTTTTTTTCGATATTTTTTTAACATTTTCCGGGTTACAAACACTCGTTTGAAACCTAAGCGTTTAACAGCTGATTATTAAAAGTTCTACTTTTGTTAAGATGATAACAGCCGAGTGGTGGCGCTACTAGCGATACTTCTTTAGTGTATATCTTAAATTTTTAATATCAAATAACTTAGTATCACAAACTCATATGAAAAAATTTCATTTGACTTTTTGATTTCTCCTTACAAAATGGAAAATTGAAAATTAATATTTTTACGTATAGTTAAGTCCCTCCATGGACACACTGTATTTGTAGTGCATTAAAGTGATTTTTAAAATTTTTTTCTTGCCACTCCCCTAAAATCAATTTTTGGATCCGCCCCTGACTAACACAATAATAATATTATTAATAATAATCTACATCAAATTGACCACTTTTGAACTAAATCCCTTTCAATTTGGCTTAATTTTGTTTTATTTTTACCAAACCAAAAAAAAGTTACAAATTTTTTTAATCTATATCTTTTTTTAAATTTGACTAAATGGGCCTTTTTATAAATTTTTTGAACTTTTCAGAAAAAAATTAAATTTTTGTCAAATTCTATAAAAATTTTCAGGTTTTTGAGAAAAACCATGAATTTTTATAAAGTTTATTAAAATAGGATTTTTTTAAATTAACTTTTAATGAAATTGAAATTCTGGTCCAACAGATGAGATTTTTTTGTGATATTTTACTAACCTGGAAATACAAATGGTTTTGGTTTTGGCCATTTGGTATTTTCATTAATCATAGGTGAATCTACTCTTTTCTTTCTTTTCCTCATTCTTTTTCTTTTGGTTACATTACCATCTTCCTCAACCTCACCATTTAAAGACTCATCAAAATCGGAACTTTTAAGAGATTCAAGTAGTGTTCCCACACCTGTAATCAATTTATTATATCAAGTTGTTTCCAGTGTCCAGAATTAAAATTGACTTTTTACCTGATAAACATTTTTTGCTAAGCATTAGTCCTTTTCCTGAAGAATTACTAAATTGACTGATGCCACTGATCATACTGTAATCCATTTCAGACCCAGTGACAGTCTCATCAAATATTTCACCTGTATTTGTTTCTGAATTTTTAGGCAAATCTACACTTTCCACTGTTTTGGGACTCAAAGTTTTTGCTCCGTTTGACATTGAAGTTTCCATTGGTTTTGTAATACTAAGGAAAGGTTTTGGTGAAAAAACTTCTGTCCCATTCAACATGGGAGTTTGTATTCCTTTGAAAATATTTAGAGGTTTTGATGTTAGTAAATTTACATTATCTTTTTTGTTATTAGTAATTTCAGATTCCTTACAGGGTGTGGAAATACCTTCCTCTAAAATGGATTCTTTAGCTCTTGCAATATTTTCTGTTTGATCAACCTCCATTTCATTAATTTGAGGGCTCACAATTTGACTGTTACGAATACATTCAATTTTTACAATATTAATTTTTTTATTCTTCAAATATTCTTCTGTGGAAGTTGGCAGAGTTACTCTTTTTCTGTAGTAAGGAAAATCACCCTTACATTGATATTCTACACTGGGTTCACAATTAACAAACGAGGAATACGATGAGTTTTTGGTATTTTCGTTTTTTGTGTCTTCTTCAAAATAATCTTTTTGTTCAGGTTCTAAGTTCTTGGTTTTATGTTTTTTCTTTTTTTTCTTTTCGACAACCTCTTCAATGATATCAACTTCATATACCTGAGCAATCTCTTCCATTTTTTTCTTTTTCTTTTTTGGTACTTTTTCATTTTCTTCAACAACTTTTTCTATCACATCTTCCTTAGATTTCTTTTTACGTTTTTTTGATTTTTTTTCTTCTATTTCTTCAACAACAGGCACTACTTCTGATACATTATCTACATAATATTCTTCAACTTTTGGAATCACCCTACAAAAAAAACAACATAAAATAATAATATTGATTTAAATTTTGAAAAACTGTCAAATTGATGACATCTGGTCTGGTAACCACTCTCCACATAAGTTACCACCAGAAACAAACTGGTGTACCATGTAATTGCCAATTTTATCCTTAAAATAAAGTGTGGTATACACTTACCATAATAAATCATCCTTCTGCAGTATCCTTACATCTTCACAAGATGGCAAAAAGCGATTCTGGCATGTAAAATAAAAATTATCAATCTTAAAAATATCACTAACTTTCTGTTCAAGATCTTCGATTTTATTAATATTTTCACTAATAAAAATTATCGCAGTAGATCTGTGGTCGTGAAAGAAATAACTTAGATTAACTACAACCCTGAATGATTTTTCCATGACTTTAAACAATTAATTTACACCACTAACAGCACCGGCACATTACAAATTATAGGTTAGGACCAGAGATAAAGAAGGTTAGGACAAAGTTTTTTCGGATTAGAAATTTTAAATCGTCTTTATAGTAACCCATTAAAGTTATATCTGTTAATTATGGATTAAAATGGAAAATTGAATGCTTAAAACGTAGCTGGGCGACTAGATTTTTACAGCTGACTTAGTGTTTTACAAAACACCAACATAATAAAACAAATGTACTATAAACTCACAATTTTTGTTTATATGCTGTTTTAAAAGAATAAAATGATTTTTATTAATAAATCATTAAATAAAACTTTAGCATTTATAAAATAAATTGTGTGCACTCATATTTCTATCACTAAATTTTTTTCCAGGTTAAGAACAAAATTTAAGTTGGTAACGCCTACAAAACGAACTGTCATTACGACAGTGTCATACTAACTTGTCAATTTAATTGAATAAAAAAATGTTTTTGCGTTAATTTAATATTAAAACTACTTATTTCGATAATAACTTGTAACAAATAATTAAATAAAACTAGCGGAATGTCTTCCCAAAATCCCTTTTTAGCGTTAATAGCCGCAAAAACCGATTCTAATGAAAGTTTTGAAGAAAACTCACCAGAAAATAGTAAAACTATAGAAAACACTGGGAAGGTGAAAAGTGAGTGTTTATCGGATATAATAGAGGAAATATTTAGGTTCACAGTCAACGAAAAAAATGCTGTAACAAAGGACAGGTTGTATTTGGAAGAAGTTCGTAGGAATTGTGTAAATGATGAAATGGACTTGGGCATTTTAAATCAAGCTCTATTCGATAGACTGTTTATGTGTAACTCTGATAACGATTATTTAACTATTTACGCCTCGAAATATCCAAAGAGTCCTTTGTTTGAAAGGCAAGTGTTGTTTTATTTGTACAAATCTTTTCGAAGATTAAAAAAAAGCGGTAAATTGAAGGATGAAGATCATGCTGCAATAGAGGATATTATTTTTATGAATGTTGCTACTGCTATAATGCAGCCTGATATTTATTGTGGGCAGAATTTAGCACAACAAATGTTGAAAATCTTAAACGATGCAGAAGATTTTTATGAACAATTTTTTCTTAGTTCTTGCAAAAGGGTTATAGAGGAAGAAGAAAGTATGTATAAAATACTATGAATGCTAGTTGCCTAAATATTAATTTAAATTTTAGGTTATGAAAGTGTTAAACGTTTTAACAAGGAAATGTACAACTTGCTTAGAGATGACATACAAAAATATTCTCTTATGGCTTTTAATTATAATGTTTTTGAGTTATTGAGGGTTATGACAAGCGAAGAATATTTGGCAGAGTATTTTATTGAATTTAATGAGCCAGCTAGAACAAATGTCGGTTCTGATTATGCCAATACAGTTTTGGGGGCTTTGTTTAATTGTTCTGCTCTTCCTAAGATACCCAGTGGGGTCTATGAGCATTTTACTGAACCTATGAATCAAGTAAGTAGATAAGATGAATTATTTTAGGTATATATACAATTAAAAGAGTATTTTTTTGTTAAATACATAAAGTTATTACTCCTGAAATTTTTACACTTAAAATAATCTCCCATTTTTATGTTTTTTTTTTTATAAAATTTTAATATTTACTTACTTCTAAAAATAAAAATTCAGCGGTTATAATAAATTTTTGTTATGCATTTTGGATTATTATTATAATTATTAATAATTTTTTACAAAAATATATATTATATTAAAGGTTTTCTTTAGAAATTAACGTTAAATATTTTTACACGCTATTAATTTGTTTATGATTTCCAATAAAAACAATTTTAAAACTATAAAATTGAACCAAAACAAATTTTTCAATGTAATATAAGAATTTTTGTATTAAAAATGTAACAACCATCATTTGATGACTCTATAAATTTAAACAATAATTACCTATGTAGAATAAAATATTAAAACTAGAATTTTTTTAAATTAATATTTTCAAACTTAAACTTTTATAGTTGCATTTTATATTGAAAATACTTTTTGATTATCAATTGTTTTGAGTTTAAAAAAAAATACTTTTAAAACTATTAAAAAATGTTTAATATCTGTTTTTATTTTAAATTTCTTGATACTAATTTTAAATACTAAAATATTGAACTTTACCAATTTAATCTAAATAATTTTATAAAATATTTATTTAAGATTGACAAAATTCTGCCCAAATAAATTATACTTGAGAAATTATTTTTATTAAAACATAATGGTTTTTGCAAAAATTATTTGGAAATAATAATAATATTGTGATAAATCACAAAAATATATATTATATTAAAGATTTTCTTTGGAAATTAACGTTAAAAATTTATACACTCTATTAATTTGTTTATAATTTCCAATAGAAACAATTTTAAAACTATACATTTGAACCAAAATAAATTTTTAATCCGAAAATTACCACTTTAAAATTTAAAACATTTAAATGTAATATAAGAATTTTTGTATTAAAAATGTAACAACCATCATTTGATGACTGTTTATAAATTTAAACCAATAATTACCTATATAGAATAAAATATTAAAACTAGAATTTTTTTAAATTAATATTTTCAAACTTAAACTTTTACAGTTGCATTTTATATTGAAAATAACAATTGTTTAAGTTAAAAAAAAATTAACTTTTAAAACTATTAGAAAATGTTTAATATCTGTTTTTATTTTAAATGTCTTGATACTATTTTTAAATACGTACTAAAAAATTGAACTTTACCAATTTAATCTAAATAATTTTATAAAATATTTATTTAAGATTGACAAAATTCTGCCCAAATAAATTATACTTGACTATTTCCCTCGTCTTAATTTACACCAATCACAAAAGCGCAATTTTGAATTACAAATGGTTTCTAGGTGAAAAAACTGTGTGACAGCACCTGTCAGCAGTTTTTTCGAGTTTACCCGCGGCAAAACTTGACAGCTGTTGTCACCAAAAATTGAAATTTATATTTTAATTGTTAACTGTTACTCATGAAATAGTCTTGTCAAATACCATTCGGGCATCTAATTTTTCCTGTGAAAAAAATCGAAAAAACACAATGCTAAGTAATATTTTTTAACAAAATGCATTAGTGCAGGTGCAAAAATCCTCCTCTTCGACTCGGATTTTTGTTTCCACCAGCACTCATGCTTTTTGTTAAAATATTACTTAGCAACGTGTTTTTTCGATTTTTTTCGGAAAAATTAAATGCCCTTATGATATTACTTACGAGAAATTATTTTTAATAAAACATAATGGTTTTTGCAAAAATTATTTGGAAATAATAATAATATTGTGATAAATCACAAAAATATATATTATATTAAAGATTTTCTTTGAAAATTAACGTTAAAAATTTATACACTCTATTAAGTTTTTTATGATTTCCAATAGAAATAATTTTAAAACTATAAAATTGAACCAAAACAAATTTTTCATCCAAAAATTACATACCACTTTAAAATTTAAAACATTTAAATGTAATATAAGAATTAAAAATGTAACACCATCATTTGATGACTCTTTATAAATTTAAACCAATAATTACCTATGTAGAATAAAATATTAAAACTAGAATTTTTTTAAATTAATATTTTCAAACTTAAACTTTTATAGTTGCATTTTATATTGAAAATACTTTTTGATTATCAATTGTTTTGAGTTTAAAAAAATTAACTTTTAAAACTATTAAAAAATGTTTAATATCTGTTTTTATTTTAAATTTCTTGATACTAATTTTAAATACTAAAATATTGAACTTTACCAATTTAATCTAAATAATTGTATAAAATATTTATTTAAGATTGACAAAATTCTGCCCAAATAAATTATACTTGAGAAATTATTTTTGTTAAAACATAATTATTTGGAAATACCTAATAATAATATTGTGATAAATCACAAAAATATATATTATATTAAAGATTTTCTTTGGAAATTAACGTTAAAAATTTATACACTATTAATTTGTTTATGATTTTCAATAGAAACAATTTTAAAACTATAAAATTGAACCAAAATAAATTTTTAATCCAAAAATTACCACTTTGAAATTTAAAACATTTAAATGTAATATAAGAATTTTTGTATTAAAAATGTAACAACCATAAATTTAAACCAATAATTATGTAGAATAAAATATTGAAACTAGAATTTTTTTAAATTAATATTTTCAAACTTAAACTTTTACATTTTATATTTAAAATATTTTTTGATTATCAATTGTTTTGAGTTTAAAAAAAATATCTTTTAAAACTATTGGAAATGTTTAATATCTGTTTTTATTTTAAATGTCTGGATACTATTTTTAAATACTAATAAAATTAACTTTACCAATTTAATCTAAATAATTTTATAAAATATTTATTTAAGATTGACAAAATTCTGCCCAAATAAATTATTCTTGAGAAATTATTTTTATTAAAACAAAATGGTTTTTGCAAAAATTATTTGGAAATAATATTGTTTAATTGAATTGAATTGAATTAAATTCAGAAATGAACTGTTAGTTAAAAAATTTCCTCTTTCTATACATGATAGTTGAAATATATTTAAATTTATATATGTAAACTTAAAATTTTTAGTTAACCAATAAAATTTTAAATTAAAAAATATTTAATAAATGTTAAACCGGCGTGCCATACACGTGACTATCACACAATAATGTTGGTTTATCTAGAGAACTGGTAAAATTATAATTACACCTACAATATTTTCTTTCCTCTTTTAACTGCTGTTATAAAAAAATATGGGTTTAAATTCAATTAATGACCTTATTAGTGTCTTAAATACAATAAAAATCACAAAATTTATCATTATTTGCAAGGTAGCAAACTCCAACACGGAAGGCTTTCTTTGGAACAATATGAAAAATCTAACGCAACACATCCACTCCTTCTTTCTAACTCTATTAAAAAAAAGTCCCACAACCAAAGACACGATTTTAAGGTGGCTGGGCGATTGCCTCAAGAACAACGCTTACAGGGGTAAAATATGGAATGCGCATGCGCCTCCCGAAATGAACCCCGCCAACTACACGACAGTGACGGACGGGTACATGGTGAATTTCTGCAGCGTCATGCTCAGGTTGTGTGAACCTTTTTCGGCGAATTTTAGGGATAAAAAGATACTAAAGGTGGACCCTACGTATTGTGCTGTGCCGGTAAGCATAAAAAAATGTCAACAAGTTTACCAACAAACAAATTTGAACCTTCTTCAGGAAGAAAAACTAAAAGAAACCGGCATTCACATGTCGGACCTTTCCAAGGAAACCTGCGTGCTGCCCGTGGAAAATACAGATGGCGTGGACGAGCAACGCCCCCATTCCAAATCGTTCAACTTCGTGACCGAATGTTTTTTCATGGCGCACCGCGCCATGGACCTGGGTTTTCGAGTCGGCGTGGACAAGCTCATCAAAATGAACCACGTACGTCAAATCTAAATCTTTAGCCGGCTGTGCCGAAAAGTTTGGTTACGTTTATATAATGGATGACAGTTCTCGGTCATAGCCGCCTGTTTCATAGATGATTGTAAATTAGTAGTATCATGATTTGTTTTATTTTTTTTTTGTAGGAAATGGGGAGACTTGAAAGAACTTTAAATGATGCTATGGCTGGAGGTGGGAATGATGCTATGCAAGATATGAGGGAAAGAATGAACAAGGAAATTTCAAAGTATTGGGTGTCTTATTATGAAATAAACCATTATCCTGTTGGGTGTTTCTTTAATTTTCCTACTTTACTTTTTAAAGAAATTGATCTTTATAGAAAGCAAATAAACTAATCAGAGCACAGCATTCTCCACAGCATACTAGGTGCGATGAATAATGCCGTGCTTTGATTGGTTTAATCGTTTATATAAAGATAATTTTCTATAGAAAACACCCCTCAGGATGGAAGTATATTTCATTATGGGTACACGTCTTACTTTGGTTAACATATATTCTTACAGGTATTTTTGTTTAAAATGTCAGCTATCCGATCCGGTACTATTGACAGCAATGTTTGATTTAATATCTTCGACGTGTTATTGGTTAAGTCAAATTGTGGTGCATGAAAAAAATGCTGACGGGACTTATGCTCCTTTGACAGAAGCAGAAATTAACTTTCCTATTGGGGAAGAAATTCCAATTACTTTAAAGTATTTTTCAACTTTATCTCATGTCTTTCGTCTCAGTTATTTAGATTAATTTTTCCAGATGCATTCCAGAATTTATCCTAGAAAACGTTGTCTCATTTCTGACATTTTTGCGGAGATTTAATCCTAAAGTTTTAGAGGAACATGGTTTCGAGAAGATGGAGCCCATTTTGACTTGTATTTTGATGTACATGGGTTCGCAAAATTTGGTGAAAAACCCTCATTTGAGGGCACGTTTCGCTGAAGGTTTGGAGTCTCTTTTGCCTTACCATAAAGACGATCCGCCAGGTTTTAGCAATATGGGAAGTTTCCAGAGAGAAAAGTTATTTAGTGAACATAGACATTCCTTACAGGTAATTCATCATCAGGTACTCTAATTCCAGATGAAATTACTGACGTTTTAGATTACCACAAGTATTTTAGAAGTTTTTGTGGGTATAGAAATGACAGGCCAAAGTGTCGAATTTGAGCAGAAATTTAACTACCGAAGGCCAATGTATGCTATTATTAATTATTTGTGGAAATTGCCGCAGCAGATGGAGTGTTTTAGGTATTTAAACATTTTAAATCCGGAAAATAATAAAAACAAACATTTTTTTCAGAGATCTTGCTGATTATGCGGAAAACAATATGGAAGCGGTGAATCCCCCATTATTTTTAAGGTTCGCCAACCTTTTGATAAATGATGCCATTTTTTTGTTGGATGAGGCTTTGTCCAACATGGCTAAAATTAAGGATATGCAACATGCAAGGTAAGTTTGTTTTTATTTTAATGTTTTTTATTTTTTTAACATTTTAATATTTTATTTGCCAATTTATATGGTGTCAAGTGTGAGTCTAAATCTCGGGTTTCTAGTTTTTAATTTATTGAAAAAAATAGTATTAGTAAAAGTTTCACAATTATTATAAATTGCATAAAAAAATTAAATATATACAGTAGGGTGTTTCAAAAAAATCGACTTTTTCTTTTTCTTCAAATGGTCGGCAAATTCTTTCAGAGAATGTCAACACAAAGACCTCGTCAAAATTTGAGCTTTTATGGCGGGTTTACGAGTCACTCGCGTGCGTTTGGAGGTCGCGTTTACGCGAGCTAGCCAACGCACGCGACGGTTTTAACTCATGGTGGGCAATGGGATCGTTTATAAGTGAACTCGCGTGCGTTAAAAGGACGCGTGCGCCAAATCTCAGCCAGTTTGACGCGTCTTGGTTTTTATCCGGGGAAAAAACTTTACGCCGTAAAAAGATCGCGCGCGTTGAAGCCGATATCACGTGACATGGCCAGCCAATGGCATCAGCCGCGTAGCCTGCGTGGGAGAAGTGTTGTGTTAAACATAATTAGCAGACGAGCTAAATTCATTAATATTGCGGTTCGAAGAATTAAAAATGGGTCCATTTTCCCAAAGTATGAGACATGAGACGAAATCAAAACACACGCACTGAGGAACCAGCTGACGTTCGAAGGTGAGCAAACGCGCGCCTTTGAAACTCGTAAATGGGGTCGCGTCAGGAAGAACGCGTTGACGCGAAGGCCCAGGAAACGCACGCAAACCTCAAACGCACGCGAGTGACTCGTAAACCCGCCATTAATTTGAAGATTTAGAGGTCGCGGATCGCAATTTTCTATTTCCCATTTAAATAACATGGGAATTTTTTTTTTTTAACTTTGAAATTTTATACGTCTGAATCAAATCAACTTATGTCAAGGATCATCTTAGATTTTTATAGTAAATTTAACGCTCTACAAAAAAGGTCTCCTATCATTTTTCTATAAATTGATTCCTTTCAGAGTTATTCGAGGCCAAAGTTTGATTTCCATCGAATTTTCGCGTTTTTTTAACATTTATGGTACAATTATCATTATACGGGTATCCCGAAATCAGGGGGCCAAACTTAAACAGTGCATTATTCGTATAAAAATAACACTTTTTTTGTTTAATAAACATGTATCAAAAAAATGCCCCCTAAAGGAGCTACGGCCCCCTGAATAGGAGCCTAAGAGGATAATTTTTTTTAAACTATTCCTAGAGAGTTGAACATGAACAAATGAATTTTCGGTAGGTACTTTGGTAATTTTGACATGCTGAATCTAGATCTATGATCAAAACTGTTAAAATTTAATCATAGGCGTAACATTTGGCGGGGGCAAAGTTACAAAAATAGCCCCAACTTTTTTCTGGGTGAATAATTTAATTTTTTTTATGAAATTATGAGAATTTATAGTTTTTTACGAAAAATAGGTACTCTTGATTTGAATTGCTCAGATGCACCATTTTCGAGAAAAATGCATTTATAAATAAATTACTTTGCATATTATACACATCTCATATTTTCATTAAAACTTTGTAGTAGGCTTTGGAAAAAAGTGACGTTTTTTTGTTTTTTTTACAACACTTCCTATGCTCAGATATAAATATGTAATTTTTTTACTACATGATGCTAAAAGTTGAAAAAACGAGAAAATTCGATGGAAATCAAACTTTGGCCTCGAATAACTCTGGAAGAAATCAATTTATAGAAAAATTATAAGAGACATTTTTTATAGAGCGTTAAATTTACTATAAAAATATAAGATGTTCCTTGCCATAAGTTGATTCGATATAGACGTATTTAAATGGGAAATAGAAAATTGCGATCCGCGACCTCTAAATCTTCAAATTAAAAGCTCAAATTTTAAAGAGGTCTTTGTTTTGACATCCTCTGAAAGAATTTGCTGACCATTTGAAGAAAAAGAAAAAGTCGATTTTTTTGAAACACCCTAATATACAGTGTGACCCATTTGTTTGCAACTCACCCTTTATTTATTGTGCGATTTTAACCGGATTTTTTTTAAGTGTAGATCTTGATAAACTGTATTTTTGAAGCAGAAAACGCCATATTTTTACAAAATACAAGGGTACTATGTCAGTTTTTAAGAGTACATTTTTAAGAATATTTATTGGCGATATTTTAAAATATAATCTAAGCACGGCACTGGATTCACCACCCCTCAAAACGACCCTATACTTAATTTTATTGAAAAATTTTAAGAAAAAAAATACACAATAATAACTACAAAAATTTATTTTGTCAAGTTATCCATGAAAAAACATTGAAATAAAATTAAACCAATGGAACATGGTACTATTACTATAAGTTCAATTTTATTTCAATGTTTTTTTCATGGATAACTTGACAAAATAAATTTTTGTAGTTATTTTTGTGCATTTTTTTTCTTAAAATTTTTTCAATAAAATTTAGTATAGGGTAGTTTTTAGGGGTGGTGAATCCAGTGTCGTGCTTGGATTTTGTTTAAAAAAATTGCTAATATGAATTCTTAAAAATTTACTCTTAAAAACTGACATAGTAGGCCTTGTATTTTGTACTATTGTGGAGTATTTTGCTCTAAAAATACAGTTTATCAAGATATACACTTTAAAACAAATCCGGTTAAAATCGCACAATAAATAAAGATTTTACAGGGGTGAGTCGCAAACAAATGGGTCACACTGTAGAATAGTAAAAGTAAATAAAAACAATATTGAATATGAATGGTTAACAAATATAGTTTTCACGTTAAATTTGCTTAAAAATAAAAGAGTTTACATTGGTTTGTTGTATACCTTTGGTTTTTTATTTTAATATTTTCGTCCTATAGTATTATGTTCATGTGTGATGGTTTTTTATAGGGTACTTTTTTATTCTTTATCTCCTTTGCTATGATCTTGTGCACTAATTTGTGGGTTTCTAATTGTCTCAGTTCTTTAATATTTGGTTATTGTGTATTATTATAGAGTTTTTCTGTGGGTTTGATTTGCAGTCGCAAAAAAAGGTATCACTTCTGACGATTAACTTTTAATCATAAACCAATAATCTTTGTTTAAGGAGCTTATAAAATTAAATGTGTTGCTTCCAGCTTAGTTTCTTGTCGATCTTAATCCCAGGTATTTGATTGTGAGGAGTAAACCATTCTAAAATTAGCGTTAGATGGACGTTGTGCTCTGATTTTTCCTTATTAGGCCCTTATTAATAAGGAAAAATCCTCATCATTAAGGCATTTCTCTTAGCGACGCGTTGCGTTTGACTACCCTTGTGATATTTTTCTTTAGCCGTTTTTTGATATGCGATTTTTAATTTAAAAAAATCTATGTTTTACCCATGGAACCTGGACAAGGAGTCCGAACTTCATGTTTACCAAAATCTTCCTAAGATAAGAGAGCGCTGGTGTTCCGTTGCAGACGTCAGTTCGCATCGACAATCAGCGCCGCTGGTGGTGAAAAAACAAGACATAATTTGTGCAATTTCGTGGGCAGGTTTTGTTAATTTTCCCTATTAAGTTCGGACTCCTTGTGTAGGATCAATGGGTTTACCCTTCATTTAATTGTTGTTACTTCCATTAGTGGCTCATCAATTTTGATGTTCAATCGATGTTATCATGTTTAAAGTGTATAATGTGACATTTTTGATGATTTACTTTGTCGTTTTTTTAGAAAATATAGAGGTAATTCTCCCATAATTTTAACTTGAGTGTCCTGAAGCTGTCAAACATTTATTTTTTTTCCAACGATGTTAATTTTTAAAACAAAAATCTTATTATAAAAATAAAATCCGAAACCCCCTCAACCCCCCTGACCGTCCCCTTGTCCCAAACCTGTTTTTTAACTTATCTAGAAATACTTCAATATGAATAAACGGTAATAATGATGATTAATGATTTCTTAATTTTTTTTTTATAATTTTAAGAAAAATACCTACTTGGCTTCAAAAAGTGTCCTGAAATTGTTATTCCTTAACCGTCCCCATACGCATTTAGTGGAAAATAAAATTGAACTTACTACCCCAGCAGTAAAATTTGTCTTAATAATGCGGGAATTAGTCAGTTACAGCATGCTGTAATACAAAGTAAAAAGAATACGTTGTCTCATAAAGTGATTTTGCGGTGCAATAATAAGGTAATTATTTACTTCCGTATTTTTATTTTGTTCCGAACCGTCTCTAATGATAATGGACATATTTATTTTTTTTGTTTAACATCATTTTATCTACGATTTTTTATTAACATTATGTTGTTTATACATGGTTTTTGACCGTCCCTTTTTTAATCGTGGTGGTCTGGATAAGGTAAGGACGGTCATATTTAGGTTTTACGTGTAAATGTTGTGGTGCGGAAATTAAGGATGCCTAACTAAAATTAACTACATATTAAAAAAATCCACCAAAGATATGACGTAATTATTTAATTTTTTTATATTTATGTTAAATATTAACTTTTTCATTTAAACAAAATTAATAAACACTGAATAAATTACTGCTGACGAAATAGTTTATTGTTTGCCGAGCGTGGAATCATAGCAATTACTCCCGATGATAAAAGTTTCCGAGCGACCCGATAGGCGAGTGTACTCTCCAAAAATGAATTATTCAAAAATGACTAATTTAATAGTTATTAGTGGCGGCTTTTTCACTTGTACCATGGTTAACCACGGAATACCATGGTATCCCAAAATTTAACAGCCAATTCTTATGTAAAATTGTCCCCTGAAAATACCGTCAAAAATTATGAAAGTGGAGCAGTTTTTGAGATATAGTCAATTTCATATTAAATGGAGGGGACAATTTTACATAAGAATTGGATGTTAAGTTTTGGGATACCATGGTATCCCATGGTTAACCATGGTATGTGAAAAATCAGCCACTAATAACTATTAAATTAGTCATTTTTGACTAATTCATTTTTAGAGAGTAGGAATTCATTTTATATAGTCAAAGTATCAGTATATAGAATTAAAAAAATGTAGCCTTAACAGGATTTTAATAAGACCCAGTCAAAAAATAGACCCTTAATTTAAATTCCTTTCCAATGTACGAGGTGTGTTCAGAAAATAACGGGAATTGTTAAATTTCGCGGCTTCGGAGGGTCCGGTTGTCATAAAATTTTATTTATTATGTTGGTATACATGCCCCCGAAGTATGATAAAAACTTTAGCTGTTTTCATTGTTTACTTTGTTTGTGGCAGCCGCTAAGGTTAGACGTGTTTTATGAGCTCGACGATTTTAGTTCGTTAAAAGAAATGGATCAAAGAGAATTTGTATCCAATTTTGCTTAAAAAATGAAATAAATTCTTTGAAATGTTAACAACCTCTCTGAGTCAGCTATAAGTAAAACAAGAGTTTACAAGTGATATAAGAGTTTCCAAGATGGCCGTGAAGACGTTGAAGATGACGAACGCCCCGAACGCACAAGCACATTAACAACCGATAAAAATATGGAAAAAGTGGAAGAAATGGTTTTAAACATTTTTTCAAATGTTTTGGGTATGAAACGCGTTGCAACAAAATTTGTTCCAAAATTGTTAAATTTTGAACAAAATTTTTGGACAAAAACTATACTTTAATGATGTCCCAGCCTCCATATTCGCCAGACATGCCTCTGCCTGACTTTTTCCTATTCCCAAAAATAAAAAGAACCTTAAAGGGCCGTCGTTTTGCAAGCATAGATGACATTAAAAGCGCATCGCTGAAAGAACTAAAGGCTATCTCAAAGATCGAGTTTTAGAAGTGTTTCGAGTATTGGAAGAAGAGCTGGCACATGTGCCTAATATCCAATGGGGACTATTTTGAAGGCGACAACATTAATGTAGACGAATAAAAAAATATTTGTTTCAAAAAACGAAAATTTCCGTTATTTTCTGAACACACCTCGTATGTGGGTTTGACTTTAAGAATAACATTTATTTTACATAAAAAACTTTTTAAGGCATCACAAATTTAGTTATAAGTTGTAAGTAAAAAGCAAATTCCTACCTATATCAAAGATTTTTGCCATTTTTTTTGATGACTGATTAGGTACTTGATAAACTTGTAACTTTAAAAAAAATTCAAAATTCAAAAAATAATTTCAACAAGGAAAACTGACAAATTTTATATTTAAACAATTTTGGATCTAAATATTAAAATTATGGGAGAATTACCCATAGACTAAGACTTACATCGATTGGTTAAGTTTGACTGGAATATTTTCAGACTTCCCTATTACTCCCATGCTTTCCATTTTTGAAATTATTAAGTCCAGGTTCTTAGTGTCAAATGCCTTTAGTTAGATTGGTTGAAATTTATCTCTTCCCAATGCTTTTAAAATGTCCCAATTAGGGTTGGGAAAATTTCACTTTTTGCTTGTACTTGAAATTTCACTTGAAATTTTCATGACATTTATGAAATTTATTAAAATTTCCTAAATTTCTGAAATTTATTGAAATTTATTGAAAGTTTCAATAAATTTCAATCACTTTAAGTGTAATATATAATATTAATATTGAAATAAGCCCATGGCAAATTGCCTCTCTTACCTCCTACCCCTCTGTGCCAATAATATAAATAGTAAATACCTATGTTTACCACAAATTTCTTGAGATTTCCTTTTAAAATCTTTTTAAAATTACTAAAACTAAGAGAGATATAGCACTTTTTGGTAAGATTGTGCCACTTTCATTGTTTTATATTTATATTATTATATTATATTATATTATTTATATTTATATTATTTATTATTTTTATATATTTTACTGAAATTTTACGAAAATTGAAGAAACTTCATCAACATTTTATGAGCAAAAGGCATTTTTTATCCGTTTTCCGATGCAATTATAGCAAAAGTAAAAGTTTAAATTAATCATGACTTTTAATAAAATTTAAAGTCTGATTTAATTTACAAATTAAATTGGTAACTGAATTAAATTATTTAAATTAATTTATGCATATAACTAACAATAATTATTTATAGTGTTTTCAAATCCAATCCGAACTAAACAAAAACGTCCAGACGCTTGTTAACTCGTTCTTATTGGTCGATTCGGAATGTGTTGTAAATTATTATTAAAGATCCCAGGGGAGGCCGCAAGTGAAATTTATGCGAAATTTTCAGTAAATTGCGAAACTTTCAATGAAATTTCTGAAAGTTTCACAGGCAATGTTGAAATTTTCGGATTGAAAATTTCATTTGAAATTTTTTAAAATTTCACTTTTTCAACTAAATGATAAATATTTCAAGTTTGAAACTTTCAAAGTTGAAATTTTCATTTGATAATTTCAACTGTCCCAACCCTAGTCCCAATGCTGTCTTGACATTAAAAGTACAGTTTACAAATACAATTCCTTGAAAATGTGAAACAACTTCACGAGGACCAGTAATTCTTTCATAAAGCAATATTAATTCCTGTAGGGAGAGCGGGCAATGGGACGCGCTGCCATCCCGAGAGCGAGCCCAACAGCACGGCTACCTGCAGCACGTCGGCATGCTGGCGCGCTTCGACAACATACTCGGCCGCGACACGATCCAGACTTTGGTCAAGTTGACCTCGAAAATCCAGAAAGTCTTCACGCACACCACGATGGTGGACCGCATCGCCGCGATGCTGAATTACTTTTTGCTGTCGTTGGTCGGCCCGAACAAGCAGAACTTTAAAGTTTCCAATCCGCAGGAGTACAGCTTCGATCCTGCGGCCACCGTGATGGATATTTGCAAGATTTACGTCAATTTGAAGGATAACAAGGCGTTCGTATTGGCCATCTCGCAGGACGGGCGGAGCTACAGTCCGCAGTTGTTTACTTTCGCCGAGGATGTGCTGGTCAGGATCGGTAAGTTGTCCACAGCAAACGGAAAAATATAGAACTGTATAGGATGACTCCGCGTTTGAATATTAAATCTTAAAGTTTTATCAGAACTGTATTGAATCGTGCTTTGTTTTTATATTTTTCGGCTCTATACCTATGCACGACTATATTTAAAGTCAAACTCAATGGTGTCTTACAAGATAAATTATTTTGATTTTCTATATTCAACAGAGAGGTAGAAACTCGACCCTGTCGAATGGTGCAGTCATTTATGTCTCTAGAAATTATTAAAAAAGGGTTCAGTCCAATGGTGCAGCAACTTCGGATTCCTATTCTCTTCAGAGACATAGAAACTCAAGCTTTTCGAATTTTACTGGCAATGATTTTCGTTAATGTCCCCGAGAATTATACAAAAACAGCGCAATGCAATATCGCAACGGTTTCGACTTCTCTTTACTCTACCAAGTTATAGAAACTGGAGTCTCTCTAATATTGTTCTAGTCAATATTTCTGAGAGTATAAAAAGAGGGTGTAATATTGCAAGAAGTTTTGATCTTTTGATGGATGCAAGTAGTTTGAATTTTCTTCTTTCTGCATATGATTTTGTTGAAAATAGTTCCTTTCTTTGGTTCCTTTGTCTGATTTTTATTTACCGTAACAACTCGGGTATGTAAAGCACAGAGGATATGATGTTAAGTATATTTATAAAGTACCTATATGTGTATTAAAAATTTCAGAGGTTATGTTGAAAAAATGATCGATATGCTATTAAACTTTAATAATTTAGTAATGAGGTCTGTTGGTAGACCCTGCACTATCTCCACTGGTATATGTTAGTACAGCAATATATAAATCTGGTTGATGAAAAAGTACACACCAGTGCAGGTTATTGTAGCATCTACGAACAAATGAATTAATGGCCCATTGGCAACACGCAATTCAACACAGCTTAATTAATTAATACAATGAAAAAAATCACAATCATGTCGTATATAGTTTTTTTTAAGCATAAAATAATTTTTATATTAATACTAGTTCAAAAGTGAAATTACGACCTCTATACTGTGGAGAGTATTGAAACGCTCGACTGACGAATACAAATCTATACCGTGGGGAGATTTAGAAAACTATATTCAAACGTGGCGTCATCCTATACACTTCTATAATTTTCCGTTTGCTGTGTCCATCACATTATTAATTAATGTTATTTGTACCACTGTTTTTGTAGGTGGTGGTAATTTATTGGCGGAAATCAAAGAAATCGCGGATTTGGTGGAAATTAAAGCGAAAGAATATAAAGCAAATGAAGAGGCATTGGCTGAAGCTCCAGAACACTTTTTGGACCCCATAATGTCCACTTTAATGGCGGATCCAGTAATTTTGCCCAGTTCCAAACAAACTGTAGATAGAACCACTATAGCAAGGTCAGTACTTCAATATAACCAACCACTTGATTCTACCACATCAGAGATACATATGTTTATTTTCAGGCATCTTTTGAGCGACCAAACAGATCCATTCAATCGATCGCCACTTTCCATGGATCAAGTCATTCCGAATGTTGAGTTAGCAAAAGAAATTCAGCAATGGTTATCAGAAAGAAGATGTTAATATTGGTTTAAAAAAACTGATATTTTAAAATAATTTTAATTGGATGCCCTTTTTGTAAATTTATAACTTGTTTTAAATTTGTTAGGTGGTTATGTTTTTTAGTTTCTGTGATGTTATTTTTTCTAAATGTAAAATGTGCATATGATTGGAGGGAATAAAACTTTAATATTATTTAAAACGTGTTTTTTTTGTAGTTGGCCTTTTTTAAAATGGCTGATAGCCTTACTAAACAATTATTAAAGAAAAAATAAACTAAAAAAAATAAAACAAAGAAAATATCAAAACAATTTTAACCCAAATTGCAAAAACAAATTCGATTTTAAAAATTTAAAATAAAAAATATTTATATGGATGGAAAAAAATAAACATATAAAACAAATAAAATATCAGAGCAATCGGAATACCCACCCCCTGAACTCCAATTGTTTTTGACGCGGCCTAATAAAATACAACGCCAACAGAATAAGCTTTGTTTATAAATACTTCCGCATAACCACTTATAGGTTTTGTACGAAGATATTTGAAAATTTCTTGAATATTGCTTACCCACCCTGTTGTAAATGACCGAATAATTCCTGTAGAAACCAATTAAAGTATTGGTTGGTATCAATGGGTCTGAATTGGACTTACTGGATTTAATTGGACGCGATGTACACAGAAATTGATTTTTACTGGTATTTTCCATGATGGAAAAGTCCAATTAGGATTCTAATATTTTTTTTTGGTTTCGATTGGATAAAGCTACCCATGGGTAATTTCCAATTAAATTCAATTGGGCATTTCCAGTGTAAGATTCGAACAAGGAATCTGCTAATTGGTTATTCCCAATACTTTAAAATATGGAAAAATCCACTTAGGATTCTACTGTTTTTTAGCGGTTTCGATTGGATAAAGCAAATCAAGATAATTCAAATTAAAGTGGTACAATATATATTTAATTCACTGAAGTTTATCGACAAATTTCAAATTTTATTATAAAATTTCAAAAATTACAGGTTTTATACCATTTTAAATTTTTATTATTTCTTTTACTAAATTTAAAAAAAAATTGAAATGGTATAAAATACTTAAATTTTTTTTATAAAATTTGAAATTTTTCGATAAAGGTACTTTAGTGAATTAAATATTGTACTACTTTAATTTGAATTATCTTAATTTGGGGGGGCAGGAGGCTGGAGAGGCACACTTAAAAACTAACTTTTTTTCGCAAACCTCAATTTGAATTCTGCTTGCGCAGAACTTGTCTATATAATGTCATTATAAACTCATATAAATTTGTGGGTCCCATGTCTAATAACTGAGATATGGGTGTGCTCGAGGGGTCACCCACACCTGGGAATCCCTGGACATTTTAGAGGGGGAATACCATAGGAATACAATGGAAATACATAGGAATACAATAAAATATAATGGGAATACATGGGAATCCCTGGACGTCTTCCCTTTGGGTGGTTGACCACTCGGGTGTGCTCAACATCCACCAGCCGCCTCTGGTTTACTGGTTATTTCAAACTCGGCGGTTAAAGCGCAAAATTAAAAAATATAAGATTTTAAATAAAAAATTAGGTTTACGTGTCGGAGCGTTTTACATAAAAAATCTTTTCTCATTGAATAAAGAATTTTATTCCATAAGTGAGTATCTATGTAGGTATATCCCTGATAGCACAGTTTATTCTAAGAATGTTTTTTAAACCTTCCAGTGAGAATATTCTTAGGATCATGCTATATTACTTCTAGTCATGTTCTAAGAATGTTTTTTAAACCTTCCAGTGAGAATATTCTTAGGATCATGCTATATTTCTTCTAGGCATGTTCTAAGAATGTTTTTTAAACCTTCCAGTGAGAATATTCTTAGGATCATCCTATATTTCTTCTAAAGAACATGCTTAAAAGAAATATAGCATAATCCTAAGAATATTCTCACTGGCCTCTAGGCAGGTTCTTAGAAGGTGCAAAGTTTAGTGGTAAAAATTAATCGACTCTAAGCATATGCTTAGAATGTTGAGAAAGTAATTAGTATTAAATACTAAGTAAAAAACAACCCAAAATATTTTTTATAGTTATTTATCAAATTAAAACAATATTAGATAACAAAAATACTTTTGCTATAGGTATCTAAATTATCCGGCTTTTACATAAAATCTTCTATCCAACTTAAATACAATGAAAAATGTTTTTTTTATGAAGAACTTTTTGGTTTTTTCTTTTATGAAGAATTATTTTTTAAGTAAATATTTTGTTTTTTATATTTTATTTAATGTTAAAAATAATATTTATTAATTTGTATACCGATTTTTTATTTCTGAATTAACATTTTTATGTATAATAATCCTAACTATCTTCAACTTCAATCTAATCTGACTTATCCCACAAAATTTTCCAATTTTACTTTTTATGTAATAATGTCATACAACTTATGGTTTAGAGGTCAAATTGTTTATTTAATACTTTTAAATAAATATATATTAATATGTCACAAAAATTTTTAAGGGGACGACAAATACATTTCACTGTCATATTATGACAGTGAGGCGTATTTGTCGTCTCCTGAAGAATTTTACGAATGGAAAATACAACATATTAGAACGTGGGTATCTGACATATTTGGAAATATTCTCAAAAGCTTCCTAGAAGCTCCATAAGAAACCTTCTAAGAACATTCCAAAAACGTATTCTTAAAATGTTCTTAGATTGCTTTTTAGGAAGGTTTTAAGAAGCTTCTAAGAATCTACTTGCATCATTAAAAGGGTATCTATTGAATGTTTTAAAAGTCCCTAAGAACATTCTTAGCAATAAGGGAAGGTTCTAAGAATATTCCATTATTCCGAGTCGTATCTTCTTAGAAGATTCTTAGAATCAAATTTTGCTATCAGGGATACAGTGTGGTACCACACTGTATATAACAAGATATACCTTATGCAGGGCCGTCTTTAACCTATTGGAGGCCCTGGGCATGTTAGGATAATGGGGCCCCTATGACTTTGACAGAACACTATTCTGTTAGAATAGACAAAGAAAGTAGATAAACAAGGTTAAATATTTATTTTTATTAACAATCACATGAAACGAATAGTTAAATGATATTACATATTACTATATTAATCCACAAAAGTAACTTTTTTAACATTTACAGATTAGTGCTTAAAAATATATGCTCTTTGAAGAGGAACAATTCTAGATTTCAGATGGGCAAAATCGTTAATCACTTCTTCAAAATCTATGCTTTTTAGCACATCAGATTCTATGGACATCAGCGACAAACTGGTTAATCTCTCTTGAAGCATTGTACTTCTTAATTCATTTTTAATTCTTTTTAATTTGGGGAAGGAGCGTTCTCCACTGCAGTTAGTTACCATCATGCTTAAAAAGATTCTCAATGCGATTTCTACATTTGGAAATGTGTCTTTAATTTTATTTTCTTTCAAAAGTTGATATATTTTTAATATACAATCCTTATTTTCAACGTCATCAATTTTCAAGTATTCTGTTAAATGCAAACATTCTATTTTTAACTCTTTCTCATTAACATCTTCATAATAAAATTCAGCAAATTCTTTGCAATTTTGTCTCAACTCTTCAGAATTAAGAGTTTTCAAGCGAAAAGTGTAAGGTATACTTCCTTTTTCTATAAGCAGTTGATTTATAAGTATACTTACTTGTAAAAAAAGGGACTCTAGATTGTGAATTTACTTACATTGATATACTTAACATTATTTTAAAATTAGTTAGGTAAAAGAAACACAAGTATTAATTTTTAAACCCCCAATTTAATTCAAGCATATTTGGTACAAATAAAATTATAAATAATAATACAAGTTATAAAAACAAACATAAAATAAACCATATGCAAACATGATTCTAATAATTAGGATATTTTATAAATAAATAATAAAGAATAAATAAAGAAAAAAAATATTTTATTGATTTTTAAATAAAATTAGCTTATGTAGTTTTTGTCTAACATATTCTGGTTTTTCAGAAGCCTTTTTACCTTCCCAATTTTAGTCTGGAGCTTAAAAATATAGCAATAATTTTTTTAATCAGAAGAATTCTATGATTGTCCAATATATCTTGGTTCTTTATATAATCAATCATTGCAGTATTTGAAAATACTGACTGTACATTATACAATACTTTATTACTTATATACATGGCACTATTTTTAAATTTAAATTTATTTGACATTTGTCTAGTTAATTTTTCAGTTTCTTGACAAATTATAACTACATTGTATTTGATCTGAGGGGGGCCCCTGTCGATCCCGGGGCCCTGGGCACTTGCCCAAAGTGCCCAATGGGAAAGAGGGGTCTGACCTTATGCATGTATACATACCTAAAAAGCAATTTGTAGTCAGCAAAATTCTGTAACAAATATATAGCGCATAAATAGTAGTAAGTAATTTACATTGAATATACATAAATCAGATAAAGAACTTGTTTGTTTTATTGGGATAGTAAACACAGGAATTAATATTATTTAATAGTAAACATTTGCATATTCAAGACATTCGTTAAGGTAATAAGGTTAGAATGCAGGAGTTATAGCTATAGCTCCTGCATTCTAACCTCGTCATTTTAATAAATAATATACAGGGTGGTCCAAAAGGTGTTAACCTTTTATAATTTGAGAATAAATAACAAAGATCAAAATAATATTAATTTTCTTAACAACCTTAAGGTTGTTAAGAAAATTAATATAATCGATAATTATATCGAAAACTCAACAGTTTCAACAATAGAAGGTGTTAAAGTTGTAAATATTAAAAAAAATTATTTTTTGCTTAACAAAACAACATAGGCCGGTATTTAATTAAAATTTGATAAGTATTGTTTTTTTATTAGGAACCATACTTGGGCAATAAATTCGTTCTTATACTACAAGCAGTGGCGTCACTACGGGGGTGATAATAGCCGTATAAAAACGAATAATATTTTGCAGGAAACTTTCCAACAACAACACATTCATACTTTCCTGAGGAAAGTATGAATGTGTTGTTTAAGTAACCCTCTAAAGAAAAAATATAATTTTTCTTGATTATATCTGCGACAAATATGTTAAAAATTTACCAATATTTTCTCAGCCGAATATCAAAATAAAAATATTGAGCACAAATTTTATTCATTGGATAGTTCTCTAACAGGACCAGGTATAACTTT